GACCCTTGACCTGAAGTATATGTGATATGAATATGAATGACCTTGGCTTATGCATCATGAAGATATGATGGATAATGGGATTTCACAAAATGGCGCCTGGATGACGTCACGATGACCTGATGACCTTGAAAATGTTCCTGTCACGTCTCGTGACGATGACCTATGACTGTGCCAAAATTGAATGAAATTGACGAAACCGAACTTGAGTTATCCTAGGCACAAAAAAGTGTAGGAAATAAATAAAAATAAACTAGAAATTTAATTCGTCACGAAGACGAATAAGGTGGTCTGTCTAAGTCTTTTGATAGAATTGAGAATGGGAGAAGTTATATAGACATGTAAACAATGATGATCATGATGACCATGATGATGATCATGATAGTAAAGGTGATGATGATGATAATGATAATGTTATATGATTATAAAAACGATAATGTTAATGATGATGATGAGCATAAGCATGATCCTGACATCTGATTGAAAAAATAAGGAAATATTTAGATAGCAAATAGTCTCAGCTACAACATACTAAAATTTGGGAGAAAACTGTTGAATAACAACCGAGATACTGGTCAAAACACCTTGTCATGCAGATTCATGTTTTGAAAAAAGTGACCTCCCATAGACATAACACGCAAATATGACAAATTATGCATTGTCGCCTTTAATGGAATATTTAACTATGATGACGTCATCGAAATGAAAAATTAATGGCATATTTTTGATAGAGAATTATCTCAACTACAACATATTAAATTCTGGGAGATAATTGATCACCGATAAGTGAGATAATCTCAATTAAACAAAGACAAAAATGACGTCATCAACAAAATACATTTGTTTGAGTTTAGATGCCAATATGATGACTTTGTTTCACTTTGTACGAGTCAGGGTGGTATGAAATCATATCTCCAACTCATGCTTTTTCCAACCATGATATAAAAATTGGGGGTCGATGGACTATCTGAAGAGCTATATCGATTTTTAAAATGGCATGTTTTTGATGAAATTTGCATTATATTGCCTATAGCAGCACGCGCGGATTTTGAACTTTGACGCACGCTCACGGCCTTATGAAATATGAAGAGTGACTGAAATTGATGTAAATTGTCAATTACGTTAAGAGGAATCTAAATCATGTAAAAAAAAATGAATTTGACCTTTTCCGCGCGTTGTGAGCGCGCGCAACGCGCGCGTGGACACGTACGGACAGAAAATTTTGAAATGCTTAAAATGACCTGATTCGTACTCTCGTTTAATAGTTAAGTGATTTTGAGCATTTTAAAATTTTGACGCGCACGTACGCGCGCGTCGTGACCTTTATGTGACCTTTAATGACATGACCTTTTGACCCTTGACCTGAAATATATGTGATATAGATATGAATGACTTTTGCTTATGCATCATGAAGATATGATGGATAACGTGATTTCACAAAATGGCGCATGGATGACGTCACGATGACCTGATGACCTTGAAAATGTTCCTGTCACGTCTCATGACAATGACCTATGACTGTGCTAAAATTGAATGAAATTGATCAAACTGAACGTGAGTTATCCTAGGCACAAAAAAGTGTGGGAAATAAATAAAAATAAATAAATAAATAATAATAATAATAAAGAAAATTCTGACGAAAACAATAGGTGATCTGTCGAACGACAGACCACCTAATAAATAAATAAATAATAACTAGACTTTAATTCTTCACTTTGACGAATTAGGTGATACGTATGCTATTTTTTTTATCATGTAAGTGTGCCGATAATGATCTAATGATAATGTTCATAACTACGAAAGATTTTTTGTTTTAAATGATAAAGACCATGATTAAGAGTGGTATAGCGCCCCCTTCAGGTATTCGATGGAGATTTGTAGAATCAGGATTTCAGAAAAAGTCGCCTTACACGCAAACTAAGAAAATTCTGACATGTCGCCTTTAATTGAAATTTTCACTATGATGATGTCATCGAAATGATAAATGATGTACGTCAATATTGTAGATAATTTATTAGCTACACCGTATCAAAATTTGGGAGAACATAGAGTACAAATAAGCTAGATAGTGCTCAAAGATCAATGTCATGTAGATTCATGATGTAAACGAAATTCACCTTCCATAGGCATAACACGCAAATTAAGAAAATTCTGACATGTGGCCTTTAATTGAATTTTGTACAATGATGACGTCAATGAAATAAAAATGACGTCAATGAAGCAATTGCCTCAACTAAAAGATACCGAGATTTGGAAGAAAATCAGTCAATATTATGAGAAATACACTAAATTTTCCATAACTATGATGACGTCATAATATGTAATTTTGTATTTTGACTTCCAAGGCCATTATGATGACGTCAAGATGTATTTAATGGCCACATGAGATATGAAATCATATCTCCGACTCATACTCTATCTAAATATGAAAAAAGAATGGCAGTCCTTATTCATCCCGATGTACTTTTTACAGGCATGTTTTTGCCCATATATGCTATGTAATACATGACCTCGCGCGCGCGTATATTCATCTTGGACGGACGCTCATTCCATTATTAATAGTGATAAAGAGATGAACATGGTATCAAATTGTTCAGAAAAATATGAGGAATATTCTGTCAATGGTTATTGCAGAGGAATTATTTTTCGTTCGGCCGTGACGAACGAAAACGCGCAAAAATGCGTGTTTTGTGCAATTTTTAATAAAATGCTTATAATGGCCTGAAACGTATGCAAAACAAATTTGGGATGATTTTGAGCATTTAAAAAAAATTCGCGCGCGTCAACGCGTGCACATCAGCGTACGCGCATGTTTGCGCGCATTTATTGACCTGAAATTGACCGGACGGATATTGATCTTAATCCTGATAATTATAAATGAGAATTGCCTTTCCGTTATGAAGATATGATCATAAGTTGATTTTTGTCTCGCCTGCGTAGCAAAAAGCGAGACATAGGCGCCGCTTTTCCGGTGACGGCGGCGGCGACGGCGACGGCGACGGCGTCAACATCAAAAACTTAACCTAAGGTTAAGTTTTTGAATTTTTGGTATAATTTTTAAAGTATAAGTTCTTAGTCAATTAAACTTTGACTATAGGGTAATCAAGTATCCCCAATCATGTGAGTAGAATTTCAGATCACAAAGTCAAGGTCAAAGGTCATTTGCAGGTCAACAGACTTGGACTATGTTGTAGCATCATCATCGAAAACTTAACCTAAGGTTAAGTTTTTGAATTTTTGATATAATTTTGAAAGTATAAGTTCTTAGTCAATGAAACTTGGACTATAGGGTTATCAAGTCTCCCCAATCATGTGAGTAGAATTTCAGGTCACTAAGTAAAGGTCAAAGGCCATTTAAGGTCAACAAACTTAGACTTTGTTGTGGCATCAACATTAAGATTTTCAAAATGCTTCTTCTTCGTTATTTTTCAACTGATTTTGATTCTGATTGTTTCATATGATAGGGCTAGGAGGGAATTTAAAATTTCTACGCAGAATCGTGAAATTCATTATCTATGCTAATTTATGCAAATTTATTCGAAATCACAAAAAAGGCTTCTTCTCCTTCATTTCTCGACCGATTTTGATTTGGTTTGCTTTATATCGTAGAGCTAACTTTGGTACACTAAACATCTACACAGAATTTTGAAATTGTTCTCCATTAATTAATTATGGTAATTTATGCAAATTTATTCCAAAAATAACAAAAATTGCTTCTTTTCCCTCATTTCTTGACCGATTTTGCCTTATCTGGTAGAGCTAAATTTGGAAAAATAAACTTCTACACAGAATTGTGAGATTTTGCTCCATTGATTATTTATGGTACTTTATGCAAATGAAATGAAATTATGTCCCTTCCAGGGCATCAAATTTCTATTTTTTGACCAGTTCAAAAGTGTACCACATAAAATTTACGATATTTGTTGTTGTGAGATGCGGATGAGCGCTACGTCATTGACGTTCTGGTTTATCATATTGAATTGCGTTATGCAGGCGAGACCGCCGAGAGCGTTTCCCTTGTTACAAAATGGCGCCTAGATGACGTCATGATAACTTTGAGTCTTTGAAAAGTCACGCAGGTCTAAGTTAGACTAAGATCTATCATCAGTGAAAGTTTCATGATAATGGCTTTATTCAGTCTTGAGATATCCTGCGAACAAAATCGAGGAAGAATAATAAAAATAAAAATAATAAAGAAAATCTTGACGAAATCAAAAGGTGATACGTCCACGTACGTATCACCTAATAATAAAGAAAATTCTGACGAAAACAATAGGTGATCTGTCGAAAACGACAGACCACCTAATTAGTAATTTCTAAGATTGAGATTGAGATGGGTAAAAAAAAGGAGGGGGGAATAAGCTTTTTAAAAAATCCTAGGTATAAGTTACATTGTTTGTACTGTGCTGCCCATCACCCAGTAGTCGGTGATTCTTCACCCTGACGATTCTTCCTATTTCCTTCTCAATATTTTCAAATGTTTGTTCCCATTTTGCCAGAATCTTCCCTTTTCTTCTAAAATCTCTGATTTCCCCCCAATTTTGCTTGTCATGGGACCTCCCCCCCCCCCCCCCCCCCTGACGCCACTACCATCAAAAAAGCTTTACTTCAATTTATCTTTCTTTAGATTTTCTCTGTATTCCTAACTCCTTTTTCTGAATCTTACTCTTGTAAAACTCCAATTTAGAGATATATGCAGTAGACTAGTGGTATTTGTATTCATCTAGGCCTTGTCCTACACAGCTTTACCAGTACTTGATTTTTACACTTTAAGCTCAGACGTCAGTTTAAAAAAAAGCAATCAAGCAAATCAAAAACAAAAAGCATATGCAAAGGTTGAATCAAGTACTGTGCTCGTCTAACTGTATAAATAAACCAGCTTTCCACATTCCTGCTATGTCCGTTTCATGAGTATTTGCTAGAATAGAAAGCAACGTGATTGAAAAACAAATTTATGTTTAACATTTCTTTTCATTAACTGAAATTCCTCTATTTTCGTACAGGTTTTAATACAGCTGAGGAGCTTTCTACTGCCAAAGAGGGCAAGAGCCAGAGTGTGAGATAGACAAAAGTGTCCAACACCTCGATTTATTGATTGGATCAATAACTATCACAACACAAAATGAACACTTTCAATCCCACCTGTCTGCTTCTATGCCTGGCTAATCTGACATTTGCATGTAAGTACTGTAATCCATGTTTTCTCCACTTCTGGGCATTGAAAAAAATTTGTTTGAATATATTTCTCCCTTTTATTTAATAAAAAATTTGTTGATTAGTTTTCTTGATGTTGCTGAATGGCTGCTTTGATCACAACATCTTATTAGAGTGTAGTGAGCAAATAAAGACTTTTGATATTATTCTTTCTGATTTTTATAGAATAATTGAGATGTACATTTTGAATTTTTTGTACATTCCCATGTCTCTATACATGAATTTCAAACAAATAGGTCTTAAACTAGAAAATACAGGAGAGAAAATATTCCACAAGTATTCTGTCATCATATTCAGGCATCTACTGTTAGTCGTCTTTTCATATCAGGCATATTTTTTCAAATTCAAAGCTGAAAATTATGGACAGAAAAAGAAAAACTGCTAAAACCACATATTGATTCTCTAAATATTATTTAAAAACCATGGCAGTACACTTAACACCAACAAATAAATATACTACTATTACCAAAATAAAGTGTTATCACACTAGTAAGGCCACTTTGGTTGAAAATATTCATACATGTACAATAAAATCATTCTACAAAAATAGACCCACGAATCCCCCCCCCCCCAAAGAAAAGAAAACTTGAAAGTTTGAAACTTAGTAATTCCAGAATACAGGAATAGCTTATGTAAGTTGTACGTAAATTGTGCATATTTCATATGTACAACTTCTGCAGTAATATTTCAAAATAAATTATGATTAGATTCAAATATATACATACATTTCATCCTTCACATTAGGTTATTTATCAATGTAGCTATGGGCTCAGGCACATCATCATCATCGGGTTGAAATATTAAAGATATCATTAAAAGCAGCAATAACTTAATTTAGATCGTTTTTTTTGTAAATACTTCTAATAGGTCTAGAATTTATTATTACAAAAATGAGCCCAGATCATGAGCATCAATGCTCTATCTCAGTGGAGCCAAAAACCCACATCATTCTTCATGGATAGAGTCCATCGCTTTCAATTAAATTAGATCAGGATCCATTTGATATGTTCTGTGTGCCTTCATCGTCTTTCCCTATATACCCCCTTCTCCTCTCCCGCCTAAAGTGCACTGCATGTATGCCTGGGTCTTTCTAAGCTTCGTCTCTCTGTCTGTGAGTCGGTCTCTTCTCTTTCTATTTCCCTTTGTTTTTTTAGAATTTCTCCTGCCCTCCATCTTCCTATTCCTTAAAAAATGTATTTTTATAACCCTTTTCTCTCTTTGTTACTCCCTTTTTTCGTCCGTTTATTGAAAGCATAAAATAGGAAAAGAATAAAGTGGAAAGTTGAACATTCTTGTTTTTTTCACTTTCGAACAGTGGTAAAAATCATTGCTATTCATTCAACAGCTAAAAAACATATTTTACAATTATTTTTAGCAACTCCCTGTATTGCAACACTTTACCCAAAATATTATTCAACAGTTAAGCCATGGTCTGCGTAGGGGTAGCGAGGGGGTCCACATAGATTTTGGGGTTGTACATTCGCAGGTGGCCCTTGCGCACAAAGTAAGTAGCCCACGTAGCCCTCATTTTCCTATACGGAGAAAAATTGGACATATACAATTTTTGGTCCGCGATGATTTGTCGCGCGGCTACTGTGTGGCTGATAGGTGGCTAGCCTTTAGACAAGGCTGCATGTCTGATAGATGCCAAGCGACTAAAAAGAGACTAATCGCAAAAACCTGAGTGAACGCGGCAGAGCGAGTGGCCCAGCCAAGTAGTCTTTAGTAATCTGATTTGGATTTTTTATGTTAACCCTTGTTTCCGACTGGAACGTATCCTCGCTTTACATCAGCATATAAGTATCCATCACACACACACACAGTAAACTCTACGTACGTAGTACGAACATATGGCCTATGGACCTACTAAGAATGATGTACGGAACAAAAAACGAGTTGGACTGGTTCAATTTCTATAAAGTCTGATTATCTCACTTACAATTGTTAGCTCAAGTCATCAAATGCTTCCTATTTTATTGTAATTTTGCATGTAAAATAGATTTGGATGTGATATTTTGTAACGGGACCTCCCTCTCCAGCTCTCTCTCTCTCTTTCGCTTTCTCTATCTCTCTCTCTCTCTCTCCCCCTCTCTGCAACTCTCTCACTCACTATGGAGATAGGTTCCTGTGATTGATTACTCATTAAGAAGCGATGTATAGATATGACTACGGTATTTAAATGTATAGTGAGGTATTCCTAACTAAGAAAATAATATTTGTTTTGTTTTTGTTTTTTGTTTGGAATTATTAATGTTTTCATTAAAAAAAAACTGACGTTATGATATCCATTTTCCGTTTTGTTATTGTGTATTGTAATTTTTTAGCCCTGCATGAGATGCATTCAATGTCATTCAAATCTCAGTCCTGGGTTTCATGTATCATCTTTATTATTATGTACTTTCTTCAATAAAGATGAATAAACATATTAAAGGTAAAGACCAGATTTGGAAACGCCCCCCTCTCAAAAAATGAAATGGAAGCTCTTATTACCCATCATGTGAAAGAATATGTTTTGACTAATACCTGATCATACAAATTTTGCTGAGAAACTGCCTACTAATTGATATATTTGGTAAATTATTATATCTATTTGAACCTGATAGATATAAGGCACGTGTCGCGCACGTGTGGCGGTAGTCCCATATACATCTTTCTGTGTATAGTGCTTGTAACTTTATCAAGACTGGGCCAAATTTCTTATCAATTTGATAATTCCAGAGACTTGCAGTACACACCAATACTTATATGCTAGATGATCAACCTTTTCTGATCGATTCCACAACGTTTCCTTCACAATGCAATCGCATGACCATAACTGGTCTTTATCTTTTATCATTTATATGTTCATCTCATAAGCAAAACTAGTTTATGTCTTTTACCTTTTCTTACATGTTTTGATAATGAACGAATCACGAACAAAATCAACTGGGAGAAGGCCATTCTGATTGGTCAACAAATTTAAAGTCATGAATAATTCATGCGAGCAGTAAAAGCTAGATTGCAAAAGGCCTCGCGGCTATCGCCACTCGATCTATGTGTTTACCCTGGGTCTCTAGATTCATCTCAGCCGCTGATTTGGGTGGAAAATAGCCAGTCAAGAGGCCTTGTCAAAAGGCTAGTGCATGGGTAGTACTTTGTTATTGTATTTTGTTGTTATTTGCAGGGTACATAGGCAACAACGATGTTCCACCTTCAATAGTGGAACAGCCTGAATCGATTAATGGAGACCAACCGACTGTGCCGATACGTGAATAGCGTTGCGCGGCAGCTCCATAACGGTCCCTTGTTTTACTTTTTAGCGATGCAGTGGCACGAAGGGGGACCGTGAAAAAGACAAAAATCAGAGATTTGGTTGAAAAAGTGGTGGAATTTCTAGGAGGAATATGGAGAGCTTTTTGAAATAGGTAGAAGTAGATGTAGTCACTTGTGCAAAAAGTAGCAAAAGCATTTTTTTGTTTGTTGGTACTCTTGTAGACGATGTTCCACCTTCCATAGTGGAACAGCCTGAATCGATTAATGGAGACCAACGTATACCATTAACTCTAACGTGCAGAGCTACCGGAATACCAGAACCTACGTAAGTTTCAAACATAGAGGAATCTTAACGCTGCATTTATGATTGGTAGATTCTCAAACATACATTTTGTCAAGGAAAAAATATAGGTAGAACATTGTATGCAAACAACATTCCTGATGGTCTTAAGCTTTTGCAAATGACTGACATGACTGTATCGAAGATCGGTTTGGGGTGGTTCCTATTGCAATTAATGCATCACAATTTGTTTACACCAGACTCTGTGGAATTTCTATTTAAAGTGTGTACAAAAGTGTACAACTGGGAGAAGAATTGTGCTTTATTTGATGTAGAAGGAAATTTAATGCTTGCATTAATTCGCCTGGATGGGGGTAATTACCTACAGTGCGACCCAGAAAAAACAAAATCGAGAATTATTGATGTTTTATCATAACTTAATCACAATTATAATTAATAAATGACACATATTTGTAAAGCTTAGATCCTCCTCTTTCATTTGATGCAACTCAAATGATGCATATTTCACGCATAAGTGATTAAAAGCAATTAGGAAGGAAACCAAAAAGTCATTTGGCGGGCGGTATCTGAATTTTCAAAGAAAAATTCACATTTCTAGAAAGTTCATTTTCTGCTCTTTCAAGACACCTCAATTAGGAAAAAAGAGCCAGGAATAACAAAGTTCTGTTTGTTTAAAGTGAATTTTGAGAAAATTTCCTTTATAGCAATCACAGGAGCCAATCATGCTCACCATGGGAGGGGGTTGGAAGGGGAATTGGAAGGATGAAAGTGATAGTAGTGTTCATGTAATCATGTTTCAATGATTAATTCAATACCAGGTACTACTGGGAGAAGGATGGATCTTTATTTGACGTGGACAGCAATGATCGTGCTAGCCTGGATGGGGGAAACCTAGTGATCGAATCATTAACAACAGCAGACGATGGACAATACCAATGTTTTGCTAATAACAGGCTTGGTACAGCAATGTCCCAAAAGATATGGACATCATTGGCCTGTAAGTTAATGCCTTCATTGTTCATACCCAATTGGCCCCGGGTAGGGCCACGGGAAAGACACATAGTCTCGTCATGACACACTCCCTTCAAGTAGACTTAACTTGTGGGACTACACAGACATGTGGCATATAAATCTGTCCCAATTTTTATGATATTTTATGCCATATTAAGAATATTTTAGCATTTGGAGAGCCATGCTTTTCAGGGAACTTTTTTTTATCTGATATTCTTTCACACTTGCATAATTAAGACAAGGATAATGCTCACAGATTATTTTTCTACCTCTCCTCAGAACTCAACCTTCTCTTTAAGGTTGGTTAGAGAGGCCAAGTATCAAGTGTTGTTCATGTTCTGGTTCAAAGTGGGTGTCATTATACTCTATGGGATAGATAGTTGGGATGGTAAGATTGTAAAGTAGCTGTCACATGGTGTTGGCTTTCCTGTGCCACCATGTAGTAAATTTTGTGCGGATGGTGGAACAGGGTGAGGGCACATGGCAGGGCGTTGAGCGACTGGTGATCACGATGGGGGCACATTAGTGGGCATGTGGGTATACAAGCGTTGGCACACGGGGAAAACCCGTTATGAGGCCGGTAATTAGAGGACGGTGAGAACAGTGAAGACGTGTCATATTTTGTCCAACAGGTTGTTACCCCGTTCATACTGGCCTCACGCCTGGTTTTCTCTGGGCTCTCACCGTTCACTCAATGTTGACCCGCCTCTCCTGTGGTGATGAAAAATGAAGTTAAACATAAATGCATATAATCATATCATAATTTGTCCTCCTCGGGGGGAAATCTTGCCCATCACCCTGCCCTGACTGATCTTGTTCAGGCTACGCCACCGCGACATTCAGTAGACCAAGCAGGCCCATTATCATAGCTATTTATGCCTAGGTCACATTTAATCTGCAGCTAGGATACGGCAGCCGTACGCCCCCGAAATCGAGAGATGCTTGCGGCTGCCGCAGAGAATCTGCGGTGGCCTTAGGGTCACCCTAGGGCGTTTCTCTATCTTTACAGGCTTTACGGGTTGCCGTGGGACAATAATGCTGAGTTATAACTTTTTTCATTTCTAGGTTTGGCGTAGCAAATTATACACGCCGTAGCCATGCCATAGAGCGGTTCCACAGCAACCATACATTGGGCGTACGGTGGCCATGTGTTTGCAACGCGGCTGCCCTCGGGTCTTATGAATCATAATTGACTTTTGCAGAACAAAAAAAAAGGTGGCGGCCACAGGAATTCCACATGCGCGGCCCTGGGGCAGCCTTAAGGCAGCTGCGTGCATCATCACTTCAAAGGCCGTACGGCAGCCGCCATTTTTTGTTGTCTCCACAACTTCAAAATACGCTGTGCGGCTACCCTAATGTGACCATGGGAATGCTGCGGAGGCCCTATCATTGCCATTGTTCGTAGATAATTCAGTCTGCAGGTCCGCTGCGGCAAATGTGACCTAGGCATAAAGGACTGAGTTTGCTATTTCAGAAACTAGTAATTGTTTATACGACAATAATGTTTTGGAAAAAATAGCTTTTAGTAGGACTTATATGGTCCTACAAATTATATAGTGGGTTGAACCTGACCATGAGCCCATACTGCCTAGAGTGGGGTGAGAGGGGGGGAGGGGTACTTTAGAATTGTGTTTTGTTTGGGACTTTGGGGGGATAGGGGGCTTGAACATTTTTCTTCGAAGGTTTTTCGCGTCATGTAATGTACAAAGAGGTAATGCAATCCGAATACGAACCAAACATTTAGTTTGGTCTTATTGTCCGGGTCATCTCGTAGGAGAGGTTGGTAATTATAAAGCATGATTCTATATATACAGTGCGTCCCAGAAAAAACGAAACTAAAAAAATATTGATGTTTTATCATAACTTAAAGGGGCATGTTCCCGCCATTGTAGTTATCGCTGCTCTAGTCATCGCCATCTTGGTTCCGAAGATTGACTTCTAATTTGCATACAGCTGTCAATCAAAGTACACACGGCCTGGCCTGCCTTCGTCAAGCCAGCTGATCGCTGCCAATCCTGACGTCATGAAAGTGGGCGGAAACAGCAGCCGAATCTTAGAGCCGAACTGCGATTGGTATTACTTCGGCACATGTATGCGATAGTCGGCATTGTGCGGGCATTCGGATCATGCCATCTGCGTAAGAGCCGTATTCTGTTGGTGTCAATAGGCAGCTAGCACCGTTCGCCAGCGGGTACATATTTTGAACGCCCTCTGGAATATGGGGAACATGCCACTTTAATCACAATTATATATATAATCAATAAATGACACATATTTGTAAAGCTTAGATCCTCCGCTTTCATTTGATGCAACTCATATGATGCATATTTCACGCAGGAGTGATTAAAAACAATTTGAAGAGAGGAAACTAAAAAGTCATTTTTAGGGTGGTATCTGAATTTCAAAGAAAAAATCACTTTCCTAGAAAGTTCATTTTCTGCCCTTTCATATGACACCTCCATCAGGAAAAATGAGCCAGGAATAACAAAGTTCTGTTGGTTTAAAGTAATGCTTGCATTTCCATAATTTGATTAAAAGAATTCGTTTTCACTTGCTGCCTGCCGTAGCAACAAACAGAGTTGACAAAAGACTTTGCTCCGTTTCGTTGATGATGCATATATATATATATATATATTTTTTTTTTTACTGTCATGTCGTTATTTTCTTCTTCTTCATTTTCCTTTTAGCTTGAATAGAAAAAAGAGAAAGAAAGAGAAAACTAGATGGAACTTTGACTGCGCGCAGTCGAAAATGATGCCTCCGTCATAGAGCAATTTTACAAACCAAAACAGAAGAAATTTTTTTAAATTCAAGTTCAATTGTAATCCAATAACAGGTTCTCAGAATATCATGATTACAAGCAATTTCTCATATACATATATGACCCTTTGATCTTTGACCTCATGACCCTAAAATCTACTCAGTTCATTGGCTCTGCAAGATGTCCTGAGTTAAATAGTAATCCATCTGTCAGTCCTAATGAGAATGTGTTCACAAGCTATGTTTGCATACATAATGAGCCCCTGACCTTTGACCTTTGAGCTTATGAACCAAGAATCTACTTAATTGATTGGCTCTGCAAGATACATAAATGATCTAAGTATGGCAGGAATCCATCAATCTGTTCAAATGATAATACAATCACAAGCTATTTTTGCATACATAATGAGCCACATGACCTTTGACCTTGTCGTCATGACCCCAAAATCTAATAAGTTCATCAGCTCTGCCAGTAACATATATGACCTAAGTTTGGCAGGAATCCATCAGTCGGTTCTTGAGAAAACGGGATTACAAGCTGTTTTTGCATACATAATGAGCCCTGTGACCTTTGACCTTTGACCTCGTGACCCCAAAATCTAATCAGTTCATTGGCTTTGCAAGATATATACATGACCAAAGTTTGGCAGAAATCCATCAATCGGTTCTTCTGATAACGCGATCACAAGCTGTTTTTGCATACATAATGAGCCCTGTGACCTTTGACCTCGTGAACCCAAAATCTAATCAGTTCATCGGCTCTGCAAGTTACATTCATGACCAAAGTTTGGCAGGAATCCATCGATCGGTTCTTCAGATAACGCGAACACGAGAACGGGACGTACGTACGTACAGACGTACGGACGGACAACCCGAAAACATAATGCCTCCGGCTACTTCGTAACGGAGGCATAAAAAGTTTTATTTATTGCTTACTTTATTTTCATTTCTTATGAAAAGCAACCCTCATCCCGTATTATGAATAGCGACCTTCATTTTGTTTAATGAATAGCGACACTCTCGTTTTATGAATAGCTACCTTCATTCCGCATTATGAAAAGCAGCCCTAGCTGTCGTTGTTTTATGAACAGCAACCCTCTTCTCCTTTTTATGAAAAGCGACCCTCTTCTTGTATTATGAATAGCGACCCTTTTCTGGTATTATGAATAGGGACCCCGATTTTGTATTATGAATAGCGACCCTCTTCTTATCTTATGAAAAGCGACCCTTTTCTCCTATTATGAATAGCGACCTTCATTTTGTATAATGAATATAGCGACACTCTCGTTTTATGAGAAGCTACCCTCATTCAACATTATGAAAAGCAGCCCTAGCTGTCGTTGTTTTATGAACAGCAACCCTCTTTTCCTATTATGAATAGCGACCCTCTTCTCGTATTATGAATAGCAACCCTTTTCTGGTATTATGAATAGGGACCCCGATTTTGTATTATGAATAGCGACCCTCTTCTTATCTTATGAATAGCGACCCTCTTCTCCTATTATGAATAGCAACCTTCATTTTGTATAATGAATATAGCGACACTCTCGTTTTATGAGAAGCTACCCTCATTCAACATTATGAAAAGCAGCCCTAGCTGTCGTTGTTTTATGAACAGCAACCCTCTTTTCCTATTATGAATAGCGACCCTCTTCTCGTATTATGAATAGGGACCCTTTTCTGGTATTATGAATAGGGACCCCCATTTATATTATGAATAGCGACCCTCTTCTTTGATTATGAAAAGTGGTCCCTATGAATAGCGACATTACCCCCTCATACCGTCTACATACCAGTCCCTCACCGCGGCCCATAACATTCAACCATTCTCTTAATGACCTAATACAACCTCTTAAGTTCCACTGTCCTTATTACGCCTCCATACTGGCCTGTTAATTGCTGTTAATTGTTTTACATGGTGCCCGTTCAGAAACTGTCCAGACACCATGACTCCATATTTTACTTTTTAAAAGTGCTAATTCCTCTGTTGTTTCCTGCGGATCGGGAAGCTTCCTAGCTTTACCCACTCCCCCTGCCAGTTGTTTTCTTCCATGTGTAAGCATAATGAGGAATTATAAAGAATTTTTTAGAAGAACGTCTAGGAGGACGTACATCCATGAACTCAAGAACTGAAGTGTGACCGGCCGGGTGAGTGCCCAGCTTTTATATACGGTGTGTGACCTCTTCAAGGCGGAGCGAACGTTTAGCAATCGGTATGGGTGTGTTCTGGGCGGTAAGCGGCCGGACATCGTGACACGTACTAGCTGGTACAAGGACTTTGTAAGTGGAAAGGACCCGGTATGGAGACGGAATGAAAATGTTGAGGACACGGTGGAAAAATTTAACAAAAATAAAGAAAGATTTTTACCGCTTGTCATTTGCTATGTGACAGCACCATAAGATCTAGGATCATTGGTCAGTTTTGACATAGAGTATAGAGTCATATAAAACCTGCTTGTTTTTTGCTGTTTCCATGTTTATCTCCAGTCATGGATCAGTTTGAGAACACTGCATGGGAAACGATACAAGTGGATCAGGGAAGACCCCTGAAGCTGCGTTGTGGTGGATCCCCCGGCGTCCCCAACGGCAATCCTGCTCCCTTGATGTACTGGACCGATGCAGCTGCCAAACCCACACCCATCTCATACAACGCGCGGATTAGCCAGGATCCAGAAGGGAGCCTGGTCTTTTCGAACGTAATTGCAAGCGACGCTAAAGGCTACTACTGTCAAGCCATCAATAACGTTGTAGGGTCATCCCAGCAGTCACCAAAAGTCACGCTGATGGTATCAGGTAGGCGAACCAGCTGATTAACATAGACACTGTTAAACCAGAAACTTTTGCACAAATGAATTTTTTGTGAATTTCAGGAGTGGTTAAGATTAACAATTTGTTTAAATTATGGTATATCACAATTGACACAACACTGAATATTCACAATTTGCAAAAGTTGCTTGCTGTGTGAATGACAGTTGTTTACAATCCATGAAAGTTTATTGTTTTAGAGTAATACAAGCCCTCTATTATGTTGTAGAGTCATCCCAGCAGACACCAAAAATTACACTTAGTGTATTAAAACAGGTAGGTGTAGCAGCTGATGTACCTATTAACATAGACACTGTTAAACCAGAAACTTTCGCACACATGAATTCTTTCGTTAATTTCAGGAGTGCTTAAGACTCATGAATTTTTTAATTATGGTATCACAACTGACACAACACTAAATATTCACAATTCGCAAAAGTTGCTTGTTGTGTGAATGGCTGTTTATTGTTTACAATCCACGAAAGATTACTGTTTTAGAGTAATACAAAAGGAGGCAATTTAGACTGAAAACCCTCTTGTCTTGTAGGTCCCTGTTATATCATTAAAAATGCCTTTCTTTCCTTGTGTTATCCTTTATCTTCTTTCATGACATTAAATTCATTTCATCAATTCATAATTACTTAATCACTCCTAGATACCCCCCCCCCCTCTCCCTACATTAAAAATAGACATTTAAATTCTCCATGATCCTTTCCCTTCCCCTTCTTCTTCATGTACTTTGCTATTAATTAGTGGTTGTAAGCATATTAAGATAAATCAATAATTCAAGGATTTTGATAAGTTCCACATTTATATCGACTGTATAGATTATATTCCTATACCACTTATTTCCTCCATTTTGTAAATATGAATGCATTTTTATTCTGATTCGTTGTAATCCGAGAAAATGTCATATATCTATTTATTTGGAATGTTTTCTAATGGTATTATAGAACTATAACTTAGGATCATAATGGTAGGCTTGGTTAGATTTAGTTAAGGTAGTCAAATGCATTTTATATATTCAGCTTTACAAAAGAAAATAACTCAATCTTGTTCATATCTTGCACTCTACAGTCAGACTGCAACGCATATGCTAATGAGGTTTTACAGTGATGCTTCTCGATCGTGATCTTGAATAATTCACTTCCAATTTAAATAATATGAGCGTGATTTTAAAGATAAAATCCAGTTATGGTTATGCGATTGTATTGTGAAAGAAACGTTTTGGAATCGAGAAAAAGTTGATCATCTAGCATATAAGTATTGGTGTGTACTGCAAGGTTTTGGAATCATCAAAATGATGAGAAATTTGGCCCAGTCTTGGTAGAGTCAAAAGCACTGTACACAGAAAGATGTATATGGGACTATGCGACACGTGCGCGACACATGCGTTATATCTATCAGGTCCAAATAGATATGATAGCAAATATGTTTGTTTATGTGAATGTGTGTCTTTTTTTCCCTTTAAAAAAAATCTTTTTAGGGGTAGAGGTGAATACCAGTTCTTGTCTCGCCTGCGTAGCAAAAAGCGAGCCACTTTTCCAGTGACTGCGGTGGCGGCGTCAACATCAAAAACTTAACCTAAGGTTAAGTTTTTGAATTTTGAGTATAATTTTGGAAGTATAAGTTCTTATTCAATGAAACTTTGACTTAAGGATTATCAAGTATCCCCAATCATGTGAGTAGAATTTCAGGTAACAAAGTCAAGGTCAAATGTAATTTCAGGTCTGCAAACATAAACTTTGTTGTGGCATCAACATCAAGATTTTGAATTTTTAGCATAATTTTAAAAGTGTTTGTTCAAATTCCATGAAACAAGGGTTATCAAATATCACAAATCACATGACACAAATTCCAGGTCACAAAGTCAAAGTTAAAGGTCATTTTAGGTCAGTAGACTTCAGATTATGTTTTCACAGCTTAATATGAGTATTAATAAATCAATTTTGTTTAATTATTCATATTCCATTAAGGTTATCAATCTTGGTACAAATTATAGTAAATAATTCTTCTGATGATTCACAGTCAATATTCACTTCAAAGTGCTTATTATATACAGAGGATTTCATTTTGGGGGGCCTGCTAATTATGGGCCACCCTGCCTATAAATAATGTCCCAACCTCAATTTTTTATCATATCGAATTTCGTAATGCAGGCGAGACCGCCGAGAGCGTTTCCCTTGTTTACATAAAAATTCACCCAAATCTTGATCAGAATATTTCGAAAAATAAGTAAAAACAAACATTGATAAGTAATACAATTATTTGGAGGAGAGATTTAATAACAGCATTAATGTTTGTCAAAGAGAATTGCTTTGAGGTAATCATATCTTAAACCAGGCCCTGACTTGTGATTTACTTTTTCACTCAGTGATGAAAGTTTATATTTGGATTCAAAATTGTTGGTTTTTGTCTTTGTATAGTTTCTGAAATTTAGTTTGCTCACAGAATTTCAAGAATAAAATCACAAGTTTGAAGGCAAACCAGACCTTTGTAGACACAAGTATCCATTAACAAACATCTTTTAATGAAAAAAACAAAGTACATATATCTTTTGTTGCGGGAAAGATGTGAATCTGGAAATTTGACTCAGTGTAAAAAGTAGAACATTTTTGACTTGTGTGAGCTAAGCTATAGATATGCACAAGATTTCCCCTGATGTCCTACATATAGAGATGGCTATATATATCAACATCGGTGAAAGAGTCCTTGACCAGGGCAGCATAAATGGGGTCCAAATAAAAAATAATTTATATCTAATTATTAAAGTGTAGACATAATCCATTTGTCTTCATTGACAAGGTATGAAAATTATCTTTTGACTTTTTAGTAGTTTGAAAATTAATACATCAATTATTAATCTCAGAAATGTGGTTTGACATTGAATTGTTCTCCTTTCCACAATCTGTATACAACCCTGAATACTCTAATTGTTTGTTTGTGTTTAAATGTCTGTATTGTATAGTAAACACTTGATCCTATAGTCTGTTACGAATGTTGTTCTTTCTCAAAAGATTTATTGTTTGACGTGCCTCCTTTGTGAACTAATCCCAAAGCCTTCCCTCTCTTCTCTCACGGTGCTTGGATATTTCTTAATTACGCCCTTGTTTTGCGAGTGTAGCTGATGAGGAAAAGATTTAGAACAACCGCAACAAGAAAGAAATAGCCCCCAAATCGCTGAGGTTCCGCCGTCAGAACTCTCTGTTCACGTTGGGGGCTGTTTCTGAAAATTTTTATGATAAACCACTGACATTACACATTTCAAAAAGAGGTACCAGCAAGCTGCAAGTGCAAGAAAGGAATGACCAATGGGCCTTCATGATCCAATTTGTGGAATGCCCTAACTCTCCCCTTTGTTTTTATTTGATGCCTGATGTATATTTAAAACTAACTTAGTACTTGAAAATTCCTTCCTTCGAATATTCTAACCTCTCATACTAATACTCAATATTTTTCTAACACTGTTTTATTAGTAGCGTCCTCTATAGGTCACAGTGGTACTCAGTAAATGCATTTTGGTTTATGAAGTTTAACAGGATAGCAAATTGGCAATTTAGATGTATTCATTATAAACATATATATTCATATACCTCTAAGAGAGAGAGATGGAATTGATATGATGCATCCTTTGACCAACATTCATGAGGATTTCAAGGAAATTTCAAATGAATTTAATAAACGTGATGTGAATATCTAACCAATTTTGTTTATTTTGTTCCGTTTATTCTGCATGCACTTTTGACTAACAGAGCATGCTAACACTACATGCTCATAATGCATGTCTAGGTGCCTACCTATTTTAACAGGATTTTTTTTTTTTTAAATGGCCGATTGGTTCCCTTTTCTGATTCATCCCCCCCTCCCTTTTGTGTTTTCTCTTTCATTCTCTTTCTCTTATATGTTTGTCAGTCCTGTCCTTAATAAAACTTTCATCCTTTCTTTTATTTTTTATTTTGTTATTGTGCATGTGTAACATATTATGTAAGCCTGCATGCAAACTGCATGTTTTTAACCATGAATTAAAAAAATATATAACAGAATGTGTTAAAATTTAATCTACTTAGTGTATTGCTTCACATGAAGATTGTGCATGCTGATGATTAAACTAATTTATTTCAAATGACATTGTACTTGTATAAAAAAATTCTTTAATTTCTATTCTCTATCCCTTCTTTCTCTTTGATACGACCCCCTTCTTCCATCCACAGTTCTTCTCTATCATTCTATCCCACTCTTTTCCCTATCTTTCTCTTTTTCTATCCTTCTGTCTTGCCATTCTTTAATACCACATACTGGTTGATATGCCCAGGGTGTAACTATAACCAGATGCTTTGTTTATGAGAATCATGTCAACTGCAAATTAGCCAAAGAACTACTTCCAAACATTTTATTCATGTCAATCGTAAATTCATGTAGCATCAATTTGTATACTCTCAAAAGTTTGATTGCAAAGACCTTATGAACCCAGAGTTTTAAATTAAATAATGTAAACATTACTGTTGAAGTTTTAAAATCTTCATTATTCATTATTCAAACAGCTCTCTTTGACTCCCATGTTCATAAGCGCATCATAAATGTTGGAAATTCAATTTAAATTGCATTACCCTTTTAATGTACATATTATTCTAGCCTTCATTGTAAAAATGCATCTTAATCAGGGAATAATAATGCACATATTTTAAGTAAGTAGTAGGTAGTAAGTAATATGTAGTATGTAGTTAGTAGTTAGTAGTAAGTAGTAAGTAGTTAGAAGTTAGAAGTTAGAAGTTAGAAGTTAGTAGTAAGTAGTTAGTAGTTAATAGTAAGTAGTTAGTAGTAAGTAGTTAGTAGTAAGTAGTAGGTAATAAGAAGTAAGTAGATAGAGTAGTAGTAGTAGTAGTAGTAGTAGTAACAGCAGCAGTATGATCACCGCCTCCATCATCATTACCATCATCATCACTATTATTATTTTTAACTGGAAGAGTAGTAGTAGCAGTTGTAGTATTAAACACCACCTATCATCATTATCATCATCATCACCATTCTGATTTTTTCAGTGAAAGAGTAGTAGTCTTGTAAGCAGAAGATCTTAAGTTTAAATCCAAGTTGATGTACCAGTGTCTCTTTGGAAGGCATTGATCTTTAATCACCCAGTCCCTTGGATAGGATTTCAAGCAGTGGGTTCACAAGTTCCTCATTTACGAGCTTCTACTTGCTTTTATATTTGATGACTGACCAATCATCAATATTTCCATGTTGGAGTATGACTAAACTTGTTTATCATTAACTGTATGATTTCAGATTTGCCAGCAGTTGATAGTGGAGCCAGCTTAGTCACTAAACCAGCAGCAAGCGAAATTGCCATCAGAACTCAGTCATTTAAGCTGAAATGCATTGCTTATGGATAGTAAGTATGTTTTAAGGTTTACCCTCTATTCCCCCCTCTCTCTCTCTCTCTCTTCCTTTTCCTATTACATCGCTTTAGTTGACGACAAATTTCTCCTTTCCTTAATTTTTCCAACCTCTGTCTTCCATAATGGAGATGTACTTTTATGCCTCTGTTACGAAGTAGCCGGAGGCATTATGTTTCGGGTTGTCCGTACATCCCGTTCTCGTGATCGCGTTATCTGAAGAACCGATTGATGGATTCCTGCCAAACTTTGTTTATGTATGTATCTTGCAGAGCCGATGAATTGAGTAGATTTTGGGGTCACGAGGTCAAAGGTCAAAGGTCATAGAGCTCACTATGTATGCAAAAACAGCTCGTGATTGCATTATCATTAGAACAGATGAACAGATTACCACGAAACTCAGGACATGTATGTATCTTACTGAGGCAATGAACTGATTAGATTTTGGGGTCATGAAGTCAAGTTCAAAGGTCATGGGGCTCATTATATATGCAAAAATAGCTTGTGATCGCATTATCATTAGAACTGATGGATGGATTACCATCAAACTCAAGACATGTTGTATGTATCTTGCAGAGCCAATGAACTGAGTAGATTTTGGGGTCATGAGGTCAAATATCAAAGGGTCATACACGTATCTGAAAAATAGCTTGTAATCACAGTCGAACTTGAATTTGAAAAATTTCTTCTGTTTTGGTTTGTAAAATTGCTCTATGATGGAGGCATCATTTCGACTGCGCGCAGTCGAAGTTCCATCTAGTTTTCTTACTTTTCTTATACATGTACCGTATCTGCTTTTGGAATGATATTGGTACAAATTCTAAAAAATTCAATTATAATGGCTTGGAAAACAAAAACCTTGTAGGGTATAACATTGTGAATAATCAATTTGTGTAATGTTATCAAATTTAAAGCACAAATCTTTGTTAAATGTCATATCATGAGTTAATTAATTCACCTGTTTTGAATACTTGTATTTCAATAGTCGGAATGCGAATTGTGTACATTAGTTGTTGCTAGGTAGGGTAAACATTACGGCATGTCCTACCTAACAACACGTAATGTGTTCAATTCGCATGCTGACTATTGAATACAATTATTTGTAACAGATGAATTGAATAATTTGTAACAAGGCACTTAACAAAGATTTGTGCATTTAATTTGATTACATTACAAAAATGGCCTATTGCATGAAAATTTTCTCACAGCCCAACCCCTGAAATCACATGGAAGCGAGGAGAGGAGCAGCTACAGTCTGGAGGACGAATTTCTATCGAAGAATCCGGGCAGGAGCTGGTCATCTCCACTGTCGAGAACAGTGACAAGGGAACGTATACATGCGTTGCATCAAATTGTGAAGGAATTGATGAATTCAGCACAGTAGTTACTGTGGAATGTAAGATGAAAGTCAAATAATGATGTATATGGAGAAGAAAAATGAATGCCTGCATATGCTTAGTTTTATACTATATCCTGATAGTAGTAACAACATCTGTGCTTTTATAAATGTCTTACTCTGTCCAATGAATATGGTACAATGTTAAGTAGTTATATATTTAGACCTTTTGTAGTAGTCCATTTCATTTTCTTCTACTATGCTATAAATTAAATCAGTTGCTTATAAAGTGGTGTGGGATATGAAATCCGACGGTCAAAAGGATCGATAGGCCACGCTTTCACGGTCTGTATTCGTACTGAAATATTTTTTTAGGCTCTAATTGACTTTACAGGGAATAAAGTATTACAGCGATATCATAAAAATCATTTGCTGGAGTAAATGTTTCTCTTTTATAAAACATTTAACCGAACCACTTTGTTACTTTTCTCTTCCTTTTTGTGTTTTTAGCTGCGCCATATTTCCCAGCCCCACCCTCCGATGAAACCAAGAGACCTGGTGAATCAGTGGACATTGAATGCCGTTCCAAGGGTGTTCCAGCGCCCACTGTCAATTGGCTTGTTAACGGACAACCTTGGGCTGATTTTGAATGTAAGAGCAGCTATAGGGCTTTTCATTTCAGTGTGGAACCAAGAGGACTTCCTCTGTTCTAGCTGCAGTTATATTATAATAGTAATACAAATTTGGGCCACTGGAACGTGTCAGTTATTCCCCCTCCACCCCCCGGATTGCAGCCGGCGTGCGGGAGCAGAGCGTCGCCGCAGGGTCGCAGGTGCATGGTCACAAAATATGATTTTACATCATGGCACCATCCACAGAAATGGCTAGGATGGCTCGCGACCTGCAAAGCCCAGTGCCCGCCCACGTACAGAGGGCCCAATGTTGCCGCAAATGCCACCCATCCAGCACTGACTGGCGGTGATCCGTGAACAGACGTAGCTTTGTACTGGGCGTCCAGATTTATTCCCCAGAAATCAGGGGGTTTTACAGTGGGAGGAACACTATAATACCGTAATTAACGGTGTATAAACCGCCCTCGTGTATTAACCGCACCCCTCTTTTTCGCCTTAACAAAAAAATAAATTTTTGGACCAACTTTGTCTGCAGCAATCCAGGTCCGTGTTAAAAAAACAGTAGAGGACCTAGGATAGAACCTTGTGGTACGCCGTGTAATAGAAGAAAATTATTATTATATACTTCATATTGAGATCTATCAGAAAGATTACTTTCAAACCAAGATGACAGACAAATTTGAGTGTTGTTCTAGTTTCCAAGTGGTGATTCAACACACCGATTACTGAGCTGGGAGACATTGCCAGGCATAGCGCCAGGTGGAGGGGAATAAATCGAAACTTTAAAAAAAAAAAAAAGTTTTGTTTTTTGGTGTACCGTGTATAAACCGCACACCCGACTTTGAATTTTTTTCGGCGGCAAAAAGGTGCGGTTTATACATCATTAATTCCGGTAACATATAAGTTGCTATTTCAGACATGTTAGACTAAACTAATATTCTAGAATAGACAATGGTATGTAATTTCCCCAGCTAATTAGCACAGGTTCATAATAAAATTGCATGCTTCCATACATATGTACAATACATCATCATTGCCTTTGTCTTCCTTGTGATGCTGCAGCATGTCTGACATAGCACTTGTATGTTGCTATTGTATTACGTATTGTAACAGGTGGTCGACTTCGGCAAAGATATACATACCACTTTCTCAAGTTAGCTCATTGATGACTGACAGATGATGACACAAGGGGAATGAGATCTGGCGGGTTTTGGGGTGGAGCTTAGCAAGTTTGAAAAACAAATATTAAAAAAAATATTTAAAAACCTATGAAATAAATTCAGAAGTTTACATATCAAAATATGAAATGTATGCAGGACTGCACACCAACAGGAATACACTTGTATTTCGATGTCATAGGTCTTTAACGTTCTATCTGAGGGACGGAGTGTTTTACACTTCATTGAACTGCCCTCTGTGGAGAAGTTCAAGGGAGCCATCAGTGCCTAAATCATAGGAAGAACTGTTTTTACTCGCACAACTTGTATATACGCAATATGCACTAATCAATCATGACCACTATGAGAGACAGTACCACACCACAATATCCTCGTTTAGTTGCTGAAAAGGCATTTGACGAGTACCAGCATAGACATAGACATAGACAAGGGGAGGGGCACGTTAACACACAACGCAGGATTCAATCATCTGCCTGGGTGCCGGGGATTTGAACCTGAGATCTTTGGTTCGACAGGCAGACGTTTTACCAACTGAACCAACTCGCCTCCTCAGTTATGCCACATCGGGTAGTGATTTATAAAGAAACAAAATTATTATTAGGTGGTCTGTCATCGATAGACCACCTATTGATTTCGTCAGAATTTTCTCTCTTTATTATTATTATTTATTTTTATTTTTTCACCCCCACTTTTTTTTGCAGAGCATAACTTTATGATCGGTCAAGTCAATTTCTTTCAATTTTGGCACAGTTATTGGTCAATGTCAGAAGATGTGTCTCCAACATTTACAAGTTCATCAGGTCATCATGACGTCATGTGAAATTTTCTAAAAAAAACAAACTTAAGTTCATATCTTCATAACCAAAAGTCATTTCTCAATCATATTTATCATGAAAGAGGTCAATATCCACCCGGTCAATTACAGGTCAATGAAAGCGCTCACACGTACGTATGCGTGTCAGTGCGCTCGCAAAATTTTAAAATGCTTTAAATCGTCTTAAATTAATTTTGCATACGTTTCAGGCCATTTTATAAAAAAATCTTGTATGCGCGTGCGTTTTTCTTCGTCATGGCCTTACGCAATATACAACCGCCATTTCTTTATTGTCATGTTATTCCCTTTGTTTTTCCAAACAATTTGATACTAAGTTTATCTCTTAATGACCATTAATAACGGAATGAGCGTCCAAGTGCGTAGCCAGGATTTCATTTTAGGGGGGCAGTAGTGAGCACCGAAAGCGTTCGTAGCGCGCTCCCTAGGGAGGTGGATGAAAGGAGGGGGGAGTTTTCCCCGTCCCTTGCGAAGCGCGGAAGCTTGACGTTTCATTAAATTATAAGAGAAAGAAGACGATTCGTTGGACCGTTCTCAACTCTTAATCCTTATCTAAATTTAGTTTCTTTTGACGATTCATTAGAGATCGAAGACGGTTCGTTGTACAGTCCTCGACTCTTAATCCTTGTTTGAATCAAGTTTCCCTTCCTCCTCTGACGTTTCATTAGATTATTAAAGAAAGAAGACGATTCGTTGTACCATTCTCGATCGACTCTTAATCCTTGTCTGAATTCAGTTCCCCCTTTCCGCGCAAAGCGCGGAAACTTTGACGTTTTATTAAAATATTAGAGATAGAAGACGATTCGTTGTACCGTTCATGACTCTTAATCCTTTTTCTTCCTACGTCCTCTTTCTTTCTTTTTTTTTTTTCTCTTTTTTTTTTTTATTGCCAGCGTTTTTTGACCCTTTGACCCCATCTTTCTTTTCATGTTTGAATAGGTTATATATATTGTAGATATGATTTCATGTCTCATTTTGCCTCTAAGTATATTGTGACATCATTAAAATTGCCTTGGAACTCAAAATACAAATTTGCATATTATGATATCACCATTTTTATCGAAAATGGATTGTAATTCTATAAATAAGGATCAATTTTCTTCCAAATTTCAATATGTTGTAGCTGTGACAATTCTTAACATGAGCAGCATCCTCCAGATTAAATAACAGATCGCCTAATTTGCCCCAAAGACTAATTAAATTTCTTGTTGTGATTTTTGCTTTGTAATATAAAAGAGCATTCTTAACTTCATTTTTTAGATGGAATCAACTTTGTTGATTACTGATGTAGATTTTCATTGTTCTTTTATGCTTATGTATCTGTTTTTCATTTGCTCTATGTGTCAAATTTTTACATTGTATTCTGTTACCTTGTATATTTTTCTGGTTTTTAGTGTGGAAAATAAATGAAATGAAAGGAAACAGCATGTGTTTGACTTATAGTTGTGGCTGAGGTAACTTAGATATGATGCAAAAAAATTCATAATTTTGAAAGCAAATTTACAGATAAAATGCTGTATATATACACCTGGGGGTGGGTGTGGGAGGGAGTTTCCTCTCCCACCCTGAAAATTTTTGAAATTTCTACCTCGCAAGGCATGTTATGATGCATAAAAGTTCTTAGCTTTGAAAGCAAGGTGGTTGTGGGAGGGGATCCCCCTCTCACCCTGAGAACATTTACAGATTTTAAATCTCCCCAAGCATGATTTGATTGATGCGTAAACGTCCTTAATTTCAAAAGAAGATTTATAAATAAAACAATGGATATGCATCTGGGAGTGGGTGTGGGAGGGCGTCCCCCCCCCACACTGAAAAAAAAATGAATGATGAATAAATGTTTTACATTTTGAAAGCAAATTGATGGATAAAACATTGCATAAATATCAAACACCCGGAATATGTGTGGGAGGTTTTTTTTCCACCCTGAGAAAATACTCTACTGAAAAGAGTTAAGATTATTTTACAACTAGAAAAAAAAAAGACAAAAAGACAAAAAAATATCAAATTTGCCAAGAAAGTCATGGGTTAAAAGATCCTCAAATTTACACATTTGACCACAATAATTAAATACGCTGCTTTAGAGATGAGCTTATAGCGCAGGGGTGGTCGAGGACTAAGAATCCGCTTGGAAATTTACATGTAATTGGCCCCCCCCCCTCCTATTCGATGCCAGCTCCAAAGCCAAGTATATTTGAGACTGACTACTAAATTTTCTGATTATCAGTCTTAAAAAGTTTTAATTTTTTTCTTTTCTTGTACGACTTGAAAATGAGTGGACAGTCGTTCCGGCCCTATTCGACAAAATGAATATCAGAAGGAGATGAGGGACGGGGGGGGGGGGGGGGGGGGGGGGGGGGGGGGGGGGGGGGGGGGGGGGGTGGGGGAGGCGAACAAAATATTTATATACCTCTCTTTAGTATCATGAAAATAAATCTAGTCATCTGATTGGTTGAAATTGGAGTTGTGATTTTAGCCGGCATGCCCGCCTACTGGTCAATAGTTTTTTTTTAAAGATGCCCATTGCCCCCGGGTAACTGGCGTCGTAAATAAATTTTGCTGGGATTCCCATTGGTTTACGTGTAAAAATTTTCTCAAGAAAAGGATCAGGTAAGAATTCATTGTAGATTTGTTTGTGAATTTGGTATATAACAGATATATCGACTGCTTTGATATTCAAAGCATAGCTGTTTCTATACTGGCTCTCGGGGACGTTACATTCTGTCAGATGACCTCTTGAGGAAGCACTTGATGGCAGCATAGTATTACAAGTATGTTGCTAATTATCATCTGAAATCAAAGAAATCTCATGATATTTTTTCTGTTGATTTACCAAAACTGTACCTATTAAGGCCTTTAAATATATACTTTCGGTTGTTGAGAAATATTTTCTTTCTCCTTTGACAGCCAACATAGATACAAAAAGATGGACTGTGGTGACTGGAGACCCCCAGGTAGCAACCATAGCTATCACAAACCTACAGACAACAGACAGCAATGTGTTCCAGTGTATAGCTACCAACAAGTACAAAGAGGAACTCGCCAGTGTTGTACTCAATGTAGTCTGTGAGTATACATTTGTACCTTGGTCACTTTGAAATCTGCCCCAAATTCTTAACAAGAATATATTGCAGGTTTTCACAAGGCATGTCTAAGACTTCACCTGAGTGATTTCAGATCAATCAATCACTCGGTTATTTCAATGTTTCTCTGGCCTTTTAGGCAATTCTATTTGATGGTCCATGATGGAAGAAATTTGTTGATTTGGTATAGACTAGATTTGTTGCTAATGAGCTGTATTCACTTATTTTTATTGAGAGAGAGAGAGATACAAATTTTGAGAGTCTACTGAATGGCTCGATGGCTCAGTGTTAATTAAAGCAGTGGTCTCATAACCAAGAGGTCCTAGTTCAATCCAAGTTGATGCACTAGGCCATCGACCCTCATTATCAATTACCTCGGGAAGGACTGAAAGCCATCATTCCCCAGGCTACTTCCTTACAAGCATATATAGTGACTTCAATGGACCAAGAAAAGTGAGTAAATGAAATAAATAGGGAGTCAAGTGATAGTTTTATACAAGTATTGTAATCTGTTACTAACATTGTGTATAAATTGTTATCTCTTAAATGACTTTTCTGTCTCTCTCCCTCCCTCCATTATGCCTGCAGCCATCCCTGCTAGGATACCTAGTTTCACGCCACTGACGAGGAGACTGAGTGTTGTAGAGGATGACTCTGCCGCATTCACCTGCCATGTTGAAGGAAGACCTACTCCAACCATAACATGGACCTTCAAGGGATCAGTGGTGAGCAGGCTTTTTTTCTGCATCAGTTTTTTTGCACTGATGCTAGATTTGTGAAAAGAAAATGTGACCTTTCTCTGTTTATGTTCATGTGGATTTTTTGTTGTGGCTTTAAAGTATATAATTTTCACCCAGATGAGTGTGAAAATAATTAGTTCTAATGTAAATCAGTCCCTACGAAGAAGAAGCACTCTCAGCTGTACTGTTGCAGTACCATGAGTTCTGTTTCCAGAAGGTATATAATATTGACCCAGATGAGTGTGAGTATATACAGTCTAATTCAGTCTAATAAAATGGTGACAGAGCACTGGCATGTGGAGGTCCAAAACTTTGGAGCGCTCTCTCAGTATGGCTACGCTCTATTACAGACGTCGAAGTTTTCAAAAACACCTTGAAAGTTATCTTCTTGATAGGGTTACCATGAATTGTTAATTGCACTTTGTAAAACGCATCGTGAGTGCCTATGGTCCTGAAATGTGCTATGGAAGAACTTATTGTTATTATCAAGTCTATGACACACTCTCTCTCTTTCACCCCTATCATGAATCAGTTAACCAACGGGACAAATACACCATCGATGAAATGGTGGGAAGCGTAGTGATCAACAATGCCTTGGAAGTGGATAGCGGAGAATATGAATGCACAGCACAAAACTCTATCGATGGACAAGATTATGAGGCGACGGGTAGTGCAACCCTGACAGTGCTAGGTGAGAGGTGGTTTTTTAATATCAATTTTTATTTTTGGGCTTCTTTTTAGTTTTGATTTAGATTTTCTTAGTTATAATCCCTTCTCTTATTTCTCTTGCATAGGGTTGCAAGTACCATTTTTTCTTAGTTCTGCCCAAACTAAAATTTATTATTAATTTTCTGTTGAATACAAAAGGAGCAATATCTACAGACTCCTGTGTTTGCAAGATTTTGAAATATATGTGTTTACCCCAATATACTAATGTTTACTTCAAGTGGTCATGTAACCCGTTTAAAAAAAAAAGAACAATATTATGCTGATCTGCAGCATAGCACAATGAAGTTGATAAAGAGAGATGATATTCATTTTGAATTGTTGTTTTTTTTTGTTGAATTTTTTTGTTTTGTTTCAGTTTAAAAAGACATAAAATACATGATTCAAAGTTCAAGGACCAAAACTGATCATGTTTACAAGTAATACAATAAAGTTATAGATACAGTAACTATACAATAGTGAGCCAAACTGACAGGTATAACAAGTACAAGATGGCAATAAAGATGAAAAAATGAAACTTGTGATCTCTCTCTCCCTCCCATTCCTCCTACAACCACTGAACAGGCAAGACAATAATCACCCTCCCCCCTGCTGACCTGACCGTTCGAGAGGACAGTACAGCCACCTTCCAGTGTGAGATCACGTATGACCATGAGCTCGATAAACCTAATGTCTACTGGATGAAAGACGGTCAGAGACTCGAGGCTAATCAGGTCAATATGCATGCTACTTCAGGGACCCATTTAAAAAACTTGTCATCAGGGACAAATGACAGTTTTTGTTATAAGCTACTGAAATCCTTCCTTCAGATTGGTTAACAGCAAATTTGTCACTGATTTTTGTCATTTGTCATTGAAAAAGGCTTTGTGAAACACCCCCCAGATTTGTATTCAAGGAATCTCATGCATATACTAGACATAACATTTAGATAGGTCTTCATTTGTCTTTGCCAACAACGATATCTTTCTCACATTTTTCATTATTGTATTGGTGTTACGTGTCAGAGAAAGAAAATGATTATTATCCATCTGAGGGTTCAAATTTGAAAACCAAGAGCTCGCTTGTTTACTGTAGATGTATTAAGTCTTACTCTTTATCACCGTTTGTTGGTGAAGTGATAATTGTTTTGTATCTTTGGGATGTTTTTATTGCCCTTTTTCTTCCATAATTGTTTCAGAAATTGTTTTTTTTTAAATTTTTTAAACACTATAATTGTATACACAGATTTTTTAAACACAATGCTCTGCTTAATATTCATTTCAGATACATTTGTTATAGAGATAATTGGTAGTTTTTAAAATTATAAAAACATTTAGTATTGCTCATTTTTAAATACCTGAATAGCTTTTTTGGTTGAAGAAATGAAAATAGTTTAATGAGATCACATTTCTAAAATTTGTTCTTATTCTTTCCTCAACAGGACAACTCCCTGAGAATAGACAATGCCATGTTTTCTAATTCAGGAACCTATACATGTTTTGTGGAAACAACCTTTGATGAGAGTGCAGACACAGTTCAATCAGTGAACGCTTCTGCTCAACTCGTTGTGAAAGGTATGACTTAGAAAATGATATCTATCGTGACACCTTAGGTACTGTTTATTGCTTGTACCATCAGGAGCTGTCGAACTGATTCACAAGATGCCCCTGTAGCGAATAAATGTAGCTCTTCCAAATCATGACTCAAAACTAATAATGTTTTCAGTAAATATGTAAATACTGCCTTCATTGGAGGAGCCAGTGCTTTGGATAGTTTGTCAGAAATATGGCACTATACAATTCTGATCATCATCATCAATTCTGAAGTGGTTTTGAAACAGCAAATGTGCTAACAAGCCCTTATTTGATAAATGTTATGATAAATTATGTCAATCAACACAGTAGAAAGAGCTTAAAGAAATGACTTGAGTTTTAACAATTTTCCAGAGCTTATTTATATATAGTCACCTTCTTAAAATAATGACCTAAGTCATATTTTCAAGATTTGAGAAAACAGAGAAATTGAACCAAACAGAATAAATGGATCTTTTGCTCATTTTATACAGAAAGGGCTTGGGGATATATGAATATTAAAATCATTATGGTACTGTCATGAAGTGACTTCAATGGACACACCAAGAAAAGTGAGTAAATGAAATAAATAGGGAGTCAAGTGATAGTTTTATACAAGTATTGTAATCTGTTACTAACATTGTGTATTAATTGTTATCTCTTAAATGACTTTTCTGTCTCTCCTCCCCCCCCCCCCCCCCATTATGTCTGTAGCCATCCCTGCTAGTATACCTAGTTTCACACCTCTGACAAGGAAACTGAGTGTTGTACAGAATGACTCTGCCAAGTTCACCTGCCATGTTGAAGGAATACCTACTCCAACCATAACATGGACCTTCAAGGGATCAGTGGTAAGCAGGCTGCTCAACATTCTTAACACTGTTGCTTTTTTCGCATCTCTGCACACTGCATTCATATCAGTTATCAACATAAAAAATGAGAGCATTCATGTTTGCATTGATGCTAGATTTGTGAGAAAAAATTGTGACCTTTCTCTGTTTTTGTTCAGGTGGATTTTGTTGTGGCTCTTAAGTATGTAATCTTGACCTAGATGAGTGTGAAAATATTCAATTCTAATGAAAATCAGTCCCTACGAAGAAGAAGCACTTTCAGCTGTACTTCTGCAGTACCATGAGTCCTGTTGCCAGAAGGTATATATAATATTGACCCAGATGAGTGTGAGTATATTCAGTCTAATTTAGTCCAATATAATGGCAACAGAGGGTCAATATTATACACTCTATGGTGACAGAGCACTGGCATTTGGAGGCCCAAACTTTGGAATGCTTTCCCATTATTGGTAAGTCAAAGTTTTCAAAAAGGCCCTTAAAATTTATCTTTTTGATAACCACAAATTGTTAATTGCACTTTGTAAAGCGCATCGTGAGGGCTTATGGTCCTGAAATGTGCTTTAGAAGAACTTTTAATTATTAGTTTTGTTTAGGTCTATGCCACTTTCTCTCCCCCTCTTATTATTATTATTATGAACCAGTTGACCAACAGAGACAAATACACCGTCAATGAAACCGAGGGAAGCCTAGTGATCAACAATGTCAAGAAAGTGGATAGCGGAGAATATGAATGCAGAGCCGAAAATGCTATCGATGGAGACGATCATGAGGCAACGGGTAGTGCAACCCTGATAGTGCTAGGTGAGAGTTTTTTTTTTAATGTAAATTTTCTTTTCTTGGCTTCTTTTTAGTTTTGATTTAGATTTTCTTAATTATAATCCTTTCTCTTATTTCTCTTGCACAGGGTTGCAAGTACCATTTTCTTTTTTCACTTCGTTAACGCTGAACTCATCCTCACTACTGTCTATATTGACATTATTAACATGTCCTTCCAAGTTCTTGTTTTAAGAGTACCCGTTGGCATTGAAGTCCTTTGTTTCGCCACATTTTGCAAAATGTCCCCCTTTTCGTGCAATTCTCACACGTCTTCTCCCTCGCCGGGCATTTGGAGTCTTTTAAGAAGTGCCCATCTGAAACATAATTGCTGTTTATTCCCGTAGCACCTCCCTCTTGTCGTTGACCATCTCGCCCTCACCTTGAGTGGGCTGTTGGGTTCTGACTCGCTGTCACAGCATGGATGCCTCCTGGGTCATGCTCTCGTCCACCTGCTGCATTCATCTGCCTCATCTGGCTCTCTTTAATTTACGTCGTGGATGCAATTGTCTGTAACTGATCAAGAGTCGGACTGTGCCCCTTTTCCAATAACTTAGCATGGATTTTGGACGATCTGCACTTTTTGATGACTTGATCCGGATATTTTCATCCACATCTTGGAATAGCCGCTTTCTGCCGAGGTCTTGTTACAAACTGTTTAATGTTCTCATTATCCTCCTGCTTAATGCTCTTAAATAAGTAGCTGCACTCATGCACTCTAACTAGGCGTTGTGGCGTGCGCCTGTAATCCAGCTAACAGTGGAAGTTACAAACTGATTCAGCCGAGGACGCAGGTTCGAAACTGATTCACTTCTGATTTTTTTGGATGGTGACGTTTAAAGGTCGGTCCCCAGACGTAAAAATCATATCTGATTGATACACGTCTGTAAAAACCCAACACACACACACACACAGGGCATGTTGAGTTTTGTCACGAAATATTTGTTCAGTTTCGCCTTTTCCTTAGCATATTCATCCTGCTGACTTTCTCTTTCCCCTCCTTCCACCGAAGTTGTACCTTTTATGTATTTGAAGTGTCTTCCAGCAATGCAATGTAAATGTCCTGCACCTCAGGTCCAGTGCAATGTACGTAGCAAAAGTGCTTTCTTTTGTTCTGGCTTTGAAACTCCTTTCCCTGTTACATTAAGTTTGAAAGATTGACGCCACCAAATCCATGACTGGGAAATCTGAGCCGGATCTCCATGTGGGTTGAACTGACCCAATCCTTAATTGTACCTCAACCTCTATAAAAACTAACATTGTTGCACACTATTCCTTTACAACTGAAAAGAAGTAATGCAGTTCCTTGCTGTTATTCTACTTTCAGTTTAACTTATTACTTGTCGCCACTTGTAGCATTCAAGCAACTCTTTACAAAGTATATGCAAGTTTGAGAGAGATGTGAAAGTTATGTCTTTAATTCAGGAAAAGTACCCAGATGGATGACATAGAAATAGACAATACCATTATCAAATGTGTCGATGCCTCTAGAAATCTTCGCGTGCAGCTAGACAAAAATCTTACAATGAAAGCTCAAATCAATAATGTATGTAAAACCAGTTTGTTTCCTCTGCACAAAATTGGAAAAATCTGCTAATTCCTAACCAAAGAAGCTACTAAGCAGCTGGTTCATGCCCTGGTTATATATATAGATTTTTGCAATAGTTTACTCTATTCTCTTCCTGATGTTCTCACCAATAAATTACAAAGAATCCAAAACTCAGCAGCCAGACTAATCACTAGAACAAAATGCAGTTAAGTTCGTTATTAATTATAAGATCCTTTTACTAACATATCAATGCCTAAACGGTACAGCCCATCTTTCCTCCAAGATCTCATTCTACAATATACCCCTACAAGAAAATTAAGATCAAATGGTAAATTATACCTCCTGGTAACTCCAAGCACTCAAACAAAATATTATGGCACTTGCTCTTTCAAAAATTCTTTGGCCGAATTGTGGAACAGCTTGCCTGATATTGTCAAACAGGCAAGCACAACAGAATCTTTGAGACTCTGTTGAAGACGTATCTTTTTGTAAATTGTTAATTTTGTTCCAGCTGTTTAGTGATTTACCACAATAAATCAATGTATCAACCTATTATTTGCTAGTTTATCTAAACTACGCCACCATCAGGAACTCTTTAAAATTGTCACATTCCTGCATGCCCCCATACATCCCCAAATACATCCTCTTCCCAATGCACGCCCCTCATTCATCCTCTTTCTATTCTCGCCTACCGGTAGAGACATCGTTACAGCTGAGTTACATTTAAAATCAAGGATTTTGTCCTTTTTTCTTTTTGGCCTAGCTCTTTTTACGCATTGAATTCCGTCCTCATTTTAATTGCTATTAATTTGGTGGTACAGGTTCCCAAGTCACATTTTTATTTTTGTGGAAATTTGAGTATCATTTCTGCTCCACATATTTCCACTTTCACGACCGTAAATTACAGGCTTCGGTATGCCGCTAGGTTTGGGAGTTTGGTCCTGGCATTACGGCCTATGCTGGTTGGGATTTCTTACGTGTGGTTAGGCGGTTAATTTATTCATCGCCCTAACCTTCCACCTTAGCTCGTTATGCTTTGCGGATCACCGCTTCTGCAGTGCGACCTTTTGTCTGTTCGTGATTGTTTGGTTTAGTTTGGAATAAAAGCATTTTATTTGTAACTGTTTGGCTGGAAATATAGTGAGCGTGGAATTTATTTCACTCTCGCTCCCTTTGTCTGGCGTTTCTCTCTGTTTACTTTTTCTTTGTATGCAGGTTCGTGGATACGTCAGAGCCTGGTACCCGTCTCTCCCCAGCTAGTGCAGCTATTGGAGGTGTGTTAGACAAGCCGACCACTCGTTCATTCAGTGTGGCGGCGGGTGAGCTAAGGAGCTCTACTAGCGTCTCGGACAAGCTCGTTACTGTTTGCCGGCTCGACTTCTGTCAAGCTCGGTATGACATCCATTGTTTGGACCCGGGTCCCAGCAAGGGGGCTATCGGTTTACCGATCATTAGCCCCCACCGCAGGATGAAGGCGGGCGTCGTCGGCTCGCCGACCTCTGACGCTCGTGCTTTGGAGAAGAGTGTCGTCATTGCAGCCACTGACACTCGTAACCGGGGGAAGAGTGCAGCCATTGCATCCATTGCACTCGGAACCTGATCACTGGCTCTGCCCAGCCAGTGACATGTGCAATTTGATAATGGCTTGAATCCTCGGGGGCTGGTTTCCTCCCGTCACAGATGGGTTGAAAGAGACTGTCCGACCCTTCCGTCCAGGGTACGTCCGACAATGCTCAGGTGGGGCTCTTTTCCTGACATTTCCCGTCCACAAGGAGACCTACCTCGTATCTGCGGTTAGAGAGTGTCCGACCCTCCCGTCCAGGGTACTGTCCGTCAGTCTCGAGTGTTTACTCAAGTGAATCCGCCGCACCCTGTGCTGCTTTGATAACTCAGAAGTACACTCTTGCTAGCTCTTGCTCCCGTCCGCAGGTAGTCGTGGAGTATAACCATGTCCCAGCCATGTCTCAGTCATGTCTCTTTTTAAGTCGATGTCTGCCTCGGGCACACATTAGACTACGGCTGGGAGGAAAGGTACGGCCTCTTTTAGACGCCAACCCTTTTCCGTTGCCATCGATCAAGCTGAGCCCTGGACTAATTGAAGCTCTTTGCTGAGAGAAGCTGGCAGGGTACAAACCCTCAGCCCTCTCGGCCGTCCTCTGGTGGTACAGGCCTTCCTTTTACGTGATCGGGCTTTGAACACGGGCCTCCAGGACCCGTCCCGTCATGGTGGCTTGATCTGGTACCAATTTCCTGGATAGTGTCTGAATTTTTGGATGTCCCCTTCTGGTATCCGGACCTGTTTACATGTTCCTGATACTCAGGATCCTGTTCTCATACTGGTTTGGGACATGCCTCCCGGTTCATATGTGTGCTGGTCTAGCAAATATTAGGTAGATACATTGATTTATTGTGGTAAATCAGGAAAATCAGAACTGATTTTATCATTTACTATATAAATCTATGTATCTACCTATGTATCTCCCTCCGTCCCCTCTCCTTGCGGGCAACATGTCCGAAGCTTTGTCTTTGGAGGCTCGTGAAATAGGTTGAATGACAGGCGTGCCTTGCGCACGTGAACACTTGGAAGGCGATGTATGGGGGGTGGGGCATGCATGCGCGAATGTGACGTTTTTAAAGAGTTCTCGATGGTGGCGTAGTTTTGATAAACTAGCAAATAATAGGTAGATACATAGATTTATTAGTAAATAATAAAATGAGTTCTGATTTTTCTGACTTCCTTGCTTATAGTATCATGTACGTATTTCATTTAATTTTCATCTAGTTTTCATTTTTAAATTTGTATTACCTGAATGTACAATCTATTACATGTATAAACTATATAGGAATTGCGTATCATTATTGTTGTTATTTTCATGTATCAGGCATAAATGTTCATTTCTATTCCGCCCTATCTCTATTTCCTGCTTTTCTAAGCGCATATATAGGGACTTTCTTTTTGTTAGTGATATGCGCTATACAAATAACGTTCATCATTATTATTATTATTACTTTATTGAGGTTCAATTTAGACTTACAAACAGGCTGCTTTCTATATATAACATTGAGAGTGATATATACATGACAGGTGTAACACATGCAAACAATGTTCTGGGCTATTATGACCGTTACTGATTTAGGTTTGGTGCTAGCATGAATCTACTACCAGGCTGTCCGCCAGTAACCTTTGGTCAAGTGTCAAGACACTACATACGCCTGCTAAGTTTCATTGACGTAGGTATAAGGATCGTTATTTCGCAATTTTCTTGAAAACTGCGTATGAAGAGTTTCAATTTTCTCAAATTTTGTCAGCGATAGGGTATATATTTTTTTATTTGGCTGGAAAAGGCATATCTTCAAGTATTTAAATCCAAAAAAGGGTACAGGTTTGTCCTGAAGCAATGGAGCTACGGTATACGTCCACATAAAGAAAACAAATTCCCATAACTTTAGAGGGCGCTATTTATCTTCTGCAAAGCCATTGGAGCATGGAATTTAGTGTGGCTATGTGTAATTATGAGATAAAGATACTGTGAGAAATTGAGACAAAGCGGAATTGGTACGGGAAAGTGATGGCAATTTTTTTATCTTTATGGGTCTATTTTTCAAGAACTTTTGAGATTTTTGATGGAGTCGGTTTCTGATTTGAATTTCGAGTATGAAGATGGTATTTTAAAGGGAAGTTTTACATCGCAGATCAAAGAACATCTCATGGACCACTAGAGGAATTTGTTAAAAGTCTGTAGGATCCAGGATAGTGGAACAGAATGGACAAAATGGGGCCTGGATAGTCACGCATGGGTGATTTCAAGAAAAAAAAATGAAAAGTAGGTGACCTAGATTGGATATCTGAGATTATGCCTACAAAATTTGAAAGGAATCTGGCAAGAATAAAGGACCTAACTAGGAATAACAAGCGCTACATGCAAAATGAATGGGATTTCCTGACGAGAAGAATATTAATAGGGCTGAATGTGAACAAAAACAAAGCAATGACGAAGATCGTCATTGCAATTTTAGGGACAAATAAGTATTCACTTCACTGATTGGTCTGTAATAAGGTCCCCTGCGAGCAAATTGCCAATGTTCACAACTTCACACCCATATGTAGGCCACCTGCCGTTAGCGTAGCAAAAAAAATAAAAATATTTATTGAAAAAAGCCCAGAGTAACTTCTCATTGCTTGATGCTACTTTTGCATAGTGCACAGTTTCACCCAGGCAGAACACATGTCTTGTATTTGGATCCAGGCCAATATGACATTAATATAGGGGGAGGAGCATGATAATTTATCATACAAATGCTGCCAACTTTATAATAACACTAATGATAGAACAGTTCTTAAATAACACATACCCTTAAAACGGTCTTTATGCACTTAGGAAAAAGTAAGAAAGAAGTCATAAAATTAAAAAATAATCAATTAAATGAATAATTTTAATTTTCTATTTTTTATTACATTTTTTAATCAAATTTTGTAAAGTAATGTTATGATATTATGAGGATTGTCGGTGACATTATTGGTGTTATGCTGAATGTTCATAGTGTGGAGTTGTGAAAAAAAGTTTTTTTTTAGTCTTTGGACATATACATGTCTTCTACTTTTATAGATTTTAATAAATGCAATATTTTCCAGTGGTCTGGTAGCAGAATAATGAAAGAGAGTATTAAGCAAAGAGAGAGGTGAGAAGGAGAGAAGTTGAAAGGAGAGAGGGAGAAAAGAGAATAGAAGAGAAGAGAGAGAGAGAGAGAGTAAGAAGAGAAGAAAACTGAACCTCCTTGGAAAAAACAAAGAGAAAGAGATGGAGATGTACATATATAGACAAAAAAGAAAGAAAGAGGGACCATGAAAGAGACAAAAATCAGAAACATGGTTGAGCAGCAGAAGCACATACACAAATGACCATATAGGCTTGCGGGTGCACCATGTGAGAGAGAGGGAGGATTGAGGAGTCCTAAGAAGGACTCTCGGTTATCTTTCTTGAGGGCGTGTAGTCCTGAAAAGGACTGTTGGTATAGTCTTGAAAAAGAATGTTGGTTATCTTTCGTAGCTTATAGTTCTAAGGAGCACTATAGCGCTTGGAGAGGATGAGTGGCGGGAGTGGCTCGACTTTTAAAAAAGGTTGACTATCCGTTGTTAGGAGACCGTCAGGAGACAAATGACCATGTTATGTATCTCGTCCAGTATGATAAATTGATTTTTTTTAATAACTTTTTTTAGGTACTCTTCTAGATGATTTTCCACCTTCCATAGTGGAACAGCCTGAATCGGTTACTGGAGACCAACGTATCCCATTAACTCTAACGTGCAGAGCTATTGGAACACCAGAACCTGCGTAAGTTGCACACATAGAAGAATATTAACACTGCAGTTGTAGATTCTCAAGTATGATTGGTAGATTTTCAAACATACATTTTGTCAAGGAAAAAATGTAGGTAAAACATATTGTTTGCAAACAACATTCCAGATGGTCTTAAGCTTTTGCAAATGACTGAAATGACTGTAGCTACTTGAAGATGGGTTTTGGGTAGTACCTATATGCAATGCATCACAATTTTTTTAAATACCAGATTCTATGGAATTTCTATTAAATGTGTGTACAACAGTTTACTACTGGGAGAAGGATTGTGCTTTATTATTTGGTGTGGAAGGCAACGCTCACGTTCGTTCGCCTAGATGGGGTAACCTAGCTAGTGATTGAACCAAAACTTAAGGCCAACTTGAGGGACACACTATCATTTGCGACCCCTCAAAGTATCGCCTGCTAGAAGTCGGAGAGCGCATACAGTTCGATAGATTGAGATAGTATTTTGAGAACATTTCCTGAGCAAGGACCCATGCAACCATGCTCACCATGGGGTTGGAAGGATGAAAGTGATAGTTGTGTGTAATCATGTTTCAATGATTTATTTCAATACCAGGTACTACTGGGAGAAGGATGGTGCTTTATTTGACATGGACAGCAATGATCGCGCTAGCCTGGATGGGGGAAACCTAGTGATCGAATCATTAACAACAGCAGACGATGGACAATACCAATGTTTTGCTAATAACAGGCTTGGTACAGCAATGTCCCAAAAGATATGGACATCATTGGCCTGTAAGTTGATGCCTTCATTGTTGGCATAGTGGAATGGATGAATATAAGTCCTAATACTGTAAAGCTGTTATTTTCACGTGATTCATTTTTAGCGCTGAACGACTCCAAAACTTATTCCCAGGTTAAATTTGCGTTGCACACTTCACTCTATTATTTTCATTCATATCGGTGCCTTTGTACTAGTATTGAATGCAATTCAGTCTGTTCAAAACACGCATAAGAAATGATGCTTATATTTTTGCGAGTTCCAAAAATTCGCGCTTTCTGATGTTAGCGCGAAATACGCGAAAAATTGATTTACCACAAAATATTTCTACTTTTACAGTAAGTTTTTTAATTGAAAAATCAATTGGTGAAGCCAAGTATGAAGTGTCATGCATGTTCTGGTTCACAAAATTGTTGCCATTATACTCTATGAAATAGCGAATTGGGATGTTAGGATTATTATAGATCTAAGATCATTGGTCAGTTTTGACATAGAGTACCATGTTATAAAACGTACATGTTCCTGTTGTCTCCGTTTTTTATATCCAGTCATGGAACAGTTTGAGAACACTGCACCTGCAATGGTACAATTGAGCCAGGGACAACCCCTGAAGCTGCGTTGTGGTGGATCCCCCGGCATCCCTAACGGCAATCCTGCTCCCTTGATCTACTGGACCGATGCATCTCCCAAACACACATCTATCACATACAATGCACGGATTAACCAAGATCTAGAAGGGAACCTGGTCTTTTCAAACATAATTGCAAGCGACGCTAAAGGCTACTACTGCCTAGCCATCAATAACGTTGTAGGGTTGTTCCAGAGGTCACCAAAAATTATGCTGAGTGTTACAGGTAGGTGTACAGCTGATGTACCTATTAAAATAGACACAATTAAACCAGAAACTTTAGCACGCATGAATTCTTTCGTGAATTTCAAGAGTGGTTAAGATTTGCCAAAGATTTTGTATCATGGTATCACAATTGACACAGCACTGAATATTTACAATTTGCTAAAATTGCTTGCTGTATGAATGGCTGTTGTTTACAATCCACAAAAGTTAATGGTTTTAGAGTACCTGATAATACAAAAGGAGACTAAGATTTAGATTTACAACCCTCCTGTCTTGTATATATATATATATATATCCCTGTTTTTCCATTAAAAATGCCTTTCTTTCCTTGCGTTATCCTTTAGCTTCTTCAATTCATACATACTTAATTGTTTATAGAAAACCGGCCCCCTCCCTCCATTAAAAAAAAAAAAATCCTTTACATTCTGCATTATCCCTTCCCTTCCACTTCTTCTTCTCGTTCTTTGATATTATTTAGTGGACTGAGGCATATTAAGATAAATTTATAATTCAAGGATTTTAATAAGTTCCAAATTTATATTGACCGTAGTTCAAAATACTGCACAACTTAATCCCTCCGTTTTTAAAATATGAATGCATTTTTATTATGATTTGTTGTAATCCAAGAACAAGTCATATACCGGTAAGTATTAATTTGGAATGTTTTCTAATGGTATTTCAGAACTACATGTGTAACTAATTAGGATCATGTTGTAGGTTAAGTTGGATGTATACCGTAAATCTCCGTGTATAAGGCGTACTTTTTTTCCGTCTGCAAAAATCAAAAGTTGGGGTTGCGCCTTATACCCAGGTACAGGATATTTTGAGTCCTCAAAATGTTCCAAAAAAAATAATGAAATATGTAAGAAATTGCAGTTTTGCACACCACTAAAATTAATCCACCTTAAAACTAAAGTACTTAACTTTTACCAATCATATTCTAGCTCATCCTGAATCAATCCGAACTGCCGTTATAAATATGGGTTGCAAAGCACTTCGCTGCATATGGGGTTGTTGTTGCCAGCAAAGCTAGCTAGCTACTGTACTGGCCGGGTCTCTCAGCAGGATGAATAAATCAGGTTGAAAGAAGCATGTTCGAAAAATAAAACGGCTTTTTAACAATACTTCTTTACACCATACCGATCCAATAATTTTTAAAAGACAAAATAAATATTTTTCTCTTATTTTGAACACCACATGCTTCTTTTAAAAGCTGAAGATGACTTGGTTATCACAACAAGTTTTGATACTAATAGCTGTCGCAAGGCAAGTTCGATCAGTCACAGAAGGCACAGTGCACTTCATTAGCTGTAATGGTGCCAAAACGAACCCAACAAATATACGTGATAGCAACAAGAAAAAAAATCATTAAAAACTACGAGAGCACAATTGGAAAGACAACTACCGGTACTCAAAATTACTGTAAGCAGATACATAACTTGGAGGAAGAATACAATAGTTGTCCAAGAAAAGTCACAGAAATAGTGATATTAAAGGAGTTACTATAGGTAAATTTATTATCGGAATGGGCCTGCTGCAATGTTCTTGCTAAATTACATGTGTTTAAATTGAGCCACGAGGCTAGAACCAATATACTGCCCTCTACGGTAAAACGCAGTAGAACAAGCCGCAGGCCCCTTTCGATAAAAATGTACCCAGTTACTCCTCGATTATCACAACTTCCGTGGCATTTTTTAGACGACTATTGAATTCTTTGTCCAAGTTATGTATCTGATTATGGTAATTTTGAGCAGTAGTTGTCTTTCCATATTTGTGCTTTCGTAGTTTTGAATGATTTGTCGTTACGATCACGTATATTTGTTTGGGTTTGTTTGGGCACGCATTACAGCTAAGGAGGTGCCCTGCGCATTTTTTCTGTGACTAGCATGAACTTGCCTTGCAACAGCTATCAGTATCGAAACTTTATGTGATTAACAAGTAATTTTCCGCTTAAAGAAAAAGCATGCAGTGTTTAAAATAAGAGATAAATATTTATTTTGTCTTTAGAAAATTTTAAAATTATAGCTGACAGAATTTTTTTTTTCCAGAATTTTTTTTCCCCGATATTTTTATTTAAAATAAAAAAAATTGTCTTCAAAGTAGGGGTGTGCCTTATACACAAAGCTTTTTCAGGGAGTGTGCTTAGACGATATTATGACAGCCGCCTTTTGGCATTCTCCCTATTCAATTACTTCTTTTTATCTTGGACATCCCCTCTGGTCAGGTTTTGTTTGCAACCTCGTCCCTTATGCCTGGATTGCATTTGGCCTGCGATTAGTCTACAGAGCCCGTATTCTGCCCGTATCCCCTTTTCAGTGCGGCTTCTGTTCGGAGGCAGGAGGCGGCCTTGAGATTTTCGTACGGATTCACGGGCTCCGCAGCCTTTACGATTTTGTTTCGCGAGAAGTTAAACAAATTTGAAAAAATTGTAAGCCTATATACATGTCGTAGGTGGCATTGCACAATCCTCGCACGGGCATTGCCCGGAGGCCTCACACTGATTGTGCAGCAAACGTACGATTTTTCGGTGAACATGGGGACAAACAAAAATCGTACAGAGATATTGTAGACTCGTGGGGCATTCGCACGGCCGTTGCACAGCTATCGCAAGGTTGTTGCTCACTGCCCGCGTGCACTATCCGTGATATTGAGCATTCAAATTGCTCGATTTCCGTACAATATCCGAGCAGCCTCTGTACGGATTTGCCCCGGCCTGCCACCGAGGGCCAATACAATAAATGGCACGATGCTCGTAGATAATGTAAACACAAACATCGTAGCCCGTAGCCTCCTACGATATCTACGAAAAATCGTAGCCCGTAGCCTCCTACGATATCTACGAAAAATCGTAGACTAATTTAACGTACGGCGCCTGGGGCAAATGTAATCCAGGCATAAGGGCGACATTGTCTGCCATTGTTCCCCATTAATCCCCTTCTATTTGGGACATGCCTCCTGGTCTTATCTGTGCTGGTCTAGCAAAAATATAGGTAGATACATTGATTTATTGTGGTAAATCAGAAAAATCATAACTGTTTTTAATATTTACTATGCAAATCTATGTATCTACCTATGTCCCTCCCTCCGTCCCCTCTCCTTGCCCGGCAACATGTCCAAAGCGTTGTCTCTGGCTGCTTGTTAAAGAGGAAGATGGCGGTCGTGCGGTTGCACACATGAACCCTGGGAAGGCAATGTTATGGGGTGGGGCATGAGCGAATGTGATGTTCTAGTTCTCGATGGCTGCGTAGTTTAGGTAAACTAGCAAATAATAGGTAGATACATAGATTTATATAGTAAATAATAAAATCAGTTATGATTTTCCTGATTGTTATTACAGGGCTGCCAACACTCACGCATTGAGCGTGAGACTCACGCATTTCACTCAATTCTCACGCTCTCAGGCTAACAATGAAATTCCTCACGCACAAATTTTAAAAAACTAAATAATAATAAAAACAGATAAATTTGAATGAATTATGCCACCAAAATCAAGAATTTAGAAAGTTTTCCCGCCTTTTATCCCCTTTTATCAAAGACGAAAGCCTTGATCTCACTTCTCGCGCTCGTGCGTGTGTAAGATCGGCGCCTATATAACTAGCTAGCCTGATGATGTACGTATCCTCGCACCGTACCCATATTCATGTGCAGCTAGCCGGCTCGGCCCAGGCCTGCCCCGGCCCCGAATTTGGATTCGGACGAACCAGCAGCGAGCTCCAGTACATCATCAGTAACAGTTGACAATTCAATTGATTGAGAACAGCAAAGATTTCACGGTGCTGTGCTTTGTTTTTAAAGAGGGCCTGATATTACTTCATACAGTAGAATAGAATGAGAGGGATTATAAAAATACAAAGTGAGTTTGAGAGTGAAAAATGACTTGTGATTATGTAACAACTTAAAGTTGAACGAAACCTTGCCTGTGAGAGAGTGAGCGCGTGGGGCCCTCAGCACCTCGCTCTACGCCTAGCTCAGCAGCCCATGTTCGTGGGTGAACAATCAGATATTCCATGTTAATAATTTTCTTTATCTATCTGTTAGTCTGATTTTCTCTCTCCATATAATTGCCTTTAGCTATAATGTTAAAATACTCTATAAAGTATGCACCAGATCACACATTTCACCTTGAAAAATAAAAAAAGCTCTACAATGTGGGAGGGCATCTTTGCACGGTGGGAAAAACTAATGCACGCCCACGTGATGTCAATTGACTAATCGGATTGCTTAGATTTTAGAACCTGTCTTATAATATTAATTAATTAACAGCCATCATATTATTTTTTAAGTAAAGTAGAATCGGTAAGATCATATTTTAATTTAAATTTACACATTTTGGGGTCTAAAATTACCTGCATAACAATTTTAGGTTCTAAAAGGGAACTAGAAGTGTCATAAATAAGAATAAGAGCAAAACCAAGCACTTTATTCAGGTATTTGCGGTAGGTCTAAAACAAGAACTCAACTATCCTCTTAAGGTAGTCAAATGCATTTGATATATTCAGCTTTACAAAAAAAGTTAGGCCTAACTCAATCTTGTTTATACCTTAATGCACTATACAGTCAGACCCCAGCGCATTTGGAATGAGGTTTTACAGTGAAGAATCAGCATCTGCATCAATATCTTGAATGATTTACTTGCAATTTATATAACTAAGCATGATTTTCAGGGTTATTTTTCTAGCGTCCTGCTTTTGTGTTGTGATCAAGTGAAAATTTGCACTTAATCGCAAGACTTATGCTTGATTTTAGGGATTTGCAATTGATTGCAACTTTCTTGCAATGGTAGTTTCTTACCTAATACTGGTTGATATGCCCAGGCTGTAACTATATACTTGATGGGTTTTTGTGAGAATCATGTCGACTGCAAAAAAGACACAGTTCTACTTTCAAACATGTTTTTCATTTCAACGTATATTCTTGTAGCATCAACTTTTTTATTTTCAAAACTTTTATTGCAAATTAACCTTATGAATCAAGAGTTTCAAATTAAATACAACTAGGTAAAATTGACTGTTTAAGCTTTCTAATCTTCATCTATTTTGTGATCATTATTTAAATAGCTCTCTTTGACTTCAATGTTCATTATAGTGCATCATAAATGTTGTTGGAAATTCAATTCAAATTTATAACATTGTAGAAAAATTAAAAAAATAAATTAACAACCCTTGTTTTCATGCCTTTGCAAACAAAGTAGCCAGGGGCATTATGTTTCCGGGTTGTCCGTCAGTACGTCCGTCTGTACATCTCGTTCTCGTAATCGCATTATCACGAGAACCAAGTGATGGATTTGCTTCTATTTGCTTTTAGATGACTTACCAGTCATCAACATTTCTGTGTTAAAGTATGACTTAACTTGTTAATGATTAATTGTATAATTTCAGATTTGCCAGCAGTTGCGAGTGCAGCCCACTTAGACAGTCACCCAGCAGCAAGCGAAGTTGCCAATAGAACTCAGTCATTTAAGCTGAAATGCATTGCATTTGGATAGTAAGTATGTTTTAAGGTTAACCCTCTATTCCCTCTCTCCCCCCCCCCCCCCTCTCTCTCTCTCTTTTCTTATTGCATTGCCTTTAATAGTTGAGAAATTTCTCCTTTCCTAATTTTTTTTTTCCTTACTTTTCTTGCATATACCTGTATCTTCTTTCGGAAAATTATTGGTACAAATTCTTTAAAAGTTTCAACTGTAATGGCTTTAAAAGTTATTGTGTAGGGCATAATATGGTGAATAGACCATTTTTGTAATGTTATCAAATTTAAAGCACAAATCTTTCATGTTACAAATTCTTGAATTCACCTGTTTGTAGTAATTGTATTTCAATAGTCGGCATGCGTATTGCACACACTAATTGTTGTTAGGTAGGACAAGCCATAATGTTTGTCTACCTAACAACAATTAATGTATGCGATTCGCACTCCCACAATTGAAATACAATTAATCAAAACAGGTGAATTAAATAATTTGTAACAAGGCACTATTAACAAAGATTTTTTAATTAAATTTGATTACATAACAAAATTGGCCTATTGCATGAAAATATCTCTCTCTTTTCCTCTCTCTTTCTCCCTTTCTCCCTTTTCCCCTTTCTCCAGCCCAACCCCTGTAATCACATGGAAGCGAGGAGAGGAGCAGCTACAGTCTGGAGGACGAGTATCTATTGAAGAATCCGGGCAGGCGCTGGTCATCTCCGCTGTCGAGAACAGTGACGAGGGAACGTATACATGTGTTGCATCAAACACGGGAGGGGATGATGAATTCAGCACAGTAGTTACTGTGGAATGTAAGTTGAAAGTCAAATAATGATGTAAACAAGAAAAAAATCCATGCCTGCAAATGCTTAGTTTAATACTATATCCTGATAATAATAACAACATCTGTGGTTTAATAAAGTCTTACTCTGTCCAATGAATAAGGTAGAATGTTAAGTAGTTGTGTATTGTTACCTTTTGTAGGAGTCCATTTCATTTTCTTCTACTATGTTATAAATTGAACCAATTGTTAATGTGGTGTACGTGGGATATATATAATTTTGTAGGCTATTGACCTTCAGGATATATACTATACAAAACAGTTATTGAAGTTAATATTTCTCTTTTATAAAACAAATTGAGATAGACTAAGTTCATAGTGATTCATTTAACATTCATTTTACTTTTCTCTTCCTTTTCATTTATTTAGCTGCACCATATTTCCTAGCCCCACCCTCCGATAAAACCAAAGGACCTGGTGAATCAGTGGACATTGAATGCCGTTCTGAGGGTGTTCCACCGCCCACTGTTGAATGGCTTGTTAATGGACAAACTTGGGCTGATTTTGAATGTAAGATCAGCTATAGGGCATTTTAATTTCAGTGTTGAACCAAGAGGACTTCCTCTGTTCTGGCTGCAGTTTTATTTATTATTAATGTAAACAGTTTGTCTGTTCAGATACAGAAGGGCGTTATTTTAAAGTATATGAGTTAACACCCTTCTAGCTTCAAAGATATGAATTCATCCTATTTTGTATGATACAAATTATGTTATGATATTGAAAGTTAAAAATAGACTGAAGTTAAAATAATAAGTATAGGTAGCAAAGTACCAGCAGTAGTACTGGTACTACAGAGGAACAGACCTGTTAGTAGAATTAGCAGTAATAGTACAAATTGTGGAATTTGTGTAGTAGGATGACAATGTGAAAGTGAAGTCAACTAATTTTTTTAATTTTTTTTTTAATAAAAGCTCATTTACAGTTTTGATAGCAGAAAGAAATTTGGAGTGAAATGTGTAACATATAGTATATATGTTCTCCTTGTATCACAAGTGATATGTCAGATTTTTATTTGATATTCCATCCATTATTTGTAGTAAACTTCATTATAAATATTCAGAAGGAATGCTAGATCACAGCTAAATACTACCCTTCAATAGAACCCTACCAACCTGATGGCTGCATGCCTGCACAACAATCTCAGCATTTCAAGTGAAGAAGGCATGTGTGTGGCAGACACACAATCCTCATAATTGCCTAGTGCAAATTGACATTGTTTTAATTTTAATTTATGTGCCAGGCCAGGTGTATAAACTATGTCTTCCGTCTTATTAGTTGAATATTTCTCTTGAGGAAAAACTTGATAGCAGCATAGTATTACAAGTCTCTTGCTAATTGTCATCTGAAATCAAAGAAATCTTATGAAATTTTTCTGAAGCCCTACCAAAACTTTATGAATAAGACCTTTAAATCTGAACTTTCGGTTGTTTAGAAATATTTTCTTTCTCCTTTGACAGCCAACATAGATACAGAAAGATGGACTGTGGTGACTGGAGACCCCCAGTTAGCAACCATAGCTATCACAAACCTACAGACAACAGACAGCAATGTGTTCCAGTGTATAGCTACCAACAAGTACAAAGAGGAACTCACCAGTGTTGTACTCAATGTAGTCTGTGAGTATACATTTGTACCTTGGTCACTTTGAAATCTGCCCGAAATTCTTAACAAGAATATATTGCAGGTTTTCACAAGGCATGTCTAAGACTTCACCTGAGTGATTTCAGATCAATCAATCACTCAGTTATTTCAATGTTTCTCTGGCCTTTTAGGCAATTCTATTTGATGGTCCATGATGGAAGAAATTTGTTGATTTGGTATAGACTAGATTTGTTGCTAATGAGCTGTATTCACTTATTTTTATTGAGAGAGAGAGAGAGATACAAATTTTGAGAGTCTACTGAATGGCTCGATGGCTCAGTGGTAATTGAAGCAGTGGTCTCATAACCAAGAGGTCCTAGTTCAATCCAAGTTGATGCGCTTGTGCCCTTTGGTAGGCCATCGATCCTCATTATCAATTACCTCGGGAAGGACTGAAAGCCATCGTTCCCCAGGCTACTTCCTTACAAGCATATATTGTTAGCCTTTCACACTTATTTTTGGTGAGTAAATTTAATAAATAGGGAGTCAAGTGATAGTTATATATTGTAATATGTTACTAACATTGTGCATTGATATCTCTGACATGACTTTGCTGTCTCTCCCTAGCTTTTCCTGCTAGGATAACTAGTTTCACGCCTCTGACAAGGAGACTAAGTGTTGTAGAGGATGACTCTGCCAAGTTCATCTGCCATTCTAGAGGAAGACCTGATCCAACCATAACATGGACCTTCAAGGGATCAGTGGTAAGCAGGCTGCTCAACATTCTTAACACTTTTGTTGTTTTTTTCGCATCCCTGCACACTGCATTCATATCAGTTATCAGCATAAAGAATGAGAGCATTCATGTTTGCATTGATGCTAGATTTGTGAAAAGAAAATGTGACCTTTCTCCGTTTTTGTTCATGTGGATTTTGTTGTGGCTTTAAAGTATATAATCTTGACCCAGATGAGTGTGAAAATATTCAATTCTAATGAAAATCAGTCACTATGAAGAAGAAGCACTCTCAGCTGTACTGTTGCAGTACCATGAGTTCTGTTGCCAGAAGGTATATAATATTGACCCAGATGAGTGTGACTTTATTCAATCTAATTCAGTCTAACAAAATGTCAACAGAGGGTCAATATTATATACTCTATGGTGACAGAGCACCGGCATGTGGAGGCCCTAAACTGTGGAACGCTATTTCAGTATCGCTACACTCCGTTACATTTTTTAAAGCCCTTAAAAGTTATCTTTTTGATAAGGGTTATCGTGAATTGTTAATTGCACTTTGTAAAGTGCGTTGTGAGGGCCTATGGTCCTGAAATGTGCTATAGAACTTATAATGATTATTAGTTCTGTTTAGTTCTTTGACACTCCCTTTTTTTGCCCCTGTTATGAACTACAGTTGACCAATGGGATCAAATACACCATCAATGAAACTGAGGGAAGCCTAGTGATCAACAATGTCAAGAAAGTGGATGGCGGAGAATATGAATGCAGAGCAGAAAATGCTATTGATGGAGAAGATTATGAGGCAACAGGTAGTGCTACCCTGACAATGCTAGGTGAGAGTTTTTTTATAATTTTCATTTTTGTTTGCTTTATTTTAGTTTCAAATTATAATCCCTTTTCTTGTTCCTCTTGCATAGGGTTGCAAATACCACTTTTTAATAGTTCTGCCAAAACATTTTCTGTTGAATACAAAAGTAGCAACATATGCAGACACTCGCTTGTGTCATATTGCTATATACTCCTACAAAAGCAATGTTTGGACAAGTGTTTGCAAGATTTTAAAATGTATCGTATTTGCCCCAATATACTAATGTTTACTTCAATAGGTCATGTAACCAATTCTAAACAAGACTTGAAAAATGTTATGCTGATCTGTGCATTGCACAATGAAGGTGATAAAGAGAGATGATATTCATTGTGAATGTGTGATCTCTCCCTCACATTCCTCCTATGACCACTGAACAGGCAAGACAACAATTTACCTTTCTCCTGCTAATTTGATGATTCGAGAGGGCAATACAGCCACTTTCCAGTGTGAAATAACGTATGACGAGGAGCTGATTGAACCCTATGTCTACTGGATGAAAGATGGTCAGAGACTCGAGGCTAATCAGGTCAATATGCATACACCAGACATTTAAATAGGTCTTCATTTGTCTTTGAAAAGTAGGATATTAGTTTGTTTATCTGCCACTGTGGGCACCCTTAAAGGTAATACAAAGTTTTGGTACGGGGTCATGAATTTGGTTCAAATGAACATATTAGAAGCAAATGCGATCCTACAATATTTAGTGATCGTTGTTGTGGTTGATATCGAGTCTAAGGTTATGAAATTGTAAATAATAAACTCTTCATGTTGTATAGCTCCCTCTCAAGGTCAAGATATTACTTAAGCTATAAAACAATGTTTCTTGACTAAAATCGACCAATTAGCTATTCCCGTTTGGAAATTATGTATCACAACTACATATTCTGAGATTTTCATGGTCGTAGCTTCCATTGTACGGCCATAGGTGCTATTTTAAATTTGTCAAAATTTACCGGGAGTACGGGTAAATTTTTATATTCAATTTGTCTTGAAAGCAGAAGTGTTTGAGGGGCTAAATTTTGTAGTGCTTATCCACAGGGGCATACTACATCCACAGGGGCATCCAAATCTATCAAAATTGTATAGAATCACTATCCACCCGATTTTCAAAATTTCCCAAAACTTTGTATTACCTTTAATCGTGCTTGCACGCCTGTAAAACCCTAGCTGCCCCTCCTGTTTGTGGTTGTTAAACAGTGCGTCCCAGAAAAAACGAAACCGAGAAGTATCGATGTTCTATCATAGCTTAATCACAACTATAATTAATGAACGATACATATTTGGAAAGCTTAGAGTCTCCTCTTTCATGTGATGCTACTCAGATGACGCATGAGTGATTAAAAGCAATTTGAAGGAAGGAAACCAAAAAGTAATTTGGCGGGCGGTATCTGAATTTTGAAGAAAAATTCACATTTCTAGAAAGTTGAGTTTCTGCCCTTTCATACGACATCTCAATCAGGAAAAATGAGCAAGGAATGACAAAGTTCTGTTTGTTTAAAGTAGTGCTTGCATTTCCATAATTTTATTAAACAAATTCTTTTTCACTGGCTGCCTGCCGTATCAATAAACGAAATTAACAAAAGACTCCGTTTCGTTGACAATCAGCCATAGACGAGAGTCTTCATGCATGGCTGATTGTCAACGAAACGGAGTTAAGTCTTTTGTCAAATCTGCTATTTGCTACGGCAGGCACCCAGTGAAAACGAACGCTCTTGCCGGCCCAGCTGTGGAGGTGATGTCGGGCCAACAACATTGTCCTGATGGCCCGATAGCAGTCTTTCTCTCTCGGGGCAAGTGTCTTCCCTCGGAGTGGTTGCTGAATCTAGAGGTGTTCGGCCAGTTTTGTGGCTTGGGATTATCTAGCGATCGATCTGTTTGCCACCACTAGCAACCACCATCTTCCAAGGTATTGTTCGTGGGTTCAGGATCCTGAGGACTGGGCATTGGATGCCTTCTCCCTCCATTGGGGGCACTTCCGAGGGCTCTTTACAATTCTCGCTTGGAGCCCTTCTCCATCAGTGGTTACCGTTCAGCCGTTGCTGCCATTATCATGTCGAGTTTCCAGACGGTTCGGGGGTGTCTAACTCGTATTTCGTGTCCAAGCTACTGTGTTCCTTTTTTCTACACCGGCCAGCTTAACTGAAGCTGGCCCCGGCTTTAGCAAAGCCTCCTTTTGAGCCTTTGTCTGAGGCTTCACTTTTTCATTTGACGGTGAAAACTGTGTTCTTTATGGCAATAGTTTCTGGACAGCGGAGGAGTACGCTTCATGCGCTGTCTACCTCCCCTGGCCACATCAGGTGGGAGAGGCAGGTGCCACAGCCTTCATTCATTGCCAAAAATCAATCGGCGTCCTCTTGGCCGGTGGAGGTGTCCCTCAGTCCTTTTTCGGAATTCTCCTCGGTCGTGAAGGACAAGATCTGGTGACCAGTGTGGGCACTTAAGTGGTATTTAGATAAGACCAAGGGTCATCGAAAGGATGAACAATTATTTCTCATCTCTCGTGAGCCCTTTTCTCCAGCTTCTCGAGAGTCCATCTCAAGATCGATAGTGGAAGCTATTCAGGCGGCTGGACCTGAGGGCCTCCTCCCAGAGGGCAGGACCAGGGCCCACGATACAAGAAGTATCATTATTTCCTGGGCGTTGTTCCAGGGAGTGGGTTTGGACGGCATTTTGAAGGCCGCCTTTTGCCGGTCTCCCAATTCATTTTGTTCTTTTATCTTAGGGACGTCCCCTCTGGGCAGGCTTTGTTTGCAACCCTAAGGGCGGCTTCGTCTGCATTGTTCCCCAGTTATCTCCTTCATGTTTGGGACATGCATCCCGGTCCTTTCTGTAATAATACGTAGATACATTGATTTATTGTGGTAAATCAGAAAAATCAAATCTAATTTTATTATTTACTATATAAATCTATGTATCTACCTATGTCCCTCCCTTCATCCCCTCTCCCCTTCTCCATCCCCTCTCCTTGCCCGGCAATGGTGGGCGTGTGTTGCGCACGTGAACCCTGGGAAGGTGATGTATTGGGGGTGGGGCATGCGCGAATGTGACGTTTTAAGTTCTTGATGGTTGCTGAGTTTAGATAAACTAGCAAATAATAGGTGGATACAATAGATTTATATAGTAAATAATAAAATCAGTTCTGATTTTTCTGATTGGCTACCTTGTCAAAAAGCTCAGAGTCCAGCATGTCCCTGCCTGACAGCAGATGAAACAGTCAACCATCTGATAGGAGCATGCATGACCCCCACTCATCAAGACCATATTAACTTGCACTCAACACGTACATGTACTACAATCAGTTCCTCCCAATTCCGTGTCCAAAGTCACCACAAATATCATCCTCCTTGGACAGGTGTGGAGTCAATGATGACCCAACCATTACTGCCCAGACCCTGGATTACCGTGCCGCATCCCTAAAATTTATCCTGGAAATGCACTTAAAACAATCTTCTGTGAACAAAGCAGCTGCTGCATAAGCTGTCATTAGCACATCATGTAAATATTTAACATTTATGTACCCCTATTATATTGTCTGCCTATTCTCCATTAAATCACTCTGGGAAAGATATAACTCCAAAACTGGAGGAAATTAAGAAGAAGATATCTTTCTCTCATTTTGATTGATTTTTCATTATTTTTTGTGTTTCTTGTCAGAGAAAGGAAATGATTATTATCCATCTGAGGGTTTAAATCCGAAAAACAAAAGCTTGCTTGTTTACTGTAGATATAAATCCTACTCTAAATCACTGTTTGTTGGTAAAGTGATATATTTTAGTATCTTGATATTGTTTAGTATCTTTGGGCTGTTTTTATGTACTTTATTCTTCCAAAGTTGTTTAAGAAATTGTTGGGTTTAAAAAAACGCACTATTATTGCATACACAGATTTTTTTAAACAAAATGCTCTGCTCAATGTTTTTTTCGGTTAATTTATTATAGAGATTATATATAGTTATAAAAATATTTAGTATTGCTCATTTTTAAAAGCCTGAATAGCCTTTTGGATTAAAGAAATGAAAAAGTTCAATGAAATTGCATTACCAGTACTAAAATTTGTTCTTTTTCTTTCCTCGATATAGGACAACTCCCTGAGAATAGAGAATGCCTTTTGTACTCATTCAGGAACCTATACATGTGTTTTGGAAGCAACCATTGATGAGAGTGCAGGCACAGTTCATTCAGTGAATGCCTCTGCTAAACTCATTGTAAAAGGTACGACTTAGAAAATGACATCTACAGTGACATCTTAGGTCCCGTTTATTGCTTGTACCATCAAGAGCTGTTGAACTGATTCACAGAATATGTAGCAAATGGAAATAACTCTTCCGAATCATGCCTCAAAACTAATAACCATTTCAGTAAATGTGTAAATACTGAAATCTTTGGCGCAGCCAGCACTTTGAATGTTTTTAACAGAAATATGGCACTATACAATTCCAAGAATCATCAGCAATTCTGAAGTGTATTACTAACACCACTGCTTAGAAGCCCTTATTTGATTCATTTTTTGATAAATTATATCATTCAACACATTATATGACATGGCTAAGTATTAAAAAAATTTCAGGCCTTATCTATATATCGTTTTCAATTTCATATTTATACAGTATTTTGTGAAGATAAAAAAGTTAATGAGAAGTTTTATTTAACATTTGATGCATTGTGCTTCTTCCAGGTCGGCCTGAATCTCCTCGGATTCTGATGCTTCTAGCCAAGGAACAGGAGTTTGCAATGGACCTTTTCTGGGAGCCTGGCAATGATAACAATGCTCCTATCCAATATTACATCATCCAGTACGACACCAAGTGGGCAGATATGCACTGGCAATTCCAAGCAGTAAGTTCACGTTGAAATCACGGGACAGACTTGCCACTGTTGAGGGTCGTATTTCTGAAGTCCACCGCGCACTACATGATGGTCCTGTGATTCGATTTTTGAAGAAATTGCAAATTTGTACTTGATAGGAAATCTAAACAAACAACATCTTCTTAATTTATTATCTAAATATAGATGACAGTACTACCAACCAGAATGTTAGTGCATTGAACTCTTCTAGTCAAATAAAAGCTGAATGCATGGCTTCATATCGTTGACAATGGGCACTACTGAACTGACGTCACCACAATTCTGAACCATGAAATCCCTTGAAATTTACATTTCATTAATCAAATAAATGTTCAGAACCTCTGTCCTTAAGATTTTACATGTTTCAATGTTGATATCAAATGCTCTCGCAATTGAATATAAAATAAATTGCCGCTGCTGACATGCAAGGCTGTCAGGGCATTGAGTGAGCCGATGAGTTATCGATCCCCATCCAAATTCAGCCTATAGTGCGAGTGCTACCATTCCTTAGTGCGACTACTCTCGCTGGAATGGAGTGAGTAGATCAGCATTAATGACCATTGTTGTGTGTCGCGCACGCACTCCTGGTCTGAAGTTTGCAAGAGCATAAAAGTGAGAAAAGGATCGCAATGTACATAATAATAATTTAATAAGCATGTCAATATTTCAAATTACAAAACAAATGCATAAGCAGGAATTTATGGGGACTTGTTAATGTGATGAAAACTCGATAACACAAAACTGGGTTTCAGCTCGATGGTCAGGGACCAGTTTCAACTCGGGACTAATTTCTGTTGTGATTTTGAATTCAGTTAATTGGTACCGGTATTTCTCTCTCTCTCTCTCTTTAACAGAACGAGACATCTAGTGGCCTTGCAATCTATCGCAAAGTGCTTTACCTGCAGCCGTTCGTAGACTATCGGTTCCGAGTCATTGCTGTGAACGAGATTGGGGAGTCTGAACCAAGTGCGGAGGTAGCCCCAACGGTCGATCCTCAAGTTGCCCCACCCTCTGAAAATCCGAGCGGGGTCAGCGGAAGTAGCACGAGACCCGAAGCAATGGTCATAAGATGGCAGGTAGGTCCTCAAAAGATAATGGGATCCTAATTTTGTTATTCTGAACATTTCTATTGACTATTTGGCAGTCTCTATTACAGTGATCAAGGTATTTAATATATAGATATAGAAATCAAGAATGTACAGTTGTTTGCTCTATTACATTTTTATTTCCTATTTTAAATAAACAATACAAATACTTTGTATAACTGTAGTAGTTAAATATAGACAATGATTGCATATTCATGTGTATTTGTTGGTTCTCGACATTAATAATAACGATGTCTTCTAGGTCTGGTATCCGCCAGCTCAGGCGCTCATGGCACTTGCTCCAAAATATGATATACATATTACCTGAACTCTGTAGATGCACTGCTTGTGGTATATACAGCTGAAACAACCATAAATAGCCCAAGAAATACTCATTGGCAGTGTTCACTCAGTAGTCATGTTTTGAGCGGTATTTGAGCATAACTTGATGGTTACTTGAATTCTATGTTTTCAGGCAATTCACCCCTTCTACTACGGTGCGGATGGTTTCCACTATGAGGTCGCATACAGACCCAGGATTTCAAGTGAACCATTCACAAAGGCTACAGTAGACCCAGAAAACACTGATGATAATCCTACTGGAATCATCCAGAATTACATCGTAAATGCTAGTCAACTTTGCGGGGAGTTTGAGTTCTCTGTACGATCAGTGAATAGTGAGGGACCAGGACCCGAACCAGAGATTCATCATGGGTTCCCTGGAAAAGCTTGTAAGATGCACTCTTCATGCATTATAGTGCCATTTTATTTTTTATTTTTTATTTTTTATTTTTTATTTTTTTGTTAAATCCATAACTGCAGTCATACAAACGAATTTGACATGGATTACAATCGTGTGATTAAAAAGAAATGTACACAAATTGAACACACAAAAAAAAATATATGATCATTGTAAGATAAACAAATTTGTTGAATCTACTTGTATATATAGGATTCATTAATGTATAAGGTATAACCTACCTCACAGGGTCCTAAGCTTTGCAGTAAATGCCTGCATAGTTCACCGTCAGGTGTATTGTGATACTGTCGAGGCACAGTGCAGATGTGTGTACATTAATGTCTGATAAATGGTACGGTTGATCAAGTGCGAGTAAAAACAATTACCATTTTAGCGGAGCTGGGTCTTTTGTACCGATACCTCTTGCTTGAAGCCGTTAACAGATGTACAATTAATGGTGTTCTGAGGGAGAGAGTTCTAGAGACTTATTACATCCGGGAAGAAGCTCCTCTGGTGGACCAGAGTTCTGGCAAACAGAACTATGATCTTCTTGAAATGCCCTCTGTGCAGGGATGTAGATGGAGTGAGGAAAGTGTGTGGGTTATGTCTATCAGCAAGTTGGTGATGTGATAGATCATCACCACCTTAGCCTGTGCCCTGCGTTCCTATAATCTTGGCCACTTGAGCGGGTTCAGCATGGCTGCTACGCTGCTTGCCCTGCGGTAGTCATTGAAATTGAAGCCGACATAGCGCGTTTAACCATTTAAAACTTCTTGATGTTTGCTTGCATGAAAAAGCTCATCATATTACTCAACCCTGCTTGAATATATACATGATGCCATATTGGAATACTGAAGTATAGGCATAAAGAACAACAGATGTCATGTTTATACAGTATTTTGGTGTGGAAAAAAAAAAACGTTGATGAGAAGCTTTATTTAATATTTGATGCATTGTGCTTTTCCCAGGTCGGCCTGAATCTCCTCAGATTCTGATGCTTTTGGCCAAGCAACAGGAGTTTGCAATGGACCTTTTCTGGGAGCCTGGCAATGACAACAACGCTCCTATCCAATATTACATCATCCAGTACGACACCAAGTGGGCAGATATGCACTGGCAATTCCAAGCAGTAAGTTCACATTGAAATCACGGGACAGACTTGCCACTGTTGAGGGTCGTGTTTCTAGAGTCCACCGCACACTACATGATGGTCCTGGGACGGTATTTTGAACCCTGTGTTATCTCTAATATTGTAGTATCTTTGAAGATAAGATAAAGTTGGTATTCTGAACATTGTTGTAACTTTTGTGTTATCTTTTGTTGTATCTTTTCTCTCATCTTATTGGCCGGGCCTGCGCTCATACTTTGGTGCGCTTGTAATTGTGCGTATTATTAATAAAGTGGCATTTAATCCTCATTTGCATATGCCCATGGGAGATAATATGTCGAGATAATTGGTATTCTGAAAGTTGTTGTATCTTTTATCTTATCTTATCTTGCATGGTATTTACAACAATATTTACAACAGGTAGGGGGTTGTTGTATCTTTCATGGTGATATAATGGCGGCAATATTTTTTGCACAGAACCAACTTCGTGCCAATAGACGAGTTAGAAGAAGATTGTGTGTTGACCGGAAACATCACAGATGAGAACTTTCTAAGATATTACATGCTAGGATATTAATGCTCTCATCTTAACCAATATAGTGAAAGTGTGATTTGTCTTCATGATCCACATTCAACAGCGCATAATGATGACGCGTGTAATAAGTGCTCAAATAACTAATTACGCCCAAGATAAGTATGCGCTAGGCGCATCTTCAGATATGGCATAAAGTATTCCTATTGGTTGACCTACTTATCATGCTTATATAAAATAGATTTTGATTGGTAGGGTCCATAAAAATGGGCGTGTCATCAATGGTCAAAGATAAGATAGAGGCGGTCCTTCAAGAGATAACACAGGGATAAAAAAATGTTCAGAATACCAACTTACAACAATATAAGCGCTGTGTTATCTCTGGAAGATACAACAGAAGATAACAAAAGACTTCTGAAGAAATTGCAATTTTGTATTAGATAGGAAATCTAAATAAACATCATCTTCTTTATTTAGTATCTAAATAATGATAAGAGTACTAACAACTAATGGAGGCAAATTGTTTGGTATATATCAGTTGTGGAATCTAATCTGAATGTAAGTATACAACAAGATGAAAAATTAAAACATGCATTTTCCTTTTTTTGCTTAAACAACACTGGTAAAACTGGCAGATAAATGTGAATCAATATTGAACAACTTAATCATGAATTCCTAAATAGATGGAAAGTCTTAAATGCTGGCAATTTTTTTTGCATATATATATATATATATATAGAAATATCAGTTGTGTATTAACGATCTATTGTAATATAAATCTAATTTGAATGTTAGATATTGCAATTTTAAACATGCATTTTTACAATTTTGCTAATGAAATTTTATAAAATGGGTTCAAGAATGTAGCCAATGAGAAGCGTCGATTGGATCAAGTGACCATGCATTATTTGTTATTATATGCTTCACTTAGAAATCCAGCCATCTGATTGGTCGAAATTGCAGTCGTGGTTTTAGCCATTCTCGTAAATAAACGAAAAATGCGAAACCTATGTAATAGTTCTAGAGTAAATCAGTAAAAATCCCAGCTAAATTCCAGTTACCAGGAAAATAGTTTAATCTTGCTGAAATACCCATTGGTTCACGTGTTAAAGTCTGGTTTGAGCGAGCGCAGATACCATACATTGTGTGTGTGCGAATTGGTGGCTAGCTTAATTTTTTTTTTTTTTTTTTTAATGTCGATCGTACTACTAAATCCGGACTAGATTCTACTTATAGTTTCCAAACAAGGCAAAAATGGCTGAAGAAACTCTTCCTAGATTTCAACTCCTCGATGATGATCAATTGCAAGACTTGATTAATTCTACTGACAGCATGAACACCAAAAGGGTATGTGAAATTCATAATGAAAACTGTTGGACATTTGTTCTGGGTGATTGTGTGCGCATTCGACGTGTACGTCGCTACAGCTACAACACGTAATTGTGCATCAATTTGACCATATCTTAAGTTACCATTAACGTTATAAATTAGTGCGAAACGCATTTGAAAGCACAAAATATCTGCTATTTTGTGGAGTAGAAATCATTTCTGGGGAACTTGTAACCCTGCTGCCTTTTGTTCTTGAATGTTGTTACGCATTCACTTTCTGAGACAAAAGTCTATGGCAGATGCCATAATTTTGTGTTGATACATGTGCAGATAAACTAGAGAAAAGCCAAGGTGGTGTCATAAGTTGACTCTTTTTTTCGGTATATAAAAGTAATAATGAGTGCTTTAATATTAATAGTGCAATTTTAACCTCCCCTTGAGCGTATAAAAAAAACTATGTCTCAAAGCAGTCATTATTACTATACTATTTTCATGGTACCATCTGCATGGGGTGCATTTTGGTGATGACAACCATGGATGAAGGTTGCAGGGAGACACCTTAAGATTGTCGACCCATTTTATAGAACAAATAATGCACAGGTTTTCATTCGTGACATTATTGCAATGCAGCGCTATTCAGGTATTCACAATGGCACAGAATACACTCGGCTACACCTCATAAATTTTATTGCAGACCGTTGAGGCTACACCTCCGCACTTGGTTCAAACTCCCCAATGTCGTTCACAGCAATGACACGGAATCGATAGTAATCAAAACACCAATTCCTAGGAAATAGGAACAAAATAGGCGGTCAATTGCTATTTTAAAACTATTTAAAATAAAATATGGTGTTTAAATTCGGTGCATTCACATGAAAATAGGAAATAAATAGTAAAAAATAGCAAAAATATATTTTTCCACAGCCCATTTTGACGAGGGTCATCATCATCAGCAGCAGCAGCTGCATCATCATCATCATTGTCAACATCATTATCATCATCAATATCATCATCATCATCACCTTGTTCCTAATGCTGTTATCACACTTACTGATCATAAATTCTGTTGTGATTTTGAATTCAGTTATTAATTGGTATTTCTCTGTCTCTGTCTCTCTCTCTCTTATTCACAGAACGAGACAGCGAGTGGCCTTGCAACCTATCGTAAAGTGCTTTACCTGCAGCCATTCGTAGACTATCGGTTCCGTGTCATTGCTGTGAACGAGATTGGGGAGTCTGAACCAAGTGCGGAGGTAGCCTCAGGGGTCGATCCTCAAGTTGCCCCACCCTCTATAAACCCGAGCGGAGTCAACGGAAGTACCACCCCAACATCGACGGTCATAAGATGGCAGGTAGGTACTCAAAAGATGATGAGATTCTAATTTATTTTTTTTCTTAACATTTCTACCGACTATTTGGCAGTCTCTATTTATAATGATCAAGGTATTTAATATAAAGATATAGAAATCAAGAATGTACAGTTATTTGCTTTATTTTATTTTTATTTCCTATTTTGAACAAACAATGCAAATACAATTGTAATAGTTAAAGATAGACTCATTTGCAGTATTTATTCAGGAGTCAGTTTACATCAAATTTAGCTAGTTTTTCAACTGGAGAGATGTGTCTTGAGCGTTACTTGAGCATTACTTGAGCGTTCCTTGAGCATAACTTGAGCATAACTTGAATTCTGTGTTTTCAGGCAATTCACCCCTTCTACTACGGTGGGGATGATTTCCACTACGAGGTTGCGTACAGACCCAGGCTTTCAAGTGAACCATTCACAAAGGATTCAGTATACCCAGAAAACACTGATGATAATCCTACTGGAATCATCCAGAATTACATCGTAGATGCTAGTAAACTTTGCGAGGAGTTTGAGTTTTCTGTACGATCAATGAATAGTGAGGGACCAGGACCCGAACCAGAGATTCATTATGGGTTCCCTGGAGTAGCCTGTAAGTTGCACTCTTCATTCATTCATTAGTGTCATTTGTGTCATTTTATTATTTGTATGCCTCCATTATGTTTTCGGATTGTCCGTCTGCACGCAAGCGCGTAGCCAGGATTTCATTTTAGGGGGGCGGTGGTGAGCACGCAAAGCATGCGAATCACTTAAAGAGCGTGCATAGCGCGCTCCCTAGGGGGATGGGTGCACCCCCCTTCCGAGCAAAGCGCGGAAGCTTTGAAAGAAGACAATTTGTTGTACCTTTCTCGACTCATAATCCTTGTCTGAATTCAGTCCGCCCCTCCTGCGCATAGCACAGAAGCTTTGACGTATTATTAGACAAAGAAGATGATTCGTTGTACCTTTCTTGACCCTTAATCCTTACCTGTATTCAGTCCCCCTCCGCGCGAATCGCCGAAGTTTTGACGTTTCATTAATTTATTAGAGAAAGAAGACGATTTGATGTACCGTTCTCGACTCTTAATCCTTATCTGAATTCAGTTTCCTCCCCTCCCGCGCAAAGCGCGGAAACTTTGAAGTTTCATTAAATAATTAGAGAAAGAAGACGGCTCGAAGTACCGTTCTCAACTCCTAATCCTTGTCTAAATTCATTCCCCCCCCCCCTCCTCCGCGAAGCGCAGAAGCTTTGACGTTTTATTAGACAAAGAAGACGATTCATTGTAAGCATAAGCATTTTCAAACTACAGCTATAAATTTGTTGAATCTACTTGTACATAAGATTCATTAATGTATTAGGTATATAACCTACCCCTCAGGATCCTGAGCTTTGCAGAAAGTTCCCGCATAGATTCCCTCCCTCCATATTCTAATTTTACATCGTTGAAGTAAATGTTTGATGGAGAAATGCCCCTTCTGCACGAAAAATCCCTGAACACTCCATCATATTTTTGTCATATTGCTCAACCCTGCTCAAAAGATTTATATGGTGCCAAAATGGAATACTGAAGTTTATACACCAAGCCATAAAGAATAACAGTTCAGGGACTAAACCCCCGTCACATCCTTCTATTTTTTTCTTTCATTTTTCTTTTGGCTTCTTTTTAGGTTTTATTTAGATTTTCTTAATCATAATTTCTTCTCTTTTTCCTCTTGCATAGGGTTGCAAGTACCTTTTTTCTACCAAAACAAAAATTTATTTTAATTTTCTGTTGAATACAAAAGGGGCATTATCTACAGACACTCACTTGACCCTTCTAAAAAAAATAGTGATCTCTCCCTCCCATTCCTTCACCAAGACAACAATTGACCTTCCTCCTGCTAATTTGATGACACATACATATATATATATACATGTACAGTAATTTCAAAACTATCTTTTCTTAACTTTCCGACAATTTTGTTATTTAATGTAAGAATTTATTTTGGCTGCTTTGGTCTTTTGATAACTCTGAATTTAAAGATGAAAACAGCTACCATTATCAATGAATTCAAACTCATATATGCAATTTTTTGTCCAGGTTTGGCCTATCAGTGACTTCCCAGACCAGGTCATCAACCAAGCCTCTAGGGAGCTTGTCCAACAGCATTCTGGTGCCTTCCAACAAGAATGCGCATCCTATCCTACAATTGGTAACAATACTTGTAGACTTCGAGCTATATACTAATCTTTGTACAAGGCATATATTACCATTGTGATGATTACTCTTATCAACTCCATATTAAAATGTTAAAGGTAAAGACCAGTATTGGAAATGCCCCAATTTCAAAAAATGAAATGGAAGCTCTTATTACCAATCATGTGAAAGAATATGTTTTGACTAATACATGATGATACAAATTTTGCCGGGAAACCGCCTACTAATTGATATATTTGGTAAATTAGTTTATCTATTGGCCTGTGAGAGATATAGTCCCATATACATCTTTCTGTGCACAGTGCTTGTAACTTTACAAAGACTGGGCCAAATTTCTTATCATTTTGATGATTCTAGAACCTTGCAGTACACACCAATACGTATATGATCAACATTTTCTGATCAATTCCACAACGTTTCTTTCACAATGCAATCGCATGACCATAACTGGTCTTTATCTTTAAGGCTACACAACAGTTTGATATCAATATATTACCGGTATGTATGTCTGTATTTTACTCATTGTTTTTGGCTGTAAGCAATTTGATAGTTTCCTGTCTTATTCCTTTCCTTTGCAGAAAGAAGATGTGTCAAACGTCTTCAACTTAAATTTATGCCTTAAATTTGTAATCAGTACGAGGTGAATTGGATTGTTTTTAATAAGAGTAATTCAATTCAATTTAATTGAATTTTATTTCGCAATATAAAAATCAAAATATGCAAAGTAACGGTAAATTTTAACTATGTTTACAAAGGTTATATGCCGGGCTTTCCATGAAGGTTGCAAAAACCTGTGAAGTGGGATCGCCCATTAAAGAATGAAAAACAATACAAAAAGAAATATAAAATATTGTAAGCACACAACAATAAATTAAATTAAATAAGCAAAGTACAAACACTTTAACTATCTATAAGACAAGAGAAAGTAAAATAGAGAGAAGAACAAAAATATATAAAGGGGGAAAAGAAAAGAAAACAAAATAACAATGAAAGAGGGTTCAGATATAAAAATTTTAAAAAATCAACTGTGCTGATTAATAATTATTTAGTAGTAAGATTTTATATTGTTTTCTAAAGGAAGATACCAGGTATGAATTGTGATTTCGTTTTTACTTATGGAATCATATTCCACTGTTTAGGACCTAGATAACTCAATGATTTAGCTTCATAACTAGACTTAAAAGACCATAAATGAAATTTGTTGGAAAATAGTGTATTATAATTATTAATAATTATGAATTTGACTATTGTATTGAAATTTGGAATTATCACTGGATTTAGCGAGATTATGTTATTTCGTGTCCAATTGTACCTTGTATGCGTTGCTTGTGTATCAGATTGTAAGAAGAAGGTTTACAATGGATCTTTTTATCAATTTTTCTCGTAAATATTTGTACCATGCCGTCCTTTTTTAATATCTAAATTCTAAGTTCCTTAGAAACGCTGTTGTAAACAATTACCATTTTAAGACATTCAAGACCCTACAAAACTCACCTTAAAAAAAAAATGTTTCCTTGGCAACTGTTTATATCTTTATTTCATGTATACTTGTATCTCCCAAAGGTTCACCATGGAACATTAAATTGCTTTATAGAAGGGGAACCCCCCCCCCCTCGAATATAAAATTTAAAAATCTGTCATATTTTGTTACAATTAACCAGACATTTCATTGTGACACTTTTGGTTTCTTTGAAAATTTAGTGACATCAAATCTTTCAGCATAAGAAATATTGGACAAGGGCACTAATTTTCAGTATTCATTTTTAGAAAAGTGCGTAGACTATGAGTCAGATTTGAGGGAAATAACCAACTCTACTTTGCTGAGGGTACTAAACTGCTTCTACTTCCACCCCCCCCCCTTTACACACGCCCCTTTTTATTGCAGGAAAATCATGGATTTAGACATGTTGGCAACAAGTTATTTGTAGTACTACTATAAGTCATAGTTCTAATTCAGAAGATGTTTTACTACTTTCAACTTATTTCTGTAGAACGATTTTGTAACATTTGATTTTAAACGTTATAAGTCATGAATCAAAGAATGAGGATGACAAAATGTAAATTTTCTGATTTTGCAAATTATATCAATAATTCCAAAATGTATTTACCATGTTTATAATGTGTGTACTATTAGTCCTTTAATCTTGCCTTCTCAATTACAAGCCATGATCAAGTGCTAGTTATATAATGCTGCTAATTTTCAGTTGTCATATTTTCAGTATTTTCTTTCTGCTGTTATGGCTAATTGATTGAATAAAATGTTGATCATATTGTACATCAATACCATTATGTATGATGTTTATTCTTGTATATGTCATCCTCTGAGTCACTGTGAATGTGCTTCAAGCCCTTACCCTCTGCTACCCCTCCCCTCTCTCTCTCTCTCTCCCTCTCTTTCTCTCTCTCTCTCTCTCTCTCGGGTTTTTACATGTGTATCACTCTTCATTTGAGGTATTAGGTTCAGAAACATATGAATCTGCAAGACAATCATAATTTAAAGAATTTTGTTTGTCTGATTTCTTGTAGAAATGTAGGAATATAAGAAGAACAAAATTCTTGATGGTTAAATAAGAGATGATATCTAGAGTTTTTTTCCCCTCCTTTTTACCTGACTTCTAAAAATACATGTGTATGCTTGTGAACAAGGAACCAGGGAACTGACTGTTTTAAGTCCTCTCTGAGGGACTTGGTATTGAGGATAAAGGACTTACCAAAGTGCCGTAGCACATATCAACTCGGTTTTATACCCGGAACCCCCCCCCCCCCACCCCCGGTTACAAGATCACTGCTCTACCATTGGACCATCACTGGCAACATGGATGGAATAAAAATGTCAATTATTTGCAGTGCTTCACATTATATTTAGCAGACCTCAAAACCCGCATCTTTAATTACAAGCAATTGTGTAGTCCATATCTATTTAAGGAGTGGGCACTTTTGAATGCTTGAAACATATAAATGGTGCCATACAAGTGCTGTGGATCATTATCATCATCATGAGCTATAATTTGTCATTCAAGAATATTAGTACCGTAATAAATATTCAGTTTGGGTCATTCTACATTTTAAAAAAACTACATACCGGGTATATTTAAAATATTTGTTTTTAAAGCTTTTTGTATGTTTTTTTTTTTTTTGGTGTCATATATACCAGTAAACAAAAAAAGTAAGAAAAATACTTCAATATGTTAATCACCTGATGTATGCCAGTTGGAACACACATTGGGCTATTATCCCAAGGAATTCTAAATTTTATATTAATTGACTGGTTCAATTTTCAAGAAAATGACAAGAAATTATATTTCAAAATTCCTTCATGATGAGAAGTATATGACCTAGCTGATGGTGCAATATTTTTTTTCCTCTGCTTCTTCTTCAATTTTTATTTAACAATTGAAACATAGCTTTAGTCAATGTCTTGCACAAGTAGCAAAGATATGCTTTGTAATTTCACGTGCACTTGATTGCCCAGTCGTTTGATAAAAAGAGATGGTGCAATACCACAACGTTGAATACAGCAACCCTAAACACGCAAACAAGCATCTACGGTACTGTTTTTTACTGTAATGTTGATGGCGCTATTATATATACCGTTTATTACTACATAAAGGTACATTTATGTAGGTACTCTACCGTTTATGTGTCATATATGCAAAACCGCAAGTCGCACATGATTAAATAGCCTAATTAGGATATATGCTGTATAATGCGTCATCAAGCCACGTGATGTATTACCTTTTTTTTCAAGGGGCGTAGCCAAGCAAGTTTGAGATCTGTGATAAATGGATGGTTATTATCATTTTTTGGTCAATGTAGAGGTTTCCTGAAAAATGAGAGGCTGGAATATTAATAATTTGAGGTGATTTCTCACTGATTGTTGAATGTGTAAAAAGTAGAGCAAGCGAGCACAAACTTGTGTAATTTCATCCTTTTTTTCCACTAAAAAAACTGCAAAAATACCCCAAAAATGCGAAAACACGTACGAATCACAGAACTCTCAAATACTTAAGAGTTCTGTGGTACGCATTAGCAAATTTAAAATTATCGAAGATTGTAAATCATGGATTAAATAACGGGACATTAAAACATGCACAAATTAGCGCATTATTCTTAAATATTGAGTTTTTGTCAGGATCTAATTTTTTTTATACCAGCTCTGGCACACACATTATACGAAGGGCGAAGTTCTGAATTTGAAAAATTGTTTGATGCACTATTCCCAACAATGATACCATTATCCCCATACAGCTAGCGCGTACGCAGGGGGGGGGGGGGGTTTGGGGTTAATCCCCCTTTAACTTTTTTTATGTGAATGTTATGGAGGAAAAAAAAAAAATCAAATTTTGGGACACCCCCCCCCCAAAAAAAAAATGTCCTCTTACCCCCCCCCCCCTCCCCCCCGCTTATTTAGCGGCAGGCTGCATGAGTCGTTGCGAAATTTTCAAACCACCCCCCCCCCCTCGAAATAATCCTGCGTACACCACCCCTGTCCCCTTATAAAGTTAGTAATAAATGTTAAACTGGTGCCTGGCCTCCAAATTTCCCTGCAGTCAAAGCGCAGCTCGGAACATGGAACGATCAAAGCCAATGTTTGAACTCGCGAATGCGTTTGAACGAGAGTTTCGACTCCTTTCTTTCACCTCCCTGATTAGACGCTGCAGCCGCACATCCCCGTCCAAACAAAATCTGAGTACATGCACCCCCGGGCGTTTTCATGCTTTTTAAGCACAATGCACAATGCCACTATAGCAGACGACGTGCGTGCATGCCGATATTACACAGAGCTTTGCCACACTTTGACTCTCTAAGCTGCGATTGCCGGGTCACCAGCTTTTGCATCTCCGTAAGTCAAACATTTTTGTATATTTTACACTTCAAAAGTATTTTGACGCATGCAGAAGTATTTTGATAATTAAATTCATGACAATTAGATAAGACTTGTTTTGTGCTAGCTGGTGCACAAATTTTTAAAAATGATTTCCATCCGATCAGATCGTACCAACTACCATCTCATACTCTCATACATACTACGCAGCAGGACACCTGAAAAAGATAAATTCTGATGAAATCAAGGTAGGTGCTCTGCTGCGCGCTATATGCAGATCACCTAATTACAAATGTTAAATGACTGGTTCAGATGTAACTAGACAGAAATAATTATCCTTCTGGTATGGGTCATTCTGTAATAAAACTCATATTTGTCAACATTCCCCATACACAGACGGTAACCCATATGACTCGCACAATGGGGGGGGGGGGGGGGGGGGGGGGTGGATTAAGCCGATTTTGTATCACTTTTGCTACAAAAAGTTTCTGCCCCAATTTTCTTTATTTAGATCTAATTTCCTGATTTATAAATCAAATGGAAGAAAAAAAAATGTGTATTTTTCTCCCATGTACAATTATCAAAGTTTGTATTACTAGCTATTTTCAATTACGAAATTTACAAACTTACCTTATGCGAGTAATCCAATTTTATCTCGGAACCATTGAAACGGTATGTTCACATGCATTCGAACTGGTAATCTATGACATGACCGGGCCAATATATTTCCGGGTCAACTTACCAAAACATAGCCAATGGCCAATCAGAGCACTCGTTGACTATTGGGTTTGTGAATATTCATATGTTAATGAATATTCATATATTACTGGGTCAAGCAGGGCTGACTCGTAGGTAGTTATTTGACGTTCGAAAAGAAAAAATGAATATTCATCAACTCAAACCAAGATGGCTGACAACAAATCATGTAGACTACAAGACTTTCTCGGATTAATCATTAATTTAGGATCTAATGAGCTAGCTATATCGTAAGTCAAAGTAGATATTTCTGTGTTATTTTTTAATTTTTGATAAGATTCTGTGTAATATTGCAGCCAAAGTAAAGTGGATATATGAAGACGTAAAGAGTGTATAGAGGCAGTCAGAGGAGCCAGATGTAATCTCATTGGAACAACCGTCGATATCAGAGACTGAAGCTATCGGTCTAGATGTAACAAGCTATTATTCCATTCTAAAAGGAAAAAACAATTCCATCAAACACTGACCCGATAAGAATTGAAAAATACTGATATTGAGAGAACTAAGTATTTAATTTTCTAAGGCATTCTCATAAGTCGATCACTTGACTGGAAGTTTCACCTTGCTAATATATTTTTTTAAGTTTTTAAGAAGTATAGGTTTTTTATCCAAACTCATATATTTAATACCCACCAATCTATTTTGATAAACCATATATTTCAAAAACGTGCAAATCAACTAATAAAATAATAGTGACTTTCGTATAGTCCCAGTCTACCACTATTTGTTAAATTAAAATGACCCCCAGTATTTGAACTTGTAAACTTTATACAGTTTTTATGTTTAAGTATCACAAAGGGGTTCACCTAGTATTTTTCTACTATAATTCTTCATTCCATATGTATCACACTTGTACAAGGGATAATGTTTGTGTTCCCATTACCCGTTCAACTATAAGAACCCATTCTATCCATTTTACAGGAGTACATGAATGGAATTCAATTTGTAATAACCTTCAATCCAGCTCCACACCCTGGCCCCCCACTACAGGGTCGTAGGAACCGCATGCGTGTTCCCAAAATCTCTGGTAAAGGAGTACTTTTCGCTCGACAAAGTCCAGCCGAGAATGGTAAAAAATGGGGTGTATTTGACTCATTACCCGGAAATTTCTTTTAAAAGGGTTTTCTCTTTCTCTCTCTTTCTTTGGATTGCTGAGAAATTTAAAAATTGGGTTATCAAATATCAACAAAAAAAATCTCTCTCTCTTTGGGTCTTGAAGGCAGGAAAAGCCAGCGAAAGGGGGTTCAGAAATGTTGGCAGCCCTGAGATAGGGGGAGCTTTTGAAGGGAGGGAACACAGGCATGCGCATACCCTAAATAACACTGAATGTGGGGGGGGGGTGGGTACGTGGTGCGCTTCACACTTTCTCATTTTAGAACTCTATTCAAATGTTACATTTCTTAAACAATGTCATCTTAATTAATTGAGTAGACCCTTATCTTTCTCATTCTCACCTCTTCCCTTTCAACTCTTTCTCATTCCCACACCTTCCTTTCTTTTCTTTCTCTGTCTCGCCTCTTCCCTTTCTTCTGTTTGTCATTCTCATTCTGAACTCTTCCTCTTTTGTATGGCTTTTGTGTGTTTGTGTGTTATTGTGGGTTATGCATATGCCTGGGTTATATTCTTCTTAATGGTAGTATGTCCCATTTGCAGGCCAAAAATTAGAAGGTTAACTTCAAAAGGCATTTGCAAATAATACTAAAATTTACTAATTTAGAACTTTCCTCAAAACAAAAGGGCTTGAAAATGACTGTTAGTTGTCAAATCAAATTTTGCGATTGCGGTTGTTCAATTAAATAGTCCGATTTTTAGACCCTTGTACAGAATGGTTGTACGTTTTGTGCTGCGCAAAGATTCAATAAGTTTAATTTTGGCCAACATGAAGGGGGGTTATTGATGTAGAAAAATGCTCATGTACCCTTTACAGCTCAATTTATTTATATTATTACCAAAGAAAAAAAGTCACTCAGTCAATCAATAGTGTCTGACTGTGAAGTCTTGAAACTAACAGGTTTCCTTGCATAATTTGAATACTAGGACACTGCTAACATTTAAATTTCACAAATAGGACAAACATGTATGTGACGTATTCATAATTCCTGCAAAGTTCTACAGAATTTGATGTTGGCTGCAAAAGGGAAACAATACGTATTATTAGTTAAGTTTTATTTATTTCACTAATTAATTTGATATTGTGTTTACCTTAATAGGGGCCTCATCATGTACAAGCACAAGCTGCTTTTTGAGGTCCTGGCCTTGTATTTATTCGTTATTTATGATTTGCAATGTTTTTTAAGATGCCAAATAAACTGAATTATGAAAACAATTGGAGGAATACAACCAATATTAATTTGCTCTGAATACGCGTAGACCTTGTCAGAGTAATTTCCTTTCTCTCTCTCTCTATCTCCCCCACTCTCCCTCTCCCCTTTCTCTCACTCTCTCTCTCTATTTCCCTTTCCCCTCCCCTTCTCTCCCCTCCCCTTCTCTCCCCTCCTCTCTCTCTCTCTCTCTTTCTCTCTCCCCCTCCCTCTCTCAATTTCTCTCTTTATCTCTTGAAAAAAAATTAAAATGTATACCTTTTAAATAGTTCTCTGGGACTTTTCTAGAGTCTGTTGTCCCCAAGATCATTCTGCATGAGGAAAGAAAGATCATGAGAGTTCAAATAACAGGAAATAACACCCACATTGTTTTCAGCTTTGGCCTACTTTGCGAAAATATGGGGGAAGTCCCCAAACATGATCTCGCAAACAAAGTATACTATCTTTGCTGCAGGTCTACTTGTACTAGGCAGATGTCCCGAAAGTTTACGAACACATGCAAAGCCTTGCCAGTCTCTGTGTGTAACAGTGTCTGCACAGTGAGAGAAGGCTGAAGGCATACTGCAAAGGCTCCACTTAGCTGATTTAATGCAGCCAGAGACTGGCAGAGTTAAACTCTTCTCAATGCTTTATTAGTTGCAGTAAAGTGTCAAATCAGATTTTGTGCGTGCAGACTGGTTTTCTTGAGTAGATTCCTTGACCATGACGAGAGTGAGAAGGGCATCAGTACTCTGTCTTGACTCTTGATGTAGGCCTATATAAATCAAGACTCAAAATCCCTCTGGTTCAAGTTTTATTTTAAAGGGGCTGTAGCATGACGAGACTATGTATCTTTCCCTTGGCCCTCGGGTCCAATCGGGTATAATACGACTACAGACGGTGCGACCGCAGTATTCACGTGCGTTCAAACATACGCGAAACCGAAGTGTGAGGACAACTTCGGTCTGTTTCGCGCCCTTTCGTGAATGCTAGCCCGCGCTCACCCAGTTAATAACTGACCTCTCCCTCAGTACAGTTAGTCAAGTCCATTCTCTTATGTGCAGTCGTCCAAAAGAAGGCGTAGATGGCGTCAACCAGTATTTCCCGTGCTACAGCCCCTTTAATAGACTTTCACTTTACTCAGATCATCACACTCGATTAACTTCAAAGTATCTTTAACCACATAAAGAGCACATTTTAAAAGCCATTCCTGATAATGTAGTAGGGGTATATACCAATGTTTCATTTTTGTCTCGCCTGCATAGCAAAAAGCGAGACATAGGCGCCGCTTTTCCAGTGATGGCGGCGGCGGCGGCGGCGTCAACATAAAAAACTTAACCTAAGGTTAAGTTTTTTAATTTTTAGTATAATTTTGAAAGTATAAATTCTCATTCAATGAAACTTGGAATAAAGGGTTATCAATCAAGTATTCCCAATCATGTGAGCAAAATCAAGGTCAAAGGCCATTTGAGGTCAACAGACTTAGACTATTACTCTTTTCTAACTGTCCTAATTTTTATTGGATGCATCCGGACGCATCCGATGAAACGGCCAGTATGAAAGCAACAGAGGAGAAAAAGGCGATTAAATAGCCGATGAAAAGAAGAGAAATAGGCGATTAAATTCTCCTGCTCAAGAGCAGGAAAAATTCTCATTCTATCGGTATGACCCCGATGAAATGGCCAGTATGAAAGCGTTCGGGAGAAAAAGGCGATTAAAATGGTCAAAGGTCGCAGTGTACGCGCGATTGAACATGCTGCATGCTAGCTAGATGGAGCGCGGGCTTAATAATTACGCAATAATTCTTCACTCCCGGCAAGGGCTCGCCACAGCGAGTGAATTTCACCGGCAGTATGCGACAGGGAGAAAACGGCGGTTTCGCCTTTGTTTACATGAGGAAAATTCAATCGGTATTTTCATCGGTGTGACTCCGATAGAAGCCAGTTTGAAAGCAGTATAGGTTGTGGCATCATCATTGAAAACTTAACCTCAGGTTAAGTTTTTGAATTTTTATTATAATTTTGAAAATATAAGTTCTTATTCAATGAAACTTACACTAAAGCATGTGTGTAGATCCCGGGGGGGATGGGGGGAATATATCCCCCCCCCCCAATATTTCAGGTGGGGGATGGCCTGTACAATCATCCCCCCCCCCCAATAATTCACCATCAAAGAAAAAAAAATGAAGAGAAAAATTAATGATGAGAGCCTGATGAGAGTAGTTAATGGTTATTACTCACAAGATGACCATCAATATACACATTTTGCTATCTCATTTTCATAATACATACATATATACGAAGTAAATAAGACAACCGTATATGAGACAAGAATAAATTGAATTCTCGCTCATACGGCTTCATCAGGAATTGATGAATTTATTCAATTTGTTCAACAAACGGCATCATAGAAATGCAGTGCACCAAATGCAAAGACGCTGCGTCAAAAAGCAACAAGCTAAATGTTAAAGATGAAGTCATGCGATTGCATTGTGAAAGAAACGGTGTGGAACCGACCAGAAAAGGTTGATCATCTAGCATATAAGAATTTGTGTGTATTGCCAGGTTCTGGAATCATCAAAATGATAAGAAATTTGGCCAAGTCTTGGTAAAGTTACAAACACTTGCACAGAAAGATATATATGGGACTACACGAACACGTGGCGTAAAAAGCCTTCCCCCCCCCCCCCCCCGATTTTTACGATGTTACATGCATATTTAGAATATGAAGACATTTGAAGAGCCATGCTTTTCAGGGAACATGTCTTAACTGATGTTCTTCCACACTTGCCTGAAAAGAATGAGTAATGCTCAGAAATTATTTTTCACCTCTTCCCAGAACTCAACCTTCTCTTTAAGCGCGAAGCGCAAAAGTAGCAATCTGCAATGCACATCAGCCAATCCTGGACAGTGTAAACATAGATGAACTCTGTGACGATTTCGTGATGAGATCAGAGACAAGGAGAAAGATTTTCGGACATTAGTATGACTTATAAAATAGTTCACTAGATGTTATGTTGTTTCCATTCACCCTTTTTAAAATTCACGTCATTGTATCTTAATTCTTATTTTTTCACTCATTTTATTTCCTGATATTTCCTAAAACATTTTTAATTTTTGAAGAAAGATTATGTCACAACTTATTTGTGACACAACTTATTTTCAGTGTGGAAACTGAATTCAGACAAGGATTAATATAGAGAACAGTACAACGAATCGTCTTCTTTCTCTAATAATTTAATGAAAAGGGCAAAGCTGTTAGGGGGGCAACTGAATTCAGATGTGGATTAAGAGTAATAATCAAATGAAACGTCAAAGTACACGATACAACAAATCGTCTTCTTTTACTAATAATTTAATGAAACGTAAAAGCTTCCGCGCTATGCGCGGAATGGGCGAAAATGAATACAGACAAGGATTAAGAGTAATAATTTATTGAAACGTTAAAACTTCAATGCTTCGCGCGGTAGGGGGGAAACTGAATTCATGAAGGACACGATACAACAAATTGTCTTCTTTCTCTAATAATGTAATAAAATGTGAAAGCTTCCGAGCTTCGCGCAGGAATGGGCGAAAGTGAATTCAGACAAGGATTAAGAGTCGAGAATGGTACATAGAATCGTCTTCTTTCTTTAATAATCTAATGAAATGTCAGAGCTTCCGCGCTTCGCGCAGGGGAAGGGGAACTTGATTGAAACATTAAGGATTAAGAGTCGAGAATGGTACATCGAATCGTCTTCTTTGTTTAATAATCTAACGAAACGTCAGAGCTTCTGCGCTTCGCGCGGATGGAGGGGAACTTGATTCAAACAAGGATTAACAGTTGAGAATGGTACGTCGAATCGTCTTCTTTCTTTAATAATCTAATGAAACATCAGAGCTTCCGCGCTATGCGCGGAGGAAGGGGAACTTGAATCACACAAGGATTAAGAGTCGAGAACGGTCCAACGAATCGTCTTCTTTCTTCTTGCTTCGCGTGCTCACTACCGCCCCCCTAAAATGAAATCCTGGCTATGAGCTTGGGAGGGGTGCAACTTGCCACACGCTTCTACCTCTTGGTTGCTTTGATCCATTGCCGAAAATATGTTGGCACCTATCGTCCCCCCCCCCCCCCCAACCACGGATACAAATCGACACCCTTGCACTAAAGGGTTATAAAGTATCCCCAATCATGCGAGTAGAATTTCAGGTCACAAAGTTAAGGTCAAAGGTCATTTCAGGTCAACAAACTTAGACTCTTTTGCGGCATCAACATCAAGATTTTGAAATTTTAGCATAATTTCAAAAGAGTTTTTTCAAATTCCATGAAACTTGTACACAAGGGTTATCAAGTATCGCAAATGTTATGACGCAAATTCCAGGTCACAAAGTCAAGCTCAAAGGTCATTTAAGTTCAGTATGTAAGGATTAAAAGAAAAAAAAAAAAAAAAAAAAACATTTTTTGTTATTTTTTCATATTCCATTAAAGCTATTAATCTTGGTACAAATTATAGTAAATAATTCTTCCGATGACTCTTGGTCAATATTCAATTCAAAATGCTGATTATATTCAGAGGATTTCATTGGGGGGGGGGGCTCCTAATGGGCCACCCTACCTATGAATAATGTCCCAACCTCAATTTTTCATCGTATTGAATAGCGTAATCAAAGTTCAGGCGAGACTGCCGAGAGCGTTTCCCTTGTTTGTTTTTTTCCCACTTTGAGGTTACCATTTGCAGGTGCGTGTTCCCCCTCAAGAAAGTGCCCTTTTTGTGGAATAGGAAAAACAAGAAGAAAAAATTAGATTCTGACGAATTTGATAGGTGCTCTGCTTACACTACCAGCAGATCACCTGAAAATAAGCTTCAAAAGACGGGAATGTAGACCCAGTAAATTATTGGACCACATTTTACTAATTCAGTTTAACCAGACACTGTACAATCTTGTTTAACAAATTAAGGGAAAACTTAGAGCGTAGACTACCTTCTGATTATTTTGAACAAAAGCATAAACTAACACTCAGTTTCAAATGCTGAACCACTTGACTGCGTACCACGAACACGTACGTGTTCTCGCTCTCGCATGCCTGTGCGTACCACGTACATGCACTGCTTGGGGCATTGTACTTTCAAGGCCGTAGCACTGCATAATGCCTAGCCCTACCGTATAATTAGCACTGCAATGACGTTACACAGGTCTTAAACAGTAGATGGCGCTCCTCCAAAAAAAATCCGGCTTTTTTGTGTACAGTGTAGTTTACAAAAATGCTGTAGCACAGGGACTATAAACGCGTTTTAAGCCAATAGCAGTCAAGTGGTTAAAGAAAAATTGTTCAGAAAATATGGGCCATAGTGTGCTCAAGATGTTTACAAAAGGTCTTGGGGGCATTGAAACCTTTATAGTCCAGGGGTAGTCCACCCTGATATAAAGTTGATTTTAAGGCCATTAAAAAAAATGTACATGTTTAGCATCCCCGCCCGCTTGAAAAACACTGCTAAAATGGATCTATTTCTGATTTGAAGACAATAAAAAATGCTGGCGGCCATCTTAAAAAATGGCCAGACTGTCAGGGAAAATCTACCGAACAGCCTTTTTGAGCGGCCGTTTTGAAAGAATAAAAAAGAGCATCCTCCTTCCTATTTTTCAAAAAGTCAGGACGCTAAATATGTTGTTTCTTTTATTTGGCCAAACAGAAGCAAAAAGAGGAGAGGAAGAGGTCAATTAAATTTTGAGCATATTCCGAATAAATTAGAAAGTCTATCTCTCATATATATACGCACGTATAATATAGCAATCTGACCGAACAAACCCATTCATACAAAAAAAGCTAAAAGTTAAAAAGTTTTTTTTTTTTAAAGATTGATATAAGTATGTTTTGCAAAACATGTTTTAGGTGTCATGCTTTTAACACAGGCGCGGATTTAGGTAGGGGCACAGGCAGTCTGTGCTCCCTCACCTTTTTGGCAGGTAAAAAAAAATTGAGGGGGGGGGGAATAAGCTTTAAAAAAAATCCTAGGTACGAGTTAGATTGTTTGTATTGCGCTGCCCATCACCCATTGCGTTCATGTAGGCAGGGGCAAGCCATGCACTTCCTGGTGTCATTTTTTTCTTCCAGATTCTTCCTATTTCCTTTGCGATATTTCCAAATGTTTGTTCCCATTTTGCCAGAATTTTCTCTTTTCTTCTAAATTCCCCCCAATTTTGCTTGTCATGGGACCTCTCCCCCCTGACGCCACTACCATTTAAACAGCTTTAGTTCAATTTATCATTCTCTAGATTTTCTCTGTATTCCTTACTCCTTTTTCTGAATCTTACTCTTGTAAAACTCCAATTTAGAGAGATATACAGCAGACTAGTGATAGTTGTATTCATCTAGGCCTTTTCCTACACAGCTTTACCAGTACTTGATTTTTACACTTAAAGCTCAGACGTCAGTTTAAAAAAAGACAATCAAGCAAATCAAAAACAAAAAGCATATGCTAAGGTTGAATCAAGTACTGTGCTCGTCTAACTGTATAAATAAACCAGCTTTCCACTTTCCTGCTATGTCCGTTTTATGAGTATTTGCTATAATAGAAAGCAACGTGATTGAAAAAACAATTTATTTATAACATTTCTTATCATTAACTCAAATTCCTCTATTTTCTTACAGGTTTTAATACAGCTGAGGAGCTTTCTACTGCCAAAGAGAGCAAGAGCCAGAGCCTGAGATAGACAGAAGTGTCCAACACCTCGATTTATTGATTGGATCAATAACTATCACAACACAAAATGAACACTTTCAATCCCACCTGTCTGCTACTATGCCTGGCTAATCTGACATTTGCATGTAAGTAATCCATGTTTTCTCCACTTCTCGGCGTTGAAAACAAATTATTTGAATATATTTCTCCCTTTTATTTAATAAAAAAATTGTTGATTAGTTTTCTTGATGTTGCTGAATGGCTGCTTTGATCACAACATCTTATTAGAGTGTAGTGAGCAAATAAAAACTTTTGATATTATTCTTTCTGGCTTTTATAGAATTATCAAGATGTACATTTTGAAATCAACATTTCTTGTATACATAAGCCAATCTACTCATTAATCCCATGTCTCTATACATAAATTTGCAAACAAATAGGTCTTAAACTACAAAATGCAGGAGAAAAAATATTCCACAAGTATTCTGTCATCATATTTTTTTCTCCTTTAGGCATTTCTACTGTTGGTCGCCTTTTTATATCAGGCATATTTTTACAAATTCAAAGCTGAAAATTATGGAGAGAAAAAGAAAAACTGCTAAAACCACATATTAATTCTCTAAATATTATTTAGAAAAACATGGCAGTACACTGTATACCAACAAATAAATATACTACTATTACCTAAAAAAGTGTTATCACACTTGTAAGGCCACTTTGGTTGAAAATATTCATACATGTACAATAAAATCATTCTACAAAAATAGATCCACGAATCCCCCCCCCCCCTACCAAGAAAAGAAAACTTGAAAGAAGACCACTGAGTAATTCCAGAATACAGGATTAGCTTATGTAAGTTGTACGTAAATTGTGCATATTCCATACGTACAACTTCTGCAGTAATATTTCAAAATAAATCATGATTAGATTCAAATATATACATACATTTCATCCTTCACATTAGGTTATTTATCAATGTAGCTATGGGCTCAGGCACAGAAAACCAATTAAATGCGACTTTTGAAATATGAAAGATATATAACAACTTTAGATTGTTTTTTCGTAATTACTTCTAAATAATTATAGGTCTAGAATTTATTATGACAAAAATGAGCCCAGATCAAGAGCATCAATGCACTATCTCAGTGGAGCCAAAAAGCCACATCATTCTTCATGGATTGAATTAGATCAGGATCCATTTGATATGTTATGTCTGCCTTATCTTCCACCGTCTTTCCCTATATACCCCTTCTCCTCTCCCGCCCAAAGTGTATGCTTGTATGCCTCGGTCTTTCTAAGCTTTGTCTCTCTGTCTGTGAGTCAGTCTCTTTTTCTTTCTGTTCCGCTCGTTTTTTTAGAATATCTCCTGCCCTCCATCTTCCTATTTCTTAAATAATGTATTTCTATAACCCTTTTCTCTCTTTGTTACTCCCTTTTTTTTTGTCCGTTTATTGAAAGCATAAAATAGGATGAGAATAAAATGGATAGTTGAACATTCTTGTTTTTTTCACTTTCGAACAGTGGTAAAAAATCATTGCTATTCATTCAGCATCTAAAAGACATATTTTACAAATATTTTTAGCAGCTCCCTGTAAAAGAGAAAAATAAGAAAAGAAAAGCAAAATGCAATCCTTTCTATTGATGTAATGCAACAAGACCTGTAGGGCCCAAATCAAAATTGTAGTTGCGAGGGCTACTTCTTAACTATGCTGTTCTTGTATTTTGTGCATTGCAACACATTACCCGAAATGTTATTCAAGAGTGGTCTCATCCGACCTGCGTAGGTGTAGCGAGGGAGTCCACATAGATTTTTGGGTTGTACATTCGCAGGTGCATGGCCCTTGCGCACAAAGCAAGTAGCCCACACAGCCTTCATTTTCCTATAAAGAGAAAAATTGGACATATACAATTTTTGGTCCGCAATGATTTGTCACGCGGCTACTGCGTGGCTGGTGCGTGGGTAGCCTTTAGACAAGGCTGCATGTCTAATAGACACCGAGCGACTAAAAAGAGACTAATCGCGAAAACCTGAGTGAACGGCAGAGCGAATGGCCCAGCCAAGTAGCCTTCAGTAATCTGATTTGGATTTCTTATGTTAACCCTTGTTTCCGACTGGAATTCTCTACCGAAATGGTAGCATCCAATTTTTCGAACGTATCCTCGCATTACGTCCGCATATAAGTATCCATCACACACACACACGGTAAAATCTACGTACGTACGTAGTACAAACATATGGCCTATGGACCTACTAAGAATGACGTACGGAGCGAAAACGAGTTGGACTAATTCATTTTATATACAGGGAAAGTCCAATTATCTCACTTACAATTGTTAGCTCAAGTCATCAAATGCTTCCTATTTTATTGTAATTTTGCATGTAAAATAGATTTGGATGTGATATTTTGTATTAAAGGTAAAGACCAGTTTTGGAAATGGCCCCCTCTCAAAAATAAAGTGGAAGCTCTTATTACCAATCATGTGAAAGAATATGTTTTGACTAATATGTGATCTTACAAATTTTGCCGAGAAACCGCCTACTAATTGATATATTTGGTAAATTATTATATCTATTTGGAACTGATAGATATAATGCACGTGTCGCCCACGTGTGGCGGTAGTCCTATATACATCTTTTTGTGTGTAGTGCTTGTAACTTTATCAAGACTGGGCCAAATTTCTTATCATTTTGATGATTCCAGAACCTTGCAGTACTTACCAATACTTATATGCTAGATGATCAACCTTTTCTGATTGATTCCACAACGTTTCCTTCACAATGCAATCGCGTGACCATAACTGGTCTTTATCTTTAATCGTTTATATGTTCATCTCATAAGCAAAACTAGTTTATGTCTTTTACCTTTTCTTACATGTTTTGATAATGAACGAATCACGAACAAAATCAACTGGGAGATGGCCATTCTGATTGGTCAACAAATCCAAAGTCATGAATAATTCATGCAAGCAGTAAAAGCTAGATTGCAAAAGGCCTCACGGCTACCGCCACTCCATCTATGCGTTCACCCTGGGTCTCTAGATTCATCTCAGCCGCTGATTTGGGTGGGAAATAGCCAGTCATGAGGCCTTGTCATGAGGCCTTGTCAAAAGGCTAGTGCATGGGTAGTACTTTGTTATTGTATTTTGTTTTTTATGTGCAGGGTACATAGGCTACAACGATGTTCCACCTTCCATAGTGGAACAGCCTGAATCGATTAATGGAGACCAACGTGTACCATTAACCCTAACATGCAGAGCTACCGGAACACCAGAACCTACGTAAGTTTCAAAGATAGAGGAATCTTAACGCTGCATTTATGATTGGTAGATTCTCAAACACACATTTTGTCAAGGAAAAAATATAGGTAGAACATTGTATGCAAACAACATTCCTGATGGTCTTAAGCTTTTGCAAATGACTGACATGATTGTATATAGATACTCGGAGATCGGTTTTGGGTAGTGCTAGCTATTGCAATTAATGCATCACAATTTGTTTACACCAGACTCTGTGGAATTTCTATATAAAGTGTGTACAAAAGTGAACAACTGGGAGAAGGATTGTGCTTTATTTGATGTAGAAGGCAATGCTTGCATTCGCCTGGATGGGGGTAATTACCTAGAGTGTGATCCAGAAAAAACGAAATTGAAGATTATCAATGTTTTATCATAACTTAATCACAATTAAAATTTATATTTGTAAAGCTTAGATCCTCCTCTTTCATTTGATGTGACTCATATGATGCATATTTCACACATGAGTGATTTAAAGCAATTTGAAGGTCGGAAAACACATTTTGACATGAAAAAAAAATTCACATTTTTAGAAAGTTCATTTTCTGCTCTTTCATATGACACCTCAATCAGGAAATGAGCCAGGAATAATAAAGTTCTGTTTGTTTAAAGTGATGCTTGCTTTTCCATAATTTGATTAAACAAATTAGTTTTCACTGGCTGCCTGCCGTAGTAACAAACGGAATCGACAAAAGACTTAACTCCATTTCGTTGACGATCAGATATAGACGAAAGACTTCATTGCATGGCTGATTGTCAATGAAACGGAGTTAAGTTTTTGTCAATTCTTCTTGTTGCTATGGCAGGCAGCCAGTGAGTTGCATCAAATGAAAGTGGAGGATTACAAATATATGACTGTGATGGTGATAAAGTTGTGATAAAACATTGATAATTCTTGGTTTCGTTTTTTCTGGGTCGCACTGTATAGTGATCAAACCAACACTCAAAAGGCCAACTTTAGGGACACACTATCATTTTGGATCCCTCAAACAATGGCCTGCCACGAGATCAAAGAGCATGCAGTTTGGTTAAGAAGGAGACAAAATTTTGAGAAAACTTCCTTTATAGCAATCACAGGAGCCAACCATGCTCACCATGGGGGTGGAATGGGGATTGGTAGGATGAAAGTGATAGTAGTGTACATGTAATCATGTTTCAATAATTTAATTCAATACCAGGTATTACTGGGAGAAGGATGGTGCTTTATTTAACGTGGACAGCAATGATCGCGTTAGCCTGGATGGGGGGAACCTAGTGATCAAATCATTAACAACAGCAGACGATGGACAGTACCAATGTTTTGCTAAGAACAGGCTTGGTACAGCAATGTCCCAGAAGATATTGACATCATTGGCTTGTAAGTTGATGCCTTCATTGTTGGCATAGTGTCATATAGAATGGATGAATACGTCCTAGTGTTTTTTTTTATTGAAAAATCATATTTATGGTTGTTTGGTGAAGCCAATTATCAGGTGTTGTTCATGTTTGGGTTAAAAATTGGTGTCATTATATACTCTATGTGATAGAGAGTTGGGATGTTATGATTGTTATATTCTCTATTTGATAGAGAGTTGGGATGTTAGGATATACTCTATGTAGTAGAGAGTTAGGATGTTAGGATTGTGATATACTCTATGTAATACAGAGTTGGGATGTTTGGATTGTGATATACTCTATGTGACAGAGAGCTAGGATGTTAGGATTGTTATATCCTCTATGTGATAGAGAGTTGGGAGGTTAGGATTGTTATATACTCAATGTGACAGAGAGTTGGGAGGTTAGGATTGTTATATACTCTATGTGACAGAGAGTTGGGATGTTATGATTGTTAGATCTGGGATCATTGGTCAGTTTAGACATAGAGTTCCAAGTCGTACATAAAACCCTACTTGTTTCTTTGCTGTCTCCACTTTTATCTCTAGTCATGGATCAGTTTGAGAACACTGAACCTGCATGGATACAAGTGAGGAGGGGAAGACCCCTGAAGCTGCTTTGTGGTGGATCCCCCGGCATCCCTAACGGCAATCCTGCTCCCTTGATCTACTGGACCAATGCAGCTGCCAAACCCACACCCATCACATACAATGCACGGATTGCCCAGGATCCAGAAGGGAACTTGGTCTTTTCTCACGCAATTGCAAGCGACGCTCAAGGCTACTACTGTCAAGCCATCAATAACATTGTAGGGTCATCCCAGAGGACACCAATAATCAGGCTCAGTGTTACAGGCAAGGCTCAAATCAATTTTTTGTCCACAGGGGCTCTTTTAGTACTGACGGGGGCTCTTATTTTAATACAAATTTCCATTGAATAAGTACCCATGAAACTCCTAAATTCCTTGTTATCTCATCATTATCATTTATTTAAGTCTGCATTTTCCCTTTTAGAAATTTACTTGTTAGCTGTTATTGACTTTTATCCCCGTGATGACATTCACTCCATTTCTTCCGTTCTACACATAATTTCCTCCTCATTATTCGGAGCAACCTTATTTACATTCTTTCTGTACTTTTAGTCGTTACTATATCCTTCCAAACACAGGGGTGGATCTAGCTTTTCACTAAGGGTGGGGGACCCAAATATGATGTGGAGCATCGTCCACGAGCCGTATAGCGGCGAGGCGATTTTTGTTGTTGCTTATTTTTTTATTTTGAACCCCCGTAAGTGATGTTTTCCTGGCATCTACTAACATCTACTAATACTAAGTAGGTCTGGACACACGATGGCATTTATCTATGCACATCAAATTTTCACTTGGCAGCCCAAGGGGAGGGGGGGGTTAAACTGCCTAGATACGCCCCTGCAACATCTTTGGTCTTCTTTTTCTTCTTCTCAATATTGATTTACTGGTCCAGGTACATTATTTGCTGGCCTTTTAGAATCATCAGATTTCAGAGGATTCACACTTTTCACAACAAAAAACTGCTCCATGTTTCAGTCCTTGCATTTCCAGCTCTAGCAGATATTTGATGTCAGCGTGCACACCGCGGCGCAGTATAGCCACTGATGACCAGGCACGGATCCAGGATTTCTTAGGGGAGGGGGCCCAATTTTTTTTTTTCTTTGCTCCAAAAATATGAAAGTCGCGTCGGCCGAAAAGTTGCTCAGTGGGGTGGGGGGGGGGGGGGGGGGGGGGGGGGGGTAGTGAGCACAATTTTTTTTTTTTGGGGGGGGGGGTTCGTCAAAAATTTAAAAATTTGCACCCCCCCCCCCCCCTTGAGCGCCAGGGGGGGGGGGGGGGGCAATCCCCCAAAAAGGTAAAAATCATGTGTTTTTGCATGATTTTTTTCTCAAGGGGGTGGGCCCCCCCTGGATCCACCATTGCTGGTGACGGCTGCACTAGCTGCACTGCGAGCTTCCGTTGTTTGTATTTTCAACTAATTGATAGTTCCAAGATTCTAAAACATTTAACTAACTTAGCTTCTAATAGCAATTTAGATGTCTTAGACTTTGACACTAAATTACTTAAATTAGCTGCACCGTATATTGCTCAATCCCTATGTGGCATCTTTAATGGTAATATCGGTAATACTCATAGAGATGGGAGAGATAGCGCCATCTAAGTTCCATTTCATTGGTTTAAGGTTTGAAAATTGATACTCAATATTGTGTTGAAGTTATATCAGAAAAGATAATTTTTATTTTATAATTCCACGGGGGTGATTTTCAATTTTGCAATCGTCCCAATGAGCAACTTGACGGGGGCGATTATGGAGCTCACGGGGGCGAATCGCCCATCGCCCCTGTGTATTTTGAGTGCTGGTTACAGGTAGGTGTAGCAGCTGGTGTACCTATTGTCATAGACACTGTTAAACCAGAAACTTTGGCACGCATGAATTCTTTTGTGAATTTCAGGAGTGGTTAAGATTCACAATTTTTATGGCATATCACAATTGACACAGCACTGAATATTCACAATTTGCGAAAGTTGCTTGCTGTGTGAATGGCTGTTGTTTACAATCCAAGAAAGTATATTGTTTTAGAGTAATACAAGCCATCAATAACATTGTAGGGTCCAGCGGACACCAAAAATTCAGCATCTTGATCACTATCTTGAATGATTTACTTCTAATTATATAATATGAGCGTGATTGTAAGACAGCATTATATACAGTTGTCATGGCAGAATGGAATAACAGAAGGCAATGACAAAGAACCTTCCTTTTTCCTAACTTTAAAATGAGACCAAAATCATTCAAAATGATTAATTTTAAGGATAAAAATCAGAGATCGGAACAAACAACCCCATGCACCGCTTATTATGTATTGAAGCACCAACCGTCTATGCATACATATTCAATAAATAATATTTATCACACGCTGCAAATTGACTTTATGATACACACTTCTACCTCGGGGGAAATCTATTATAACACTACTGCAGTGCATATCATGGTAAACAAAGTATTAGAAACACCTCTCAATTATTGATGAAATAAACAAAAGAAATTTCAAAGTAATGTAGAAAAGAATGTACCTAACACTTATGACAATGATTCTGAGATAACTCATAAAGAAACCCCACCAGATACACTTGTTGAAATGATTGTTTGACTATTTCTCTCCAAATCATTAATCCTCTACTTCGTAATGATTAATGTTTGATTTGCATGTTATATTTGAATAAATGTGTGTCCTTTTTCCCCCTTTAAAAAAATATTTTTAGGGGTAGAGGTGCGTGTACCAGTTTTTTACCTAAAAATTCACCCAAATCTTGATCAGAACATTTCAACAAATAAGTAAGAACAATCATTGATAAGTAATACAGTTATTTGGAGGAGAGATTTAATAACAGCATTAATGTTGGTCAAAGAGGATAACTTTGAGATAATCATACCTTAAACCAGACCCTGACTTGTGATTCACTTTTTTATTCGGCCAACACACAATGTCTACCTGTGTGATGAAAGTTTACATTTGGATTCAAAATTGTTGGTTTTTGTCTTGTATAGTTTCTGAAAATTTGTATGCTCATAGAATTTTAAGAATAAAATCAAAATTTGGAACGCGAAACAGACATTTTCCGACACAAAAAAATATCCATTAACAAACATCTTTGAATACAAAAAGTACATGTATCTTTTGTTGCAGAAAAGATTTTAAGCTGGAAATTTGACTCAGTGTAAAAAGTCAAACATTTTTTACTTGTGTGAGCTAGAGCTATAGATATGCACAAAATTTCCCCTGATGTCCCACGTATAGAGATGGCTATATATGTCAACGTGGGTGCAAGAGTCCTTGACCAGGGCAGCATAAATTGGGTCCAAACAAAAAATAATTTATAGCTAATTATTAAAGTGTAGACATAATCCATTTGTCTTCATTGGTATGACAATGAAAATCATCTTTTGACTTGGTATTTTATATTTTAGTAGTTTGAAGATTAATACATCAATTATTAATCTCAGAAACGTGGTTTGACATTGCAATGTTCTCCCTTCCACAATCTGTTTACAACCCAGAATACTCTAATTGTTTGTTTGTGTTTAAACATCTGTATTAAATAGTGTAGGGTGGCCTATACGGCTAAGGCATGGCGAAGGCACGGCGGGACTCTAACTTGCAGATCAACAAACACACACATCTTTATTCCATGCTTGCATGTGGGAAACTGCCTTGGAATTGCATGCTTGCAACCCGAGGGTTTATTTACCATTTGTCCATTGTATAACAACTGTATCTAATACATATGCAAATAACAGAGCTGGTTAATAAAAGGAGGTACATGAATAATCATAGTTTCCATGCATATCAATGAGCTGCTATGAATATTCAATAAAGCTTAACCAATCATACTGTAAAGAACAATAAACCAAAGAATGAACATAAAGGGATAAAAGTGAAAGGAGTAATAAAAGAGACTAAAGTTGGGGAGAGTGAACATAGCACGAGAGCATGTAGAGGGAATGGTGACGGTGATTGAATGTGATGGAATGAGCAAAATAGAGTTTGATGATAGAAGAATGCATAACCATGTGTAATGTAATGTAAACAAAATTATATCTTAGTATATTATGTAGCTCATTGTAAGCGCCTTGAGCACCCTCTGGGTGGATATGATGCGCGTAATAAATGTCTGAATTATTATTATTATAGACATATGGCAAGATAGGATGCTTTCATACATATTCTACGGTACAATGTCCTGTTCAAAATATAGCTCTACAATAGTAATCACTTGATCCTAGTCTGTTACAAATGTTGTTCTTTCTCAAAAGATTGATTGTTTGACGTGCCTCCTTTCTGAACTAATCCCAAAGCCTTCCATCTCTTCTCTCACGGTGCTAGATATTTGTTAATTACGCCCTCGTTTCTTGAGTGTAGCTGATGACGGAAAGATTTAGAACAACCGCGAAATCAAAGAAATAGCCCCAAAATTGCAGAGGTTCTATACCGTCAGAATTCTCTGTTTATTATGTGGGCTGTTTCTGAAAATGTTATTATGAAACGCCAACATTACGCATTTCAAGAAGAGGTACCAGCGAGCTGCAGGTGCAAGAAAGGAATGACCAATAGGCCTTCATGATGCATTTTGTTGAATGCCCTAACTCTCCCCTTTCGATTTTATTTGATTATTTGAGTTCATGAAGTTTGATAAGATTGCAAATTGGCAATGTATAGATGTATTCATTACCGATATACACGTATACATCTAGGAAAGAGATTTGATGTGATGCATCCTTTGACCAACATTCATTCTTAAAAGAAAAGTTAAACGAATTTAATAAACATGATATGAATATTTAACCAATTTTCTTTGCTTCACTTGTTATATTCACACATGTTTGACTAACAGAGCATGCTAGCATTGTATACTAATATTGCATGTCTAGGGGCCTGAGTCCTATTTTAACGGGATTTTATAAATAAAAAAGAGCTACCGTAATTGATCCCTTTTCTGATTTATGTTCCCTCCCCCTCCCCTTCTCTCTCTCTCTCTCTCTCTCTCTCTTTCTTTCTATCTTTTTCTCTTATGTGTGTCAGTCCCCTCTTGATTTATTTCCTTAAAATAATGTTGTTTTTATTTTTGTTTTTTTATAGTTGCATTCCTTTGCATTGTGTATTTAAAAAAACGTAATACTAGCCTGCAAACTGCATGTCTTAATATACCATGAATTTAATATATTTCAAAAATATTTAATGGAATGTGTTAATATTCAATCTACCGATTGCTTAACATTAAGATTATTCATGCTGATCGTAAAATGGTTTATTTCAAATGGCATTCTTCTTTCTTCTAATTTCTTCTTTCTCTTTGATATGACCCTCTTCCATCCACAGTCCTTCTCTTTTATTCTACCCCACTCTTTTTTAATTCAATCTCTCTTACCATTCTTACGTCATACTGGTTGATATGCCCTGCCTGTAACTATATACTGTATGGGCTTTTGCGAGAATCATGTCGTCTGCAAATTACTTACAAACATTTTATTCATGTCAACATATATTCTTGTAGCACCAACTTTTATATTCTCAAATATTTTATTGCAAATTGACCTGATCAACCAAGAGTTTTAAATATAATGTAAACTTGACTGTTGAAGTTTTTTACTTTTCATCTATTTTGTGTTTATTATTCAAACGGCCCCTTTGACTCCCATGTTCATTAGCGCATCATATGTTGTTGGAAATTCAATTTAAATCTGTACCTATGAAATTTATAACATTGTAAACAAAAAAATCAACAACAAAATCCCCCCCCCCAAAAAAAAAAAAAAAAAAAAAAAAAATCAAATACCACCCCTTGTTTTTTGTCACCCTTTCCTTAAAGTCTTAAAAATTGTGCATTTTCATTACATTTTCAATGTACATAGCAATTTACCCTTTGTTGTAAGAATGCTTCTTAATCAAGTAGTAATAATGAACATATTTGAAACAAAACTATATCAAGATATAGCATTTGGATATAGATTTGTTTTCTTGCATAAGAATACTTTGGCATTGGTATTAGTAGTAGTTGTAGTAGTAATAATAGTAGTAGGAGTAGTAGAATCCGGGCTAACTCGGACCTAGGGACAACTCGGCCGCGCTGCAAAAACCGTTTTTGCAGCTGGGCCGAGTTGTCTCCTGTCCGAGTTAGCCCGACTCCTAGTAGTAGTAGTACATGTAGTAGTAGTAGTAGTGATAACAGTTAAATAATTGAAGAAAGGGAAAATAGAAGTTTGGGAGTCCAGCCGTAAAAGGAGATATAAAGCTCTAAAAGCTTTTATTTGATCTGCAAATACAGAAAAAATAACAATGACAGATTTAGTACATTGTTCATGTTACACAAGATACAATACAAAATATCTGAATAAACCAAGTAACTGTATCTATAAAGATTCATTTAAACACATTTTGCTTTGTTCTTTAAACTGTCAATCTTGACCTCGTCCTTTAACAACCGGTATAACAAATTCAGAGTAAGCATTGGCTACAAAACCTTTTGCATTTCCTAATATGCACTACTTTGATAAACTCATAATTTCAGATCTTTCTTTAAACCAACTTGACCTTCCTTTAAACGAATTACTGGCAATTTGCATGAACCTAAATATCCTTATCGTGAATCCATACACAAGCTTGATTATTTAGATCTATCTGCACAGCATAAATTTGTTCTAAAGCCTCGGTCACAAATGCCATTACGAACTGCTACGAACGCCGTATGAACAATTTTCGGACAATGGAAATTCAGGAAGACAGTGGAAAAACAGGGAGATTCGTAGGAAATTATCGTTCGTACGAACCTTTGTGACCGTAGCATAAAACCTCAATATTGGATTGTCACTTTAGATGTATTGTATGACCTTCAACTGACTTTGACAGGTGCTTAATTTGCATTTTTTGCTCACCTATGTCTATGAAAAACTGTCTTTTAAAATGTCTTTATTCAATTAAACACTGTTTGATGAATTCAACTTGAATATATGACTTGCTCTAAAACTTTGCAACCAAGAATTGTTTTAACCACAGGGTTTTTCTAGTAATAATCTAGAGATTACACTCTATACAAACTCCAACGCCCACGCCACGCCGCCTTCTATTATAATGAAATAATAGAATCGAGCTCTGAGTGAAATCGGGTTTAGGTATTGGTCCGCTAGCTATGACTTCCACTCGGGGGAGGGGTTAGTTCAAATAGACCACCGTATCCGTGTATGAAATTATATTATTAAAATATAAAATACAAACAAACAAATCCAGAAACAAAGTGCTTGGGCACGATTTAAATTACGATGTCACTTGGCAATTATTTAATTGATATTAATGACAAATCTCATTCATCTAATCAGAATGAAAAAAAATACTACTTATATATAAATGTCAATAAATATTTTGCAAATAATTGCAAAGTATTCTTTAGGGTTAAAGGGCGACTTATTTCTTACTTAATTAATTACAGTCTAACGGGGAAGGGAAGGGATATATAGGTTAAAGGAAATGAGGTTAGTAATTATGGCCACTTTATCATCGCGTATATTTTGATCACGGACTCGAGCATGGGACGGATGCGACTTGGAGGAAACTGGAACTTGACGGATATGGGAACAGAGCTGGACATTACTTGAAGGACTGGAAGTTGTCTTGGACGAAACGGGAACGTGACTTGGACGAAACTGGAACTTGACTTGGAGGATACTGGAACTTGACTTGAATGAAACAGGAACGTGACTTGGACAAAACTGGAACTTGCCTTTGATTTAACTTTGATGATTTCTTGAAAGTCCTTTAGCTTAATTAACGTTAAAGCTTTGTTGCAATTCAATTGTTGTTCTCCGCTGAAATGTTCACAACCTAAAACCGTTGCTTTGAATTTCCCAAAGTCTAAACTTGCACACTGGATCTTGAAGGGCGGATAATTATTAGTAGATGAAATTAGGAGAAGTTGAGATTCCAGGTGAGGAGAGGGGGAATCTAAGTGAAGGGTTCAGCTGAGGGGGGTTCCAAGTGAGGGGGATTCCAAGTCATCAAATCATTCATGCAAACTACTTTTATACCTCATTAAAAAATTATACTAGGCTTTTCCTCAGATCATCTTATTGGTCATTACTTTAAAAGGGGAAGGGGTCTAATCTTAGACTTTACTATATCGGTTCGAGGTCACCACTCATGGCCAAAGACACAGTCCTTTGAAGTGTTCTTCAAATAGCCTATTTCAAAGAATAGTCACAAAGCATGAATGACCACACAGAGCCCATCTGATATAAATCCCCTTTCATAGAGCTTAATCTCCATTATTACAGATTTATGAATGGCATTAACAGGATGGATTAATACTGTGAATGGAATAGGGTCATAAAGGCTATACCCCAGAGTGGGAACAGGATAGCTTATAGCAGGCTCAAAGGAAATAAATACTGTCCTATTTAACCTGCCATGTGTTAGAACTATGTTTATAAACATATAATCTTTATTACCTTTTGGGGAGCACCGAACTTCAGCGACGAGCACTATACGCTCTTGCCTCCCCGCGTCACCCTCCAAGTGAACAAACACATGATAAAATAAACAAATCAAATTCATGAATCATGTCTGTGATGTCCAATTTATTACAAAAGTAAATATGTGTCGAGCATTGACACCGTAAAGTAACGCAAGACAACATCAATACATTAACAACGTATTGAAAAACGTAAAATTCACGTCTTTCAACCTCCACTAAATTGACAGAACTGAACCATAACCTCTAAACTCACCCATCCCTATGTTACAAAAGTATTTATTTGTTTATTTTTTAAACGGCGTCTAGCTCGCTCATCGTCGAAAAAGGTCAAGGGCGTCTCACGCCACGTACTCAACGTGGAAAACTCCTGTGAGTGCTCAGGCATGAGTGCCTCCTCATTTACATAAATTCCAACCCACTTAAGGTACCGATAGGAAATAGTATTCAATAGATGGAGACATGCCAGCACATTTTATAAATACATCTATAAACCAGACAAATAAACCAGACAGCAGAAAGAGACAAAGATAAAGAGAGAGAGAGAAAAAGAGAGGGAGATAGAGAGAAAGAGAGAGAGAGAAAGAGAGGGAGAGAGAGGGGGTCACATGGTTTAAAGTGAGGTAACTCTGCTTCGCTACAAAACCATTATTATTATCATCATCACCATCATCACCATTATGATTTTTCAGTGGAAGAGTCCAAGTTGATATTCCAGTGAGTGTCTCTTTGGAAGGCATTGATCTTCAATCACCTAGTCCCTTGGATAGGATTTCAAGCAGTGGGTTCACGAAATCCTCATTTACGAGCTTCTATTTGCTTTTACCGGTAGATGACTTACCAATCATCAATATTTCCATGTTGGAGTATAACTAAAGTTGTTTATCATTTACTGTACGATTTCAGATTTACCAGCAGTTAAACGTAGAGCCAGCTTAATCACTAAACCAGCAGCAAGCGAAATCGCCATCAGAACTCAGTCATTAAAGTTGAATTGCATTGCTTATGGATAGTAAGTATGTTTTAAGGTTTACCCTCTATCCCCTCTCTCTCTCTCGTTTCCTTTTCCTATTACATTGCTTTATAGTTGAAGACAAATTTCCCCTTTCCTTAATTTTTCGAACTTCCCTCTTCCATAAGGGAGATATATTTTCCCTACTTTTCTGGCATATACATGTTATTTAACAATATTGGTACAAATTCTAAAAAAGTTTCAATTCTAATGGCTCAAAAAATCGGAATGAAATTTGCATACATTAGTTGTTTGTGGGACAAACATGGTTTGTCCTACCTAACAACACGTAATGTGTGCAATTCGCATGCTGACTATTGAAATAATTTATAACAAGGCGCTTAACAAAGATTTGTGCATTAAATTTGATTACATTACAAAAATGGCATATTGCCTGAAAATATGTATCTCTCTCTCTCTCTCTCTCTGTCTCTTTATCGCTTTCTCCCTTTCTCTCTGTCTCCAGCCCAACCCCTGTAATCACATGGAAGCGAGGAGAAGAGCAGCTACAGTCTGGAGGACGAGTATCTATCCACGAGCACGAGCTGGTCATCTCCGCTGTCGAGAACAGTGACGAGGGAACGTATACATGTGTTGCATCAAACTCAGGAGGAGATGATGAATTCAGCACAGTAGTTACTGTGGAATGTAAGTTGAAAGTCAAATAATGATGTATACAAACAATTAATTCATGATTGTTAATGCTAAGTTTAATATATCCTGATAGTAGTAACAATTACATCTGTGCTTTTATAAAGTCTTACTCTGTCCGGTGAATAGCTAGGATACAATGTTACTAGTTGTGTATTGACACCTTCTGTAGAAGTCCATTTCATTTTCTTCTACTCTGTTATATATTGAATCAGTTGCATAAGTGGTGTGGGATATGAATACTTTTTTAAGGGTCTAATTGACTTTACAGGAAATGAAGTATTACAGCGATATCATAAAAATCATGAACTTGAGTAAATGTTTCTCTTTTATAAGACATTTAACCAAGCCACTTTGTTACTTTTCTCTTCATTTTTGCTTATTTAGCTGCGCCATATTTCCCATACCCACCCTCCGATGAATCCAAGAGACCTGGTGAATCAGTAGACATTGAATGCCGTTCTGAGGGTGTTCCAGCACCCACTGTCGATTGGTTTGTTAACGGACAACCTTGGGCTGATTTTGAATGTAAGAGCAGCTATAGGGCTTTCCATTTCAGTGTGGAACCAAGAGGACTTCCTCTGTTCTGGCTGCAGTTTTATTTATTATTAATGTAAAAAGAACAGTTTGTCTGTTCAGATACAGAAGGGCGTTATTTTAAAGTATATGAGAAAAGGTAGCAAAGTAACAATAGTACTAATAAAGGGCCCCTCCTATCAAAATGTGCTTAAAATTGAAGAAAAACATGTAGAAGAGTTTTTGATGGAGATTCCTAGTATGAATTTTTTTTTTCTTAGAAATCATCAATAATTCTGAAATCTAGCTTACGCGCCACTCAGCACAGCAAAAGTGTATCTTATTTGACAAAAAAAATATTTGACAGCTTATTCGACACAAATTTCATTTGACACATTCGCCAAAATGTTATTTAACAAATTCAACAAGATTTTATTGACATGTAGGCTAGGCATGCATGCAGCGCAGTGCAGCACAGCTAGCTAGCTCATGCCATCAAGTAGTATACAGTGATGAAATTGTGATAATGATGGATCGATTGGTAATGTGACAAAGTATTTTCTTTCTACTTTGACAGCCAACAGAGATACAGAAAGATGGGAAGTGGTGACTGGAGACCCCCAGTTAGCAACCATTTCTATCACAAACCTACAAACAACGGACAGCAATGTGTTCCAGTGTATAGCTACCAACATGTACAAAGAGGAACTCACCAGTGTTGTACTCAATGTATTTTGTGAGTACCGTATTTGCCGACGATAAGGCCGCACCGCCGCATAGGCTGCACCCCAACTTTGACATTTCAAAGAGGAAAAAAAAAGAAAAAAAGAGGACAAAACAAAATAATCATCATTTTCTCAAAAACACTATATTTTTTTTACAAACTGATACCAAATTCATCAATATTCTTATAATTTATCGGAAGTTTAGCTAAAAAAGTGATCGCAGGCAGATTTATACCCCCTACCACAATGTACGGTGTATAATGCGAAACTGCATGAAATGGAAAACAAAATGGCGACTTCGGATGGATGTTCACATCAGCTCCGTTAAACGGTCCCTTCCTTTACTTTTGCAATGCATTGGCATGAACTTAGATCAAGATCTATCGGCAAATGTTGTGTTAAGACGTTTTTTTTCGTCTTCATGTCAACAATGCAAGATAAAATTGTCGGTAAGATGTGTAGAAATGTCCTGTACCATAGTGGTATAGTTATTTTACCCTTCCCAGTCCCATATGTGCAAATTCGTGCTGGTTTTGACTTTCGTTTTTTTTTTTTTTTTTTTTTTTACTCTTTCGCCGTAAAGGCCGCACCTCGACTTTTTAATATTTTCTCTTCCACAAATACTGCGGCCTTTACCTTGGTCACTTTAAAATCTGCCCCAAATTCTTAACAAGAATATATTGCAAGTTTTCACAAGGCATGTCTATCACCTGAGTGATTTCAGATCAATCAATCACTCATTTTTTTTCAATATCTGCTCTTTTAAGCAATTCTATTTGATTTTTTCATGATGGAAGAATTTGTTGATTTGGTATAGACTAGATTTGCACCAGCTGTTAATGAGCTGTATTCACTTTTTATTGAGATAGAGAGAGAGATAATCAATCTTAAGAGTCTACTAGATGGATCAGTTATAGCTAGAGCAGTGGTCTGGTAACCGAGAGGTTCTGGTTCAATCCAAGTCGATATGCGCTTGTCCCCTTTGGTAAGCCATCAATCCTCATTACCAACTAAAGCCATCATTGCCCAAGTTGCTTACTTACAAGCATATACATGCTTTCATAGCAGTCAGGTAAACCAATAACCAGCCGGCAATTATTAAATGTTTTAATATTGAGGAAATTAAGGCATGCATGAATGAATGATGTTCTTTTCATGCTACTTTAATGGCAGGGTTTTGGTTTGGGGTGGGGGTGTTTATGGGAGGAGTTGTATTATAGCCTTGCACTCTTATTTTGGTTATTTGATTAGATCATAATGGTACTGCCATGAAGTGACTTCATTGGACACACCAAGAAAAGGGAGAAAATTAAATAAATAGGGAGTCAAGTGGTAGTTGTATACCAGTATTGTATTCTGTTACTATTAAACATGGCGTATTTATTGTTATCTCTTACATGACTTTTCTGTCTCTCCCCCCATTATGTCTGTAGCCATCCCTGCTAGTATACCTAGTTTCACACCTCTGACAAGGAAACTGAGTGTTGTACAGAATGACTCTGCCAAGTTCACCTGCCATGTTGAAGGAAGACCTTTACCAATCATCAAAATTTCTGTGCTAGAGTATGATTAAACTTGTTTATGATTAACTGTATAATTTCAGATTTGCCAAGTGCATCCCGCTTAGACAGTCACCCAGCAGCAAGTGAAGTAGCCATTAGAACTCAGTCATTTAAGCTGAAATGCATTGCATTTGGATAGTAAGTATGTTTTCAGGTTTACCCTCTATTCCCCCCCCCCCCTCTCTCTCTCTCTCTCCCTCTATCTCCTCCTTTTCCTATTACATTGCTTTAGTTGAAGACAATTTTTTTCTTTCCTTAATTTTTCCAAGGTCCCTCTTCCATAAGGGTGGAGAGAGATTTTGTCCTTACTTTTCTTGCATATGCATGTAGGTATCTCCTTTTGGAACAATATTGGTACAAATTCTTTAAAAAAAAAAAATCAACTCTCATGGCTTTAAAAAATATCTTGTAGGGCATAACATGGTGAATAGATCGTTTTTGTAATGTACCGTAATCAAATTTAAAGCACAAATCTGTCATGTTACAAATTATTCAATTCACCTTTTTTTAGTAGTTGTATTTCAATAGTCAAAATGCGAATTGCATGCATTAGTTGTTGCTAAGTAGGATAAACATTATGGAAATACAATTAATTGTAAGGGGTGAATGAAATAACTTGTATGAAGTCACTTAACAAAGATTTTTGCATTAAATCTGATTACATTACAAAAATGGCCTATTTTGCGTGAAAACCTCTCTTTCTCTCTCTCCTTTTCTCTTTCTCTCTTTCTCCAGCCCAACCCCTGTAATCACATGGAAGCGAGGAGAAGAGCAGCTACAGTCTGGAGGACGAGTATCTATCCAAGAATTTGGGCAGGAGCTGGTCATCTTCGCTTTCGAGATCAGTGACGAGGGAACGTATACATGTGTTGCATCAAACACAGGAGGAGATGATGAATTCAGCACAGTAGTTACTGTGGAATGTAAGTTGAAAGTCAAATAATGATGTACTGTATTTGCCGGCGATAAGGCCGTAGCGCCACATAGGCCGCACCCCAAACTTTGACATTTTGTAGAGGGGAAGAAAAAAAAAGGAAAAAACGAACCAAACATAATAATCATAATTTTCTCATAGAACTTTATTTTTTCTACAAACTGATACCAAATTCATCAATATTCTTAGAAATTTACAGGAAGTTTACCTAAACAATGATCATTATTTAGCAAATCTTCATCAATTTTTAATTAATAAGCTAGTACTGTATCACAGGCAGGTTTGTTATCCGATATAGGGCGCGGCCCTACCACAATGTATGGTGTAATGCGAAATTGCATGAAATGGATCAACTTCGGCAGGATGTGCAGTTAATAGCGTTGCGCGGCAGCTCCATAACGGTCCCTTGTTTTACCTTTTAGCGATGCAGTGGCACGAAAGGGGGACCGTGAAAAAGACAAAAATCAGAGATTTGGTTGAAAAAGTGGTGGAAGTTTCTAGGAGGAATATGGAGAGCTTTTTGAAATAGGTAGAAGTAGATGTAGTCACTTGTGCAGAAAGCAGCAAAAGCATTTTTTTACAATGTATGGTGTAATACGAAATTGCATGAAATGGATCAACTTCGACAGGATGTGCAGTTAATAGCGTTGCGCGGCAGCTCCATAACGGTCCCTTGTTTTACCTTTTAGCGATGCAGTGGCACGAAAGGGGGACCGTGAAAAAGACAAAAATCAGAGATTTGGTTGAAAAAGTGGTGGAATTTCTAGGAGGAATATGGAGAGCTTTTTGAAATAGATAGAAGTAGATGTAGTCACTTGTGCAGAAAGCAGCAAAAGCATTTTTTTACAATGTATGGTGTAATGCGAAATTGCATGAAATGGATCAACTTCGGCGGGATGTGCAGTTAATAGCGTTGCGCGGCAGCTCCATAACGGTCCCTTGTTTTATTTTTTAACGATGCAGTGGCACGAAGGGGGACCGTGAAAAAGACAAAAATCAGAGATTTGGTTGAAAAAGTGGTGGAAGTTTCTAGGAGGAATATGGAGAGCTTTTTGAAATAGGTAGAAGTAGATATAGTCACTCGTGCAGAAAGCAGCAAAAGCATTTTTTTGTTTGTTGGTACTCTTGTAGACGATGTTCCACCTTCCATAGTGGAACAGCCTGAATCGATTAATGGAGACGAACGTATACCATTAACTCTAACATGCAGAGCTACCGGAACACCAGAACCAACGTAAGTTTCAAAGATAGAGGAATCTTAACGCTGCATTTATGATTGGTAGATTCTCAAACACACATTTTGTCAAGGAAAAAATATAGGTAGAACATTGTATGCAAACAACATTCCTGATGGTCTTAAGCTTTTGCAAATGACTGACATGACTGTATATAGATACTCGGAGATCGGTTTTGGGTAATGCTAGCTATTGCAATTAATGCGTCACAATTTGTTTACACCAGACTATGTGGAATTTCTATATAAAGTGTGTACAAAAGTGAACAACTGGGAGAAGGATTGTGCTTTATTTGATGTAGAAGGCAATGCTTGCATTCGCCTCGATGGGGGTAATTACCTAGAGTGCGATCCAGAAAAAACGAAACTGAAGATTATCAATGTTTTATCATAACTTAATCACAATTAAAATTAATAAATGAAACATATTTGTAAAGCTTAGATCCTCCTCTTTCATTTGATGCAACTCATATGATGCATATTTCACACATGAGTGATTTAAAGCAATTTGAAGGAAGGAAACCACATTTTCACATGAAAAAAAATTCACATTTTTAGAAAGTTCATTTTCTGCTCTTTCATGTGACACCTCAATCAGGAAAATGAGCCAGGAATAATAAAGTTCTGTTTGTTTAAAGTGATGCTTGCTTTTCCATAATTTGATTAAACAAATTAGTTTTCACTGGCTGCCTGCCGTAGTAACAAACGGAATCGACAAAAGACTTAACTCCATTTCGTTGACGATCAGATATAGACGAAAGACTTCATTGCATGGCTGATTGTCAATGAAACGGAGTTAAGTTTTTGTCAATTCTTCTTGTTGCTATGGCAGGCAGCCAGTGAGTTGCATCAAATGAAAGTGGAGGATTACAAATATATGACTGTGATTGTGATAAAGTTATGATAAAACATCGATAATTCTTGGTTTCGTTTTTTCTGGGTCGCACTGTATAGTGATCGAACCAACACTCAAAAGGCCAACTTTAGGGACACACTATCATTTTGGATCCCTCAAACAATGGCCTGCCACGAGATCAAAGAGCATGCAGTTTGGTTAAAAAGGAGACAAAATTTTGAGAAAACTTCCTTTATAGCAATCACAGGAGCCAACCATGCTCACCATGGGGGTGGAATGGGGATTGGTAGGATGAAAGTGATAGTAGTGTACATGTAATCATGTTTCAATAATTTAATTCAATACCAGGTATTACTGGGAGAAGGATGGTGCTTTATTTAACGTGGACAGCAATGATCGCGTTAGCCTGGATGGGGGGAACCTAGTGATCGAATCATTAACAACAGCGGACGATGGACAGTACCAATGTTTTGCTAAGAACAGGCTTGGTACAGCAATGTCCCAGAAGATATTGACATCATTGGCTTGTAAGTTGATGCCTTCATTGTTGGCATAGTGTCATATAGAATGGATGAATACGTCCTAATGTTTTTTTTTATTGAAAAATCATATTTATGGTTGTTTGGTGAAGCCAATTATCAGGTGTTGTTCATGTTTGGGTTAAAAATTGGTGTCATTATATACTCTATGTGATAGAGAGTTGGGATGTTATGATTGTTATATACTCTGTGTGATAGAGAGTTAGGATGTTAGGATTGTTATATACTCTATGTGATAGAGAGTTGGGATGTTAGGATTGTTATATACTCTATGTGATAGAGAGTTGGGATGTTATGATGGTGATATACTCTATGTGATAGAGAGTTGGGATGTTAGGATTGTTATATAATCTGTGTGATAGAGAGTTAGGATGTTAGGATGTTAGGATTGTTATATACTCTATGTGATAGAGAGTTGGGATGTTAGGATTGTTATATACTCTATGTGATAGAGAGTTGGGATGTTAGGATTGTTATATACTCTATGTGATAGAGAGTTGGGATGTTATGATTGTGATATACTCTATGTGATAGAGAGTTGGGATGTTAGGATTGTTATATACTCTGTGTGATAGAGAGTTAGGATGTTAGGATTGTTATATACTCTATGTGATAGAGAGTTGGGATGTTAGGATTGTTATATATTTTATGTAATAGAAGAGTTGGGATGTTAGGATTGTTAGATCTGAGATAATTGGTCAGTTTAAACAAAGAGTTCCAAGTCATGCATAAAACCCTGCTTGTTTCTTTGCTGTCTGCATTTTTTATCTCTAGTCATGGATCAGTTTGAGAACATTGAACCTGCAAGGATACAAGTGAGCCAGGGACAACCCCTGAAGCTGCGTTGTGGTGGATCCCCAGGCGTCCCTAACGGCACTCCTGCTCCCTTGATTTACTGGACCGATGCAACTCCCAAACCCACACCCATCACATACAACGCGCGGATTAACCAGGATCCACAAGGGAACTTGGTCTTTTCAAACGTAATTGCAAGCGACGCTAAAGGCTACTACTGTCAAGCCATCAATAACGTTGTAGGGTCGTCCCAGAGGTCACCAAAAGTCACGCTGAGAGTTAGAGGTATGTGTAGCAGCTGATGTACCTATTGACATAGACACTGTTAAACCAGAAACTTTGGCACGCATGAATTCTTTTGTGAATTTCAGGAGTGGTTAAGATTCACAATTTTTATGGCATATCACAATTGACACAACACTGAATATTCACAATTTTCGAAAGTTGCTTGCTGTGTGAATTGCTGTTGTTTACAATCCAAGAAAGTATATTGTTTTAGAGTAATACAAGCCTTCAACAACGTTGTAGGGTCCAGCTGACACCACAAATTCAGCATCTTGATCGCTATCTTGAATGATTTACTTCGAATATATATAATATGAGCGTGATTGTAAGGGTTATTTTCTAGCGTCCTGCTTTTGTGACGATAGACAGCATTATGTTCAGTTGTCATGGCAGAATGGAATAACAGAAGGCAATGACAAAGCACCTTCCATTTTCCTAACTTTAAAATGAGACCAAAATCATTCAAAATGATTAATTTTAGGGATAATAATCAGAGATCGGAACAAACAACCCCATGCACCCCTTATTATGTATTGAAGCACCAACGGTCTATGCATACATATTCAATAAATATTATTTATCACTCGCTGCAAATTGACTTCATGATACAAATTTCTACTTCAGGGAAATCTATTATAACATTACTGCAGTGCATATCATGGTAAACAAAGTATTAGAAACACCCCTCAATTATTGATGAAATAAACAAAAGAAATGTCAAAGTAATGTAGAAAAAAATGTACCTAACACTTATGACAATGATTCTGAGATAACTCATAAAGAAACCCCACCAGAAACACTTGATGAAATGACAGTGTGACTGTTTCTCTCCAAATCATTAATCCTCTTCTTCTGTAATGATTAATGTTTGATTTGCATTTTATATTTGAATATTCTGTTTATTTACCACAATAAATCAATGTATCTACCTATTATTTGCTGGTTTACCTAAAAACGTCACATTCACACATGCCCCATCCCAATGCATCGCCTTCCCAGGGTTCTCGTGCACAACCGCACGCCCGCCATCTTCTTTTTTCTATTCTCGCACGCCGGGAGAGAACATCTACAGCCAAGTCACTGCTCAAAATTGAGGATTTTTCGTCCTTTTAGCAAGGCTTTATAGTTAGTTTTGCGCATTTAAATCCGTCCTCATATTTATTACTATTAATTTGGTGGTACAGGTTCCCTGTCACATATTTAATTTTAGGCGGAGATTTGAATTTCATTTTTGCCTCACAATTTTCTCTTTCACAACCGTTTTTGCAGGCTTTGTTACGTCGCTGGGTTGGGCGTTCTGATTCAGCTTAGTGCCCTTTTGTTGGTTGGGTTTTTACGATAGGCAGATAATTTAGGGCCTGCATGGACTGTCTGTTAATTTGATCCGGACCCGGTGGTTATCTGTATCCGGTCCAGGTGACCGGTTCGGTTTCGGATCCGGTCCATGATTACCCGTTCGGTTTTCGGATCCGGTCCTCGGATATATTTGATTCAGAGATCTGGCTCACGGTCACCCGTCATGGGTGTTTGAGAACCGTGAGAGTTTATGCGAAAGCCCTCAGTGACTCAGCTTGTGTTTTTGCAGCTACAATCACTCAGAGGCCGGTCCCCCCGTCTCAGACAAGTGTTTGGGAGCATTGAGAGACCTTCCGCCAGCTCTGCTGAGCACCAACTGTCGGGTGAGGCCAAGGTGCTGACTTCTCTACCGACAGGCCCGTTGGCAGGCAGACGTAAATTAAAGCACCTTTCGGCCACGTCTCTTTCTAAGTCGATGCCTGCCTTGGGCACACATTAGATCAAGGATGGGAGGAGGGGTACAGCCTCTTTTCAGACGCCAACCCTTTCTCTGCTGCGGTCAATCGAGCTGAGCCTCTCGAATGCTTAAAGCTTTTTGCTGAGGAAAGCTGGTCGGCTAAGCCCCCAGCCTCTCGGCTGACCTCTGGTGGTACGGGTATTCCTCGTAAGCGGTCGACCCTCTCCAGTATTTGGACTCCTGTGTCCAGGACCTCGGTCCAGTTTGACCCTGTCTAGGGTTGCCCGGGTTTGGATCAGACTCGACCTTGTGGCTCAATCTGGTACCAGTTTGCAGGGATTTTGTCCGATCTTTCGGATCTCTCCTTCGAGTATCCGGACCTGTTTACAGGTACCTGATACTCAGGATCCTGTTTCTCCAGGGACCTACCGGTACTAAGAATGGACTTTCTACGGCAAGAGTAATAAAAAAAAAAAACTACTGGTAATGATGGCTACCACCTGTTCTTAGGTCTTACTTTCCTCTATGATCCCGGTCTCACAGAAGCTCCCATAGTCATGTTTGTTGAGCCTCTGGCGTAGCTGGAGCCTTCCCTCACCTGTGGGGATGGGTACCCCTATATAGCCGTCAGTCTGACTGGGGACTGTTACACTTTGTGAAACTGTTGCTTCGAATTTCCCAAAGTCCGAACTTGCACACTGGATCTTTTAGGGTAGATAATTATTAGTAGATGTAATTAGAAGAAGTTGGAATTCCAGGTGAGGAGATGGAGGGGGAATCTAAGTGAAGGTTTCAGCTGAGGGGGTTCCAAGTGATGGGGATTCCAAGTTAGGGGGATTCCAAGTCATCAAAACATTGATGCAAATTACTTTTATACCTCATTAAACATTCACACTCGGCTTTTCCTCGGATCATCTTATTGGTCATTACTCTAAAAGGGGGAAGGGGTCTAAATCTTAGACGTTACTCTTATTGGTTCGAGGTCACCACTCATGGCCAAAACACAGTCCTTTGAAGTGTTCTTCAAAGAGCCTATTTTAAAGAATGGTCATAATTAAAACATGAATGGCCACAAAGAGCCCATCTGATATCTAAATCCCCTTTCATAGAGCTTAATCTCCATTATTACAGATTTATGAATGGCTTTAACAGGATGGATTAATACTGTGAATGGCAATAGGGTCATAAAGGCTATACCCTAGCGTGGGAACAAGATAGCTTCAATAGATGGAGACATGCCAGCACATTTTATAAATACGTCTATAACCGATTAAGACAAAGAAAGATACAGCAGAGAGAGACAAAGATAGAGAGAGAGAGAGAAAGAGAGAGAGGGGGGATCACATCCCAACTAACAATTGGACGTTTTCTGAACGTTCTAAAAAGGTTCCAAATTGGTTTTCTACTAAAAACGTTGATTTGTGGTAGGTTCAAGACGTTTTAAGAACGTTCCAAATGGATGTTTTTTTAACGTTTTCTAAACGTTTATAAAACCAATAAAAAACCTTTCATAGATTTGTTTTAAGGTGCAAGGACCTGCAGAAAACCTGTCGGACGTGTGGGACATTTTAAGAATGTTTTAAGAACCTTAAAAACGTCCAGAAAACCTTTTAAAAACGTCTAGAACGTCCTGGGAACGTTGTGAGAACGTGCACAAACCTTATAAGAACGTCTAGAACGTCAAGAAAACATTGTGAGAACCTTTAAAGTATGTCTAAAATGTCTACAGACATTGTGAGAATGTTCAGAGAACCTTTTAAGAACGTCTAGAACGTTCAAAAAACCTTTTAAAAACGTCTAGAACGTCCTGGAAACGTTTTAAGAACATTCAGAAAACCTTTTAAGAACGTCTAGAACATCCTGGAAACGTTTAAAGAACGTTCAGAAAACCTTTTGAGAACGTCTAGAACGTCCTGGAAACGTTTTAAGAACGTTCAACAAACCTTTTAAAAACGTCTACAACGTTCTGGAAACGTTTTAAAAACACTCAGAGAACCTTTTAAGAACGTCTAGAATGTACTGGAAACGTTGTGAGAACGTTCAGCAAAAGAGTTAAGAACGTCCAACATACAGTGTATTTTTATCAAACGCTAAATCATACATGTATTTGATTGATTTGATGAATTTATTATCAAACATATTTACAAAATATGTACAAAGGCTTGGCAATGCAGTACATCATGTAGATTTGAAAAAAAGAGTATTGGTATTTCCCGAAGTGCCCCTGAAAGAACATACAATTCTAATATTCAGAATAAATTGTTATTTGATCAAAATCGGTTCACAAATGGCTGAAATATTCATAAATATATTTTTATTAAAAATATGAAAAATGCTTGAAGACTACTTTGAAGAAAAACAATCTGAATAGTTCTTTAAAAATCAATTGATATAGATATTTAATTATTATTTCAAACAAACATTAAATGCAGAAACTGAAAGTAACGGGTCATTTTGAATAATAACAGGGGTTTTACTTGGTTGTTTGTTATTATTACTTTGCACCGTGATTGTGCAGGTTTTGGTTTTAAAGTTAAGTTTAACAAATACTAAACTATCCCTTTAAAAATATAGATACATAACACATGAACAATCTACAAATAATACATAATAATCTAATAGATGAGTTGAAGATATGTCATTAACTGGCAAGTATGAATACTCATATCTTCACGTCAAGAATTTGGCAGCACACATATAGCAACTTTGGTAACACACAAAAAGCAATTTGAGTTCTTTACAGAACCTATAACTTGTCTTGCATTCTCATTTCTTATTTCAGAGTTCGGAAATACTTTCATTTTATTACAAGGCACAGTTGAAGTGCTTGTGAACTAAGTTAGACCTTTGGCTTTGCACAACAACTACAAAATCCAGCAGTCAAAACAGCATGTCCATTTGAACATATGGGACTACAATGACTATACAATGGTACAGGACATTTCTAGAATAACTCCACACAACTTACCAACAATTTTATGTTGCATTGTTGATTTGAAGACGAAAATAAACTGCATAACTTAACTTATGACCCCCCTCTCCCCACCATGTACATACGCACTTTGTATACACATGGTTGAATGGAGCATCATAAGTGGCGTAGCGCAGTCTGACTGATTGGGCTGGGGGGGCACAAACATTATGTGAGGGGAAGGGGTCACTCCTTATGTATTTTTTTTTTCTTCAAATAATGTCACCTTATGTTTTCTATTTTTTTTTCCTCAAAATTATTGGGGGGCACGTGCCTCCCCCCATCGCCATGCCACAGGAGTGCATCAGTTTGACATACCTCGACCTCCCCCCCCCCCATACGTATGCATGTGGCCTAATTTCGCCAGCTGGTATTTTTTAAGAAATATTAATGTGGACATTAAAAATAAATTCAACAAAATACGTCTGAATAAAACGTTTTGTAAAGTTTTACAGGACCTATCCAAGAACGTTTTATTTGTAATGTCCAAAAAACGTTTTCTGAACGTCTTCAAAAGACCGAGCTCTGCAGGGAATGTAAGGTCCCAACTTAGATGTTATATAAACGTTTTTTAAACGTTTAATATGGACGAAGACGTACGGAACCTGATAAGAACGTTCTGTAAATGTTTTAAAAACGTTTTGTGTTTGCTGGGATGGTTTAAAGGGAGTTAACTCTTCAAAACCATTATTGTTATTATCATCATCACCATCATCACCATTATGATTTTTCAGTGGAAGAGTCCAAGTTGATGTACCAGTGTCTCTTGGAAGGCATTGATCTTCAATCACCCAGTCCCTTGGATAGGATTTAAAGCTGTGGGTTCACATGTTCCTCATTTATGAGCTTGTACTTGCTTTTACCGGTAGATGACTTACCAATCATCAATATTTCCATGTTGGAGTATGACTAAACTTGTTTATCATTTACTGTACGATTTCAGATAGGCCAGCAGTTGAAAGTGGAGCCAGCTTAGTCACTAAACCAGCAGCAACCAAAATTGCCATCAGAACTCAGTTATTAAAGCTGAAATGCATTGCTTATGGATAGTAAGTATGTTTCTATCCCCTCTCTCTCTCTCTCTCTCTCTCTCTTCCTTTTCTTATTACATTGCTTTAGTTGAAGACAAATTTCCCCTTTCCTTAATTTGTTCAACTACCCTCTTCCATAAGGGAGATATTTTGTCCTTACTTTTCTAGCTCCTTTATCCTGTGTCTTCTTTTGGAACAATATTGGTACAAATTCCAAAAAAAGTCGCAATTCTAATGCCATGGCTCAAAAAAAATTTTTTTGAAGTGTGAGACACTTAAACTACTCAGACAGACTCGAAGCACTGAAAATCCCCACTCTACAGTTCAGACGGAAACGATCTGATATGATTCAAGTTTTCAGAATAATGCACCAGTTTGATAATCTTCAAGAACAACATTTCTTTAGCAGAACAAATTGCAGTCGCACACGTGGTCACTCACTTAAGCTTTACAAGCTAAAATACCGGAAGACACTAAGGAAAAACTCATTCAGCCAGAGAATAATCAATGTGTGGAATGGTCTTTCAGGCGATGTTGTGGAGAGTACCACTATCAATCGTTTCAAATCTGGGCTTGAGAAATGGTGGAAAGATGCCCCAGATAAATATGATGACAACCCCAACCAAACGAAACCATGGATAGGAACAACAGTCTAAAGACTGAATAATCCTGGATCAAGTGAGTTACAAGTGAGTTTATAACATAGTGAATAGACCATTTTTATAATGCAATCAAATCTAAAGCACATATCTTTGTTAAGTGTCATGTTACAAATTATTCAATGCACCTATTTTGAGTAATTGTATTTCAATACCCCGGTAATCGGAATGAAAATTGCATACATTAGTTGTTTGCACAACATTTAATGTGTGCAATTCGCATGCTGACTATTGAAATAATGTATAAAAAGGCACTTAACAAAGATTTGTGCATTAAATTTGATTACATTACACAAATGGCCTATTGCCTGAAAATATGTATTTTCCTCTCTCTCTCTCTCTCTCTCTCTCTTTCTCCCTGTCTCTTTATCGCTTTCTCCCTTTCTCTCTATCTCCAGCCCAACCCCTGTAATTACATGGAAGCGAGGAGAGGAGCAGCTACAGTCTGGAGGACGAGTTTCTATCGAAGAATCCGGGCAGGAGCTGGTCATCTCCGCTGTCGAGAACAGTGACAAGGGAACGTATACATGTGTTGCATCAAACACAGGAGGAGATGATGAATTTAGCACAGTAGTTACTGTGGAATGTAAGTTGAAAGTCAAGTAATGATGTAGACGAGGAAACAAATCATGCTTGCAAATGCTTAGTTTAATACTATATCCTGATAGTAGTAACAACATCTGTGCTTTTATAAAGTCCTACTCTATCCAGTGAATAGGATACAATGTTAGTAGTTGTGTATTGACACCTTCTGTAGAAGTTCATTTCATTTTCTTCTACTCTGTTATATATTGAACCAGTTGCATAAGTGGTGTGGGATATGAATACTTTTTTAAGGGTCTAATTGACTTTACAGGAAATGAAGTATTACAGCGATATCATAAAAATCATGAACTTGAGTAAATGTTTCTCTTTTATAAAACATTTAACCAAACCACTTTGTTACTTTTCTCTTCATTTTTGCTTATTTAGCTGCGCCATATTTCCCATCCCCACCCTCCGATGAATCCAAGAGACCTGGTGAATCAGTAGACATTGAATGCCGTTCTGAGGGTGTTCCAGCACCCACTGTCGATTGGTTTGTTAACGGACAACCTTGGGCTGATTTTGAATGTAAGAGCAGCTATAGGGCTTTCCATTTCAGTGTGGAACCAAGAGGACTTCCTCTGTTCTGGCTGCAGTTTTATTTATTATTAATGTAAAAAGAACAGTTTGTCTGTTCAGATACAGAAGGGCGTTATTTTAAAGTATATGAGTTAACACCCTTCTAGCTTCAAAGAGATGAATTCATCCTATTTTGTATGATACAAATTATGTCATGATATTGAAAGTTAAAAATAGACTGAAGTTAAAGTGATAAGTATAGGTAGCAAACTACCAGTAGTACTAATAAAGGGCCCCTCCTATCAAAATGTGCTTAAAATTGAAGAAAAACATGTAGAAGAGTTTTTGATGGAGATTCCTAGTATGAAAATTGTTTTTCTTAGAAATCATCAATAATTCTGGAATCTAGCTTACGCGCCGCTCAGCACAGCAAAAGTGTATCTTATTTGACAAAAAAATTATTTGACAGCTTATTCGACACAAATTTCATTTGACACATTCACCAAAATATTATTCAACAAATTCGACAAGATTTTATTGACATGTAGGCTAGGCATGCATGCAACGCAGTGCAGCACAGCTAGCTAGCTCACGCCATCAAGTAGTATACAGTGACGAAATTGTGATAATGATGGATTGGAAGATTGGTAATCTGACAAAGTATTTTCTTTCTACTTTGACAGCCAACAGAGATACAGAACGATGGAGAGTGGTGACTGGAGACCCCCAGTTAGCATCCATTTCTATCACAAACCTACAAACAACGGACAGCAGTGTGTTCCAGTGTATAGCTACCAACATGTACAAAGAGGAACTCACCAGTGTTGTACTCAATGTAATTTGTGAGTAATCATTTTACCTTGGTCACTTTGAAATCTGCCCCAAATTCTTAACAAGAATATATTGCAAGTTTTCACAAGGCATGTCTAAGACTTCACCTGAGTGATTTCAGATGAATCAATCACTTAGTTATTTTCAGGTGGGCTGTACAGACCACCTCATAATTTCGTTAGAACTGCCTTTATTATTTATTTATCAGGTGGGCTGTATAATGTACAGACCACCTTATAATTTCGTTAGAACTGCCTTTATTATTTATTTATCAGGTGGGCTGTATAATGTACAGACCACCTTATAATTTCGTTAGAACTGCCTTTATTATTTATTTATCAGGTGGGCTGTATAATGTACAGACCACCTTATAATTTCGTTAGAATTGCCTTTATTTATTTATTTATTTATTTATTATCAGGTGGGCTGTATATCGTACAGACCACCTTATAATTTCGTTAGAATTGCCTTTATTTATTTATTTATTATTATATATTTTTCTTATTTCTAACCACTTTTTTGTTGGCAAGATAACTTGGAAATGGCTCAATCAAATGCCTTGAAATTTGGCACACATATGTATAGGCATATGTACAAAGCACAATAACGTTTTCAACATTGGCCTTGACTGATGACGTCATCTAGGCGCCATTTTGTAAAATTTTACGAAAATCAACTCATGATCATATCTTCATAACCAAAAGGTATTTCTCATTTATATTTATCATGATCAAGGTCAATATCCGTCCGGTCAATTGCAGGTCAAAAAACGCGTGTGTGCGCGTACGTCCGCGCGTCAATGCGCGCGTAAAATTTTGAAATGCTCAAAATCGTCTCAAAATCATTTTGCATACGTTTTAGGCCATTCTAAGCATTTTATAAAAAATCGCGCACACGCGCATGCGTGCGCGTTTTCGCGAGTAAAACTATTGCACAACATAGAATCGCCATTTTTTTTCTTTCATAATATTCCACATATTTCTACAAACAAATTGATAGCATGTTTATCTCTTTATGACTATTAATGATGGAATGATCGACCGTTAAACATAAATTTCCATGCGCGCGAGCTCTTGTTATACATAGCATATATGGGCAAAAACATGCCTATGCAAAATCCATTGTAGCTCTTTAGGATGCAAGGTGACCCCAATTTTTATGCCTCCGCCACCGAAGGTGGTGCCGGAGGCATCATGTTTTCGGGTTGTCCGTCCGTACGTCCGTCCGTCCGTCCGTCCGTCCGTCCGTCCGTCCGTACGTCCGTCCGTCCGTCCGTACGTCCGTCCGTACGTCCGTCCCGTTTGACCGTTATCACAATATCTCAAGAACCATTTAAGATTTAAACTTAAGACTCGGGAATAGTATTTATCACCATAGGAAGACAATCTGATTAGATTTTGGAGTACGTAGGTCAAAGGTCACAGGTCACAGAGGTCAACTTATGAAATTCCTTGTATTGAGTTTGTTAGCGCGATATCTCAAGAACCATTTGAGATTTAAACTTCAAACTTAAGGATAGTATGTATCACCATAGGAAGACGATCTGATTAGATTTTGGAGCACGTATGTCAAAGGTCAAGGGTCACAGAGGTCAACTTATGAAATTCCATACATTGAGATTGTTATCATGATATCTCAAGAACCACTGGAGATTTAAACTTCAAACTTGGTGATAGTGTGTATCACTATAGGAAAACAATCTGATTACATTTTGGAGCACGTAGGTCAAAGGTCAAGGGTCATAGAGGTCAACTTATGAAATTCCATACATTGAGATTGTTATCATATCTCAAGAACCACTGGAGATTTAAACTTCAAACTTAATGATAGTGTGTATCACCATAAGAAGACAATCTGATTAGATTTTGGAGCACGTAGGTCAAAGGTCAAAGGCCACAGCGCATATTATGAATGCAAAAACAGCTTGTGATCGCGTTATCTCAAGAACCGATTGATGGATTCATGCCAAAATTAGGTCATGTTTGTTACTTGCAGAGCCAATGAACTGAGTAGATTCTTGGTTCATAAGGTCAAAGGTCAAAGGTCATGGGCCCATTATGTATGCAAAAATAGCTTGTGAACGCATTCTCATTAGAACTGACAGATGGATTACTATTTAACTCAGAACATCTTGCAGAGCCAATGAACTGAGTAGATTTTATGGTCATGAGGTCAAAGATCAAAGGGTCATATATGTATATGAGAAATTGCTTGTAATCACAATATTCTGAGAACCTGTCAATGGATTACCATTGAACGTGAATTCAATTTTTTTTTTCTGTTTTGGTTTGTAAAATTGCTCTATAACGGAGGCATCATTTTCGACTGCGCGCAGTCGAATTCCATCTAGTTTTCTTCATATTTTGATTTAGTATGAATCGGAGATATGATTTCATGTCTCATTTGACCCTCAATTAACTCATGACGTCATCATAATGGCCTCCGAACTCAAAATTTTAGTTTGCATATTATGACGTCAGCATATTTTTGGAAAATTGATTGTATCTTTATAAAATTGATCGATTTTCTTCAAAATTTTGTTATGTCCTAGCTGAGACAATTTTCTACAAATGCAATCGTCACGATTTTTCATTTTGACAAAGGCATCATGGCGTATTTTTGCGATTTAAGGAGGCATGTCAATTTTTCAAATTTTGCGTGTATTCTCTATGGGACATGACTTTTTCTCAAAACTTTATTCTACATTCCCGTCTTTCGCGAGCAATATCTACGTCGTTTTAGCTTCCTTTACACTGAACTTCGAGTATGTTGTAGCTGAGACAAAAAGCTATCTCAAATGTACCATTCATTTTGTCTCAATTTTTTGTTGGATCAGCCCACCTATACTTGTTCCAAACAAGTATTACAAATCTAGTTTATCTTGCTTATTTCTAACCACTTTTTTGTTGGCAGGATAATTTGAAAATGGCTCAATCAAAAGCCTTGAAATTTGGCACACATATGTATAGGCATATGTACAAAGCACAATAACGTTTTCAACATTGACCTTCACTGATGACGTCATCTAGGCGCCATTTTGTAAAATTTTACGAAAATCAACTCATGATCATATCTTCATAACCAAAAAGTATTTCTCATTCATATTTATCATGATCAAGGTCAATACCAGTCCGGTCAATTTCAGGTAAAAAAAAAAGCGCGCGTCAATGCGCGCGCAAAATTTTGAAATGCTCAAAATTATCTCAAAATCATTTTGCATACGTTTTAGGCCATTTTAAGCATTTTATACAAAATCGCTCACACGCGCATGCGCGCGCGTTTTCGCATGTAAAACAATTACCCAACATAGAATCGCCATTTTTTTTCTTTCAAAATGTTTCACAAATTTTTACAAACAAATTAATATCATGTTTGTCTCTTTATGACTATTAATAACGGAATGATCGACTGTTTAACATAAATTTCCGTGCGCACGTGCTCTTGTAATACATATCATATATGGGGAAAAAACATGCCTATACAAAATCCATTGTAGCTCTTTAGGATGCAATGTGACCCCATTTTTTTTTCATATTTCAATAGAGTATGATTCAGAGATAATGTTTCATGTCTCATTTGACCCTCAATTAACTCATGACGTCATCATAATGGCCTCCGAACTCAATCATATTTTTGGAAAATTGATTGTATCTCCGTAAATATCGGTCAATTTTCTTCCAAATTTTGATATGTTCTAGCTGAGATAATTTTCTACAAATCCAGTTGCTATTATTCTTCATTTTGACAAAGGCATCATGGCGTATTTTTGCGATTAAAGGAGGCATGTCAATTTTGCACATTTTGCGTGTATTCTCTATGGGACATGATTTTTTCTCAAAAAATGGATTCTACATTCCCGTCTTTCGCGAGCAATATCTCTGTCGTTTTAGCTTCGTTTACGCTGAACTTTGAGTATGTTGTAGCTGAGACAATAACTATCTCAAATGTACCCTTTATTTTGTCTCAAATTTTAGTTCGACCAGCCCACCTATACTTGTTCCAAACAAGTATTACAAATCTAGTTTCAATGTGTCTCTGCTCTTTTAAGCAATTCTATTTGATGGTTCACGATAGAAGAATTTGTTGATTTGGTATCGACTAGATTTGCACCAGCTATTAATGAGCTGTATTCATTGAGATAGAGAGAGAGATAAACAATCTTGAGAGTCTACTAGATGGATCAGTGGTAGAGCAGTGGTCTCGTAACCGAGAGGTCCTGGTTCAATCCAAGTCAATGCGCTTGTCCCCTTTGGTAAGCCATCAATCCTCATTACCAACTAAAGCCATCATTGCCCAAGTTGCTTACTTACAAGCATATACATGCTTTCATAGCAGTCAGATAAAACAATAACCAGCCATCAATTATTAAATGTCTTTATATGGAGGAAATTAAGGCATGCATGAATGAATGATGTTCTTTTCATGCTACTTTTATGGCAGGGTTTTGGTTCGGGGTGGGGGTGTTTATGGGAGGAGTTGTATTGTTAGCCTTACACTCTTATTTTGGTTATTTGATTAGATCATTATGGTACTGTCATGAAGTGACTTCATTGGACACACCAAGAATAGGGAGTAAATTAAATAAATAGGGAGTCAAGTGATAGTTGTATACCAGTATTGTATTCTGTCACTAACATTGCGTATTTATTGTTATCTCTTACATGACTTTTCTGTCTCTCCCCCCATTATGTCTGTAGCAATCCCTGCTAGTATACCTAGTTTCACGCCTTTGACAAGGAAACTGAGTGTTGTACAGAATGACTCTGCCAAGTTCACCTGCCATGATGAAGGAATACCTACTCCAACCATAACATGGACCTTCAAGGGATCAGTGGTAAGCAGGCTGCTCAACATTCTTAACACTGTTGCTTTTTTCGCATATCTGCACACTGCATTCATATCAGTTATCAACATAAAGAATGAGAGCATTCATGTTTGCATTGATGCTAGATTTGTGAGGAAAAAATATGACCTTTCTCTGTTTTTGTTCAGGTGGATTTTGTTGTGGCTTTAATAATCTTGACCCAGATGAGTGTGAAAATATTCAATTCTGGTGGAAATCAGTCACTATGAAGAATAATAATGATACATTAATTTCTATAGCGCTTATCATAATGTTTCTAATCGCTTTACAAAGTTGGAAATACTTAGATAATAATACAATCAATATCATATTTACAAACTATAATTAATATATACTAATCAACCTACACTTAATTCAAAATACATAAGCACAGATACATCTAGTCAATATATATAAATACAATAGAATACAATTAATTTTAGGGCAAAACATTACAAATTCAAATTAAGGCAATTACATTACATCTACCGTGAATAACACATATATAAAGCTACAGACTAACAGGAAGGATTAACAGGGAGAATCAAAATGGAATGTCTTAAGGGAGGATTTAAAAGAGTCTAACAAAGGAGCATCCCAAATCTCAAGAGGAAGTCTGTTCCAAAGCCTCGGAGCAGCTACGCTGAAGGCATGGTCTCCATATCGTGTTCGAGTTCTTGGACCCGGCGCCAGTTGCAGATGAGCATAGGTGGATGAGCAAGGTCTTAAAGAGGTTGTCGGGGTCTTTGGTGAGATTAGATCTGTGATGTAAATTGGAGCAAGTTCACGTTGGGCTTTGTAGGTTAGGATCAGGATTTTGAAGATATTCAGTTGAGAGACGGGAAGCCAGTGAAGAGAGCGGATGACAGGGGTAATGTCATACTTTCTGGAACGGGTTTTTAACTGAGCTGCAGCATTCTGAATTCGTTGAAGAGGCAGAACATGAGAGTCTGGTAGACCGTAAAATAAACTGTTGCAGTAGTCAAGGTGTGATGAAACGAATGCGTGAACTAATCGTTCAGTTGCGCTGGCCGTCAGGTACTTTCTTATTTTACCTCTCTTGGAGATTCCAAAAGCTGCTGCCCGAAACTTTGAACGTATGTGGTCGACACCGAGATCACGAGAGGCCTGAACACATCCAATAGACGTTCCATCGCCAATCTGCAGTACAGGGAGAGTCTAAGCACCTCTGAACCTGGAGAATACATGGATGACCTCAGTCTTAGAGCCATTGAGTTGAAGATTGTTCCGTAGTGACCATTCCTTAACATCTGCTATACACTGCTGTAGCTTTTGAAGTCTGACGTCATGTTCCTCAGGTCTGATGACGGCATACAACTGAGTGTCATCTGCTTACATGGTATGCAGGATTCCTTGATGGGCGTTGATGACTTGCGATAGAGGGCCAGTGTACAGAACAAACGCCAAAGGACCAATGACTGATCCCTGAGGAATACCATGGGAGAGAGGAAAAGACTTGGCAACAGCATCGTTAACTATGATCTTCTGTCTCCGATTTTTTAGATAGGAGACGACCGGCCACTGTCGCCCTACATCCTTGATGCCGTAGTCACGTTCAAGGATTTCAATCAAATTCACATGGTCAATGGTATCGAAAGCAGCACTGTAATCCAGTAGAACCAGTATTGCTTCATAACCCCTGTCGACAGCCAGTAACAGATGGTTCATCACTTTCAACAGTGCTGTTTCAGTTGAGTAGGACGAGCGATAGGCCGACTGCATCTTGGAAAACAAGCAATTCTTCTCTAGATATGCTTTCAACTGGAAGCTAGCAACTCTTTCAAGAATTTTCGCAAGGAACATCAGGTTAGAACACATGAACAAATTTGACCCACATTCAGCCAAAAAATCAATGAGTCATTTGTGTACCTCCCACACAGACGACGAACGTTCGAGTGCACTAGAGCGTAACACCAAGGTACCGGACTCGTCGATTTTTATGAAATAGGGGTTTATCGTATAAAACTGGTGTGAATGTGTGTGAATGTCAGCACCGCTGTGCGTGTGTGACTTGTCAACACTCTCCCTCTCTCTCTCTCCCCTCTTCTTCCGAAAAAAGGAAAACAAATCACGAATATATATATATATATATATATGTATGTCTAGCAGATGCACATCACAATGCATACGTCCATTGTCATCCCTCTGTCTAAGATGGGCGGGATCACCCTGCAATATGAATACGCGATTCCTTCACTAGCAGATCGACCATGAATATTTAGATCTGCTCTCCAGCGAGTTCAGAGTGCCATTAAGTTGCTAAATTTCAGGAAAACTAAAGAATCCAGTGTCTCGTAAGAGATATAATCTAATCCCTACACACCTATTTCGTAAAAGATCGTCCATAATATCTAAATTCCCTTCAGTAAATTGCTGAAATCAACGTAAAATGTGTCTTTTCCATCGCCGGAGCCGAGTCAAATTTGGTGGTAGAAATACGCAAGGCTGCGAGCATGTGTAAGCCTCATTGTCAGCTGTGTAAAAACTTTGCTTACGCACTTGCATGTATTAAAGAGGTCGATGCGTAAGTTTACAAAAGCTATTTTTTTATTGGATTGAAATTGGCCCTACTTTCTTGACAACCAATCAAATTATGTGTTACATCAGATGAAAGGGGATTATATACTCTATGTTTTCGCGGCCGAGACCACCCAAAAACCAGTAGTAGTTACGAGCATTATCTCCTTGAAGTACACAACCCCAGTGAAAAAGACGAATTTTCCTGTGATCTCCATAGAGAAATCACAAATTGAATGATTGTTGTCCATTTTTGAAGACGAAAAGGCCCTATTTTCCAGTCTACAAATCAGTTCGAAATTGGTATCAGTGGAAAGAACAGTATTTGAAAATGTGATTTCCACCCGAGATTGTGTGTAATCAAAGTTTGTTTTCCTTGTAGGAGCATTTCTTTGCACAATTAGCGCATTTTCAAAGACGATTTCACGTGTTGTAGACCGCGGAGCGAGACCGCATGAGCAGATGCCCGAAATTTGTTCATATGACAGGTCTATAGTTCCTTAGGTCATTGTGATCCAAACTACGCTTCTTCAGAAGAAGAAGCACTCTCAGCCGTACTGCTGCAGTACCATGAGTTTTGTCGCCAGAAGGTATGTATAATATTGACCCAGATGAGTGTGAGTATCTTCAGTCTAATTCAGTCCAATATAATGGCGACAGAGGGTCAGTATTATACACTCTATGGTGACAGAGCACTGGCATGTGGAGGCCCTTAACTGTGGAATGCTCTGTATCAGTTAGTCGAAGTTTTCAAAAAGGTCCTTAAAATTTGTTGTTGATAACCTTGAATTGTTAATTGCACTTTGTAAAGCGCATTGTGCAGGCCTATGGTCCTGAAATGTGCTTTAGAAGAACTTTTATTAGTTTTGTTTAGGTCAATGCCATTGTCTCTCCCCTTCTTATTATTATTATTATTATGTACCAGTTGACCAACAGAGACAAATACACCATCAATGAAACTGAGGGAAGCCTAATGATCAACAATGTCAAGAAAGTGGATAGCGGAGAATATGAATGCACAGCAGAAAACTCAATCGATGGACAAGATCATGAGGCAACGGGTAGTGCAACCCTGATAGTGCTAGGTGAGAGGGGTTTTTTTTAATTTCAATTTTCTTATTCTTGGCTTCTTTTTCGTTCTGATTTAGATTTTCTTAATTACAATCCTTTCTCTTATTACTCTTCCACAGGGTTGCAAGTACCATTTTCTTTTTTCCCTTCATTAAAACTGTACTTATCCTCACTACTGCCTATATTGACGTTATTAACATGTCCTTCCAAGTTCTTGTTTTCAGAGTACCTGTTGGCTTTGAAGTCCTTTGTTTTGCCACAATTTGCAAAATGTCCCCTTTTCTCGTACTTCTCACACGTCTTGTCCCTTGCAGGGCATTTGGAGTCTTTTTGCAAAGTGCCCATCTGAAACATAATTGCTGTTTCCTCCCGTAGCACCACCCTCTTGTTGCTGACCATCTCGTTCTCTCCTTGAGTAGGCTGTTGGGTCCTGACTCGCTGTCACAGCATGGATGCCTCCTGGATCATGCTCTCATTCACCTGCTGCATTTATCTGCCTCATCTGACTCTCTTTAATTTAGGTCGTGGATGCAATTGTCTGTAACTGTGCCCCTTTTCCAATAACTTAGCATGGATTTTGGACGACCTGCACTTTTCGATGACTTGATCCCAGATATTTTCATCCACATCTTGGAATCTTGGAATAGACACTTTCTGCCGAGGTCTTGTTACAAACTGTTCAATGTTCTCATTATCCTCTTGCTTAATGCTCTTAAATAAGTAACACTCATAGGGGATGTTGAGTTTTGTCGCGAAATATTTGTTTAGTTTCGCCTTTGCTTTAGCATATTCATCCTGTTGACTTTCTCTTTCCCCTCCTTCCACCGAAGTTGTACCTTTGTATATTTGAAGTGTCTTCCGGCAATGCAAAGTAAATGTCCTGCACCTCAGGTCCAGTGCAAATAAGTATCCACTTTAATGATTATTCTATAATGAGGTCTCCTGCAAGCAAAGTGCCAATGTTCACAACTTCACACCCATATGTACGCTACCTGCTGTTAGCGTAGCAAACAAAAGAGAAAAATTTATTGAGAAAGCCCAGAGGAGTAACTTCTCATTGCTTGAAGAATTTTTCACTATTGCATAGTGCACAGTTTGACCCAGGCAGAACACATGTCTTGTATTTGGATCCAGGCCAATATGACATTAATATAGGGGGTGGAGCATGATAATTTATCATGAAAATGCTGCCAACTTTATAATAACACTAATGATAGAACAGTTCTTAAATAACACATACCCTTGAAATAGTCTCTATGCACTTCGGAAAAAGTAAGAAAGAAGTCATATATTTAAAATAGCAATTAATCAATTACATGAATATGTTTTAAGAGCAGTTTTAATTTTTTATTTTTAATTACATTTTTTAATCAAATTTTGTAAAGTAATTTTATGATTTTATAAGGACTGTCGGTGATATTATTAGTGTTATGATGAATGTTCATAGTGTGGAGTTGTGAAAAAAGGGTTTTGTAGTCTTGGGATAAACATGTCTTCTACTTTTATAGATTTTAATAAATGCAATATTTTTCAGTGGTCTGGTAGCAGAATAATGAAAGAGAGCATTAAGCAAAGAGAGAGGAGAGAAGTTGAAAGAAGAGAGGGAGCAAATAAAATAGAGAAGAAAAGAGAAGAAAGAGAGAGTGAGAGTGAGAGTGAGAGAGTGAGAGAGTGAGAGGAGATAGGTACATATATAGACAAAGAAAAAAGAAAGAGGGACCACGAAAGGGACAAAAATCAGAAACATGATTGAGCAGCAGAAGCACGTACACAAATAACCATGTTATGTCTCTTGTCCAGTATGTTAAATTGATTTTTTAAATAATTTATTTTAGGTACTCTTCTAGATGATTTTCCACCTTCCATAGTGGAACAGCCTGAATCGGTTACTGGAGACCAACGTATCCCATTAACTCTACCATGCAGAGCTATTGGAACACCAGAACCTACGTAAGTTGCAGACATAGAAGAATATTAACACTGCAGTTGTAGATTCTCAAGTATGATTGGTAGATTTTCAAACATATACTTTGTCAAGGAAAAAATGTAGGTAAAACATATTGTTTGCAAACAACATTCCAGAGGGTCTTAATCTCTCGCAAATGCTTGAAATGACTGTAGCTACTTGAAGATAAGTTTGGGGTAGTTCCTATGTGCAATGCATCACAATTTTTTTAAACACCAGATTCTGTGGAATTTCTATTGAATGTGTGTACGAAAGTGTACTACTCGGAGAAGGATCGTGCTTTAATATTCGATGTGGAAGGCAACGCTCACGTTCATTCGCCTGGATGGGGTAGCCTAGCTAGTGATTTAACCAAAACTTGAGGCCAACTTGAGGGACACACTATCATTTGGGATGCCTCAAAGTATCGCCTGCTAGAGGTCGGAGAGCGCATACAGTTCGGTTAAGAATGAGATAGTATTTTGAGAACATTTCCTTAGCAAGGACCCATGCAACCATGCTCACCATGGGGTGGAATGGGGATTGGTAGGATGAAAGTGATAATATAGTATTTAATTATGTATCAATGATTTATTTCAATACCAGGTACTACTGGGAGAAGGATGGTAGTTTATTTGACGTGGACAGCAATGATCGCACTAGGCTAGATGGGGGAAACCTAGTGATCGAATCATTAACAACAGCAGACGATGGACAGTACCAATGTTTTGCTAACAACAGGCTTGGAACAGCAATGTCCCAGAAGATTAGGACATCATTGGCATGTAAGTTGATGCCTTCATTGTTGGTATAGTGTCGTATGGAACGGATAAGCCCTAGTACTGTAAAGCTGTTACTTCGCATGAGTCATTTTCAGCGCTGAGCGACCCCAAAACATATTCTCAGGTTCTTAAATTTGTGTTGCACAGTTCACTCTATTATTTTCATTCATATCGGTGCATTTGTACTAGTATTGCATGGAATTCAGCCTGTTCAAAACATGCATAAGAAATCATGCTTATATTTTTGCGAGTTCTCAAATTCCCGCTTTCCGATATTCGCGCAAAATACGTGAAAATTAATGTACGACAAAATATTTCTACTTTTACAGTAAGTTTTTAATTGAAAAATCAATTGGTGAAGCCAAGTATCAAGTCTCATTCATGTTCTGGGTCACAAACTTGTTGTCATTATACTCTGTGAAATAGAGAATTGGGATGTTAGTATTATTATAGATCTAGGATCGTTGGTCAGTTTTGACATAGAGTACCAAGTTATAAAACCTACATGTTTCTGTTGTCTCTGTGTTTTATCTCCAGTCATGGAACAGTTTGTTAACACTGCACCTGCAATGGTACAAATGAGCCAGGGACAACCCCTGAAGCTCCGTTGTGGTGGATCCCCCGGCGTCCCTAATGGCAATCCTGCTCCCTTGATCTACTGGACCGATGCAGCTCCCAAACCCACACCCATTGGATATGACGCACGGATTAACCAGGATCTAGAAGGGAACCTGGTCTTTTCAAACGTAATTGCAAGCGACGCTAAAGGCTACTACTGTCTAGCCATCAATAACGTAGGGTCGTTCCAGAGGTCACCAAAAATCACGCTGAGTGTTACAGGTAGGTGTACAGCTGATGTACCTATTAACATAGACACAATTAAACCAGAAACTTTTGCACTCATGAATTCTTTCATGAATTTCAGGAGTGGTTAAGATTCGCCAAAGATTGTGTATCATGGTATCACAATTGACACAGCACTGAATATTCACAATTTGCTAAAATTGCTTGCTGTATGAATGGATGTTGTTTACAATCCACAAAGGTTTATGGTTTTAGAGTACCTGATAATACAAAAGGAGGCTAAGATTTAGATTTACAACCCTCCTGTCTTGTATATCCCTGTTTTTCCATTAAAAATGCATTTCTTTCCTTTTGTTATCCTTTAACTTCTTCAATTCATACATACTTAATTGTTTATAGATAACCGGCCCCCTCCCTCCATTAAAAAAAAAAATCCATTTACATTCTGCATTATCCCTTCCCTTCCGCTTCTTCTCGTTCTTTGCTATGATAATGATAAAATCATCTTTGTTTGATCAAACTCAGTTCAGAGACGGCTGTAATATCCATAAATATAACCATTTCTAATATTTGTAGGGCCCCACAAATATTCAGTAATTTTGAACCAGCCGTTGAAAAACAAGATAGCACCTTATACGTTCTATTCCAGTCAATGCTATTATTAGCTTTTTGTTGGCTTTTTTGTGTTGGTTATAATAAGTACAAATAGCCAGCCTGTGTATTTACCACAATAGATGTATCTATCTATTATTTGCTAGTTTACCTAAACTACGCAGCCATCGAGAACTAAAACGTCACATTCGCGCATGCTCCACCCCAATACATCGCCTTACCAGGGTGCATGTGCGAAACCACACACCCGCCATCTTCCTCTTTCTATTCTCGCACACCGAGAGAACTCCTTTACAGCTAAGTCACTGTTCAAATTTGAGGATTTTTTGTCCTTTTTGGCACGGCTTAGTTAGTTTTGTGCATTTAATTCCGTCATTTAATTACAATTAATTTAGTTGTACAGGTTCCCGGTCACATTTTATATTTAAGGTAAAATTTAAACTTTCATTTCTGCCTCGCAATTTCCTCTTTCGCGACCGTTTTTGCAGGCTTTGTTACGCCACTGGGCTGTGCGTTCTGTCTCGGGCTTAGCGCCCTTTTGTTGGTGGTTTTTTGTTTGTTGGGTGAGGCAGAAAATTTATTCATCTGCCTAGCGTCCCACCTTAGCTCGCTCCGCTGGTCACAGCTAGCTGCGGTGCGGCCTTTGTCTGCTCGTGTTTGTTTGGATTTATTTTCGTGCATACTTTTTGGGTTTGAGTTTTATTTTGTGAAACATTTTATTTGAGATTGTTTTGTCTGGAAATAAAGTGAGCGCTGAGTTTATTTTGCTCTTGATCTCTTTGTTTGGATTTACTCTTTGTTTGGTTTTTCTCTTTGTCTACATGTTGTCATGGATGCCTCTGAACCTGGTACCCGTGCCTCTCCTCCCACAAATGCCGCTCCCGGTGGTGTGAGTGGCGAGCCGACTACTTGCTCAGGTGTTGTCTACCCGGGCATGTCAGTGGATAGGTTAGGGACCGCTGGTAGCGGCTCCCCGACAACTTCTTTGCTGTTTGCCGCCCGGCTCCCCCACTCAGTGTTATTTAGGGTACGCGTATGCTCTTTTTGAAAGCACCCCCTATCTGAGGAGTGCCAACATTTCCAAACCCCCCTTTCGCAGGCTTTTCGCGGGCTTTTCCTGCCTTGGAGACCCCCTAAATACGGAAAAATTCTCAATGTACCCCCCTAAATTCGGAATAATTTCTCAGGAGTCCAAAGAGATGAGAGAACAAAGAAAAAACACCCCTTTTTTAAAGAAATCTCCGGGTGAAAAGTCAAATACACCCCTTTTTTACAATTCTCGGGCCGGACATTGTCGCACGAAAAGTACCCCTTTACCGGACATTTTGGTAACACGCATGCGGTCATTCCGACCCCGGAGTGGGGGGGCCGGTGTTTGTCGACTCAACTTGGCATTAAGGCTACTGCTGGGACCTGTGGTCCCAGCAAGGGGGTCACATTTTCCGGCCACAAGCCCCCGCCGACACTGGGCAAGGGCGTTGTCGGCTTAACGACCACTGACGTTCGACCCCGGGGTAAGAATGATGTCTCATTTCTGACCACTGACATTCGAGCACCGATCACTGGCATAGCTCCAGCCGGTAATCTGTTCATTTTTAGTAAATCTGCAGCACCCCATGCAGCCTTGATAACTCGGGAGCCAACTCCCTCCAGTCACAGATGGGTGGTTTCAGACCGTAAGAGACTGTCCGACCCCTGTCCAATAAGTCTAAGGTGTTGGCTTCTCTGCTGGCAGTTGTAGCCAGCACTGGATGCCTTCTCCCTCCATTGGGGGTACTTCTGGGGGTACGCTTTTCCCCCCCTTTCCTCCGATTCCTCAGGTCCTGAGAAAGATCAAGGAGGATCATGCAGGCGTGGGTCCATCGGGTAGCTCCGCATCGGCTGAGGAGACCGTGGTTCCCTCTTTTCTTTTCCCTCTCCTGCTGAGGCTGGCTGTGGTGTCCCAACCTCTGTCGGGGATTCTTCATCATCGTCCCACGGTGCTCTCTCTGACTGCCTGGCCATTGTCGGGCCATTGTCGGGGAGGAAGCTATGGCTTTGGGACTCTCTGAGAGAGCCTCTCAGTTTGTAGTCCAGAGTCATAGGGATTCCACGAGGGCCCTTTTCAACTCTAGTTTGGAGCCCTTTTCCATTTGGTGTAAAGACCTCTGGCTTCGGTAGGTCTTCTTTTTTTTTTTTCTTTCTTTCCCCCCTTCTCATTTCTCTATGTATCTCATTCTAATTCTATCCCTCTGCGCCTCAAAATAATTTACTAGATCGATGACGCATAATAAATGCTGTATTATTATTATTATATTAGGTGTGATAGCAGATTTTTTGATTTCCTTGTTTGAAAAGGGTAGAGCCCTTTCCACTATTCATGGTTACCGTTGGGCCATCGCCGTCATTCATGCCGGGTTTCCGGAGTGCTCAGGAGCTTCTAACTCCCATTTCTTGTCCAAGTTACTGTGTTACTTTTTTCTGCAGCAGCCAGCTAACCCAAAGCTGGCTCTTTCTTGGAGCCTGCGGAAGGTTTTGGGGGCATATTGGCTAAGCCTCCTTTTGAGCCTATGTCTAAGGCGTCTCTTATACATTTAACGGTTAAGACCGTGTTTCTCATGGTGATAGCGTCTGGACAGAAGAGGAGTACTCTCCATGCCCAGATACCTCCCCCGGCCACATCAGGTTGGAGAGGTGGAGGTTCTGTTGATTCCAAGGCCCTCCACTATTGCCAAGAATCAGTTAGCGTCCTCCGGGCCGGGGTTTTCCTCAGCCTTCTTTCAGATTTCTCCTCAGTCACGGAGGACAAGGTGTGGTGCCCGGTGAGGGCCGGCGGTTAAGTGGTACCTGGACAGGACCAAGGGTCATCGTAAAGATGATCAGTTATTTCTCATCACTCGAGAGCTTTCCTCTCCTGCTTCTAGAGAGTCCATTTCTAGGTGGATTGTTGAAGCCATCCAGGCGGCTGGTCCTGAGGCCTCCTCCCAGAGGGCAGGGCCAAGACCCACGATACTAGGAGTATCAGTACTTCCTGGGCGCTTGTTCAGGGAGTGGGCTTGGACGATATTTTGAAGGCAGCCTTTTGGCATTCTCCCAATTCGTTTACTTCTTTTTATCTTGGACATCCCCTCTGGTGAGGTTTTGCTTGCAACCTCGTCCCTAAGGGTGGCAGCATATGTCCCTCCCTCCTCTCCTTGCCCAGCAACATGTTCGAAGCATTGTCTCTGGCTGCTTGTTAAAGAGGAAGATAGCGGGCGTGCGGTTGTGCACATGAACCCTGGGAAGACGATGTATTGGGGTGGGGCATGTGCAAATGTGACGTTTTAGTTCTTGATGGCTTCGTAGTTTAGGTAAACTAGCAAATAATAGGTAGATACATAGATTTATATAGTAATAATAAAATCAGTAATGATTTTCCTGATTGTTATTATCAATTAATTAACAGTCACCATATTTTTTTAAAAGTAAAGCGGAATCGGTAAGATCGTATTTAATCTAGATACACACATTTTGGGGTCTAAAATTACCTTCATAACAATTTTAGGTGCTAAAATTTTAGGGCACAAAAAATGTCATAAATAACAATAAGAGCAATAACCAAGCACTTTGAAGGTATTTGCGGTCTTAAACAAGAACTCAACTATCCTCTTAAGGTAGTCAAATGCATCTGATATATTCAGCTTTACAAAAGAACATAGGCCTAACTCAATCTTGTTCGTACCTTAATGCACTATACAGTCAGACCCCAGCGCATTTGGAATGAGGTTTTACAGTGAAGATTTCTTCAGCATCTAGATCAATATCTTGAATGATTTACTTGCAATTTATATAACTCAGCATGATTTTCAGGGTTATTTTTCTATTTTCATTAGCGCATCATAAATGTTGTTGGAAATTCAATTCAAATATATACCTATGAAATTTATAACGTACAAAATATTAAAAAAATGAATTAACACCCCTTGTTTTTATGCATTCACAACAAAGTAGCAAGGGGCATTATGTTTCCGGGTTGTCTGTCAGTACGTCCGTCTGTACATCTCGTTCTCGTGATCGCATTATCACAAGAACCAAGTGATGGATTTTCACCAAACTTGAATCATGTATGTATCTTGCAGAGCTAATGAACTGAATAGATTTTAGGTCACAAGGTCAAAGGTCACAGGGCTCATTATGTATGCAAAAATAGCTTGTGATCACATTATCATAGAACAGATGGATGGATTACCATCAAACTCAAGACATGTACCGTTATCTTGCAAAGCCAATGAACTGATTAGATTTTGGGAGTCCTGAGGTCAAATGTCATGGGGGTCATTTATTTATTCCAAAATTGCTTGTAATCACAATATTCTGAGAACCTGTTAATGGATTAGAATCAAACTTGAATTCTAAAATTGCTTCTGTTTTGGTTTGCAAAATTGATGGAGGCATCATTTTCAACTGCATGCAGTTGCAGATCGATCATTTTTTTTTTGATCCCTTCTAGTTACTCTGTAAGTCACTCAATTGGGCTGGGAGTGGAGTCAAGTCTTAACCATTGTGCATTATTAGCATTCAATTTTCAATGTGCATATCATTCTACTCTTCATTGTAAGAATGCATCTTAATCAGGGAATAATAATGAACATATTTCCTTTTATAATTGTAACAAAATTATACCAAGATATACATATAGCATTTGGATATTGATTTGTTTTTTTGCATAAGAATACTTTGGCATTAGTAGAAGTAGTAGCAGTAATAGTAGTAGTAGTATAAACAATAACACCACCTCCATCATCATCATCATCATTATCATTATTATCATCACAAAAAACACCATTATGATTCATCAGAGGAAGAAAGTAGGAAGAAAGCACAAGAACAAAGGTTCATATCCAAGTTGATGTACTAGTGGCTCTTGGGAAGGCATTGTTCTTCAATCACCCAGTCCCTTGGATAGGATTTGGAGCAGTGGGTTCACGAGTTCCTCATTTACGAGCTTCTATTTGCTTTTAGATGACTTACCAGTCATCAGCATTTCTGTGTTAAAGTATGACTAAACTTTTTTATGATTAACTGTATAATTTCAGATTTGCCAGCAGTTGCAAGTGCAGCCCACTTAGACAGTCATCCAGCAGCAAGCGAAGTTGCCAATAGAACTCAGTCATTTAAGCTGAAATGCATTGCTTTTGGATAGTAAGTATGTTTTAAGGTTAACCCTCTATTCCCTCTCTCTCTCTCTATCTATCTTTTCTTTTTGCATTGATTTAGATTAAGAGAAATTTCTCCTGTCCTAAAATTTTCCTGTCCTAAATTTTTCCAACTTAACTTTTCCATAATGGAGATATATTTTTATGCCTCCGTTACGAAGTAGCCGGAGGCATTATGTTTTCAGGTTGTCCGTCCGTCCGTCCGTACGTCCCGTTCTCGTGATCGCGTTATCTGAAGAACCGATTGATGGATTCCTGCCAAACTTTGGTCATGTATGTATCTTGCAGAGCCGATGAACTGATTAGATTTTGGGGTCACGAGGTCAAAGGTCAAAGATCACAGGGCTCATTATGTATGCAAAAACAGCTTGTGATCGCGTTATATCAAGAACCAATTGATGGATTCCTGCCAAACATTGGTCATGTATGTATCTTGCAGAGCCGATGAACTGAATAGATTTTGGGGTCAGGAGGTCAAAGGTCAAAGGTCACAGGGCTCATTATGTATGCAAAAACAGCTTGTGATCGCGTTATCTCGAGAACCGATTGATGGATTCCTGCCAAACTTTGGTCATGTATGTATCTTGCAGAGCCGATGAACTGATCAGATTTTGGGGTCACGAGGTCAAATGTCAAAAGTCACAGGGCTTATTATGTATGCAAAAACAGCTCGTGATCGCGTTATCTCAAGAACCAATTGATGGATTCCTGCCAAACTTAGGTCATGTATGTTACTTGCAGAGCCGATGAACTGATTAGATTTTGGGGTCTTGGTCAAGGTCAAAGGTCTTGCGGCTCATGTATGCAAAAAAATAGCTTGTGATCGCATTATCATTAGAACAGATTGATGGATTCCTACCAAACTTAGATCATGTATGTATCTTGCAGAGCCAATGAACTGAGTAGATTCTTGGGTCATGAGGTCAAAGGTCAAATGTCATGGGCTCATTATGTATGCAAAAATAGCTTGTGAACGCATTCTCATTAGAACTGACAGATGGATTACTATTTAACTCAGGACATCTTGCAGAGCCAATGAACTGAGTACATTTTAGGGTCATGAGGTCAAAGATCAAAGGGTCATAAATGTATATGAGAAATTGCTTTTTGGTTTGTAAACTTGCTCTATGACGGAGGCATCATTTTCGACTGCGCGCAGTCGAAGTTCCATCTAGTTTCCTTACTTTTCTTGCATATACCTGTATCTTCTTTTTGAAAAATATTTGTACAAATTCTTTAAAAGATCCAACTGTAATGGCTTTAAAAAATATTGTGTAGGGCATAACATGGTCAAAGACCATTTTTGTAATGTAATCAAATTTAAAGCACAAATCTTTCATTTTACAAATTCTTGAATTCACCTGTTTGTAGTAATTGTATTTAAATAGTCGGCATGCAAATTGCACACATTACGTGTTGTTAGGTAGGACAAGCCATAATGTTTGTCCTACCTAGCAACAATTAATGTATGCAATTCGCACTCCCATTATTGAAATACAATTAATCAAAACAGGTGAATTAAATAATTTGTAACAAGGCACTATTAACAAAGATTTTTGAATTAAATTTGATTACATAACAAAAATGGCCTATTGCATGAAAATATCTCTCTCTTTTCCTCTCTCTTTCTCCCTTTCTCCCTTTTCCCCTTTCTCCAGCCCAACCCCTGTAATCACATGGAAGAGAGGAGAGGAGCAGCTACAGTCTGGAGGACGAGTATCTATTGAAGAATCCGGGCAGGCGCTGGTCATCTCCGCTGTCGAGAACAGTGACGAGGGAACATATACATGTGTTGCATCAAACACGGGAGGGGATGATGAATTCAGCACAGTAGTTACTGTGGAATGTAAGTTGCAAGTCAAATAATGATGTATATGGAGAGAAAAAAAATTAATGCCTGCAAATGCTTAGTTTTATACTATATCCTGATATTAGTAACAACATCTGTGCTTATATAAAGTCTTACTCTGTCCAATGAATAAGGTACAATGTTAAGTAGTTGTGTATTGAGACCTTTTGTAGTAGTCCATTTCATTTCCTTCTACTATGCTATAAATTGAACCAATTGTTAATGTGGTGTACATGGGATATATATAATTTTGTAGGCTATTGACCTTCAGGAAATAAGTATACAAGGATATCATAAAAACCATGTATTTAAGTGTATGTCTCTCTTTTATAAAACAAATGAAAAGACTGATGTCATAGTGATACATTTAACCCATTGCTTACGGGAACCTGGTGGTCCCTGTGAAAAGCCTATGGGAATAAGATAATTCAGTAGTAAACGGGTTAACAGGACCACTTTGTTACTTTTCTCTCCCTTTTTGTGTATTTAGCTGCGCCATATTTCCCAGCCCCACCCTTTGATGAAACCAAGGGACCTGGTGAATCATTTGACATTGAATGCCGTTCTGAGGGTGTTCCACCGCCCACTGTTGAATGGCTTGTTAACGGACAACCTTGGGCTGATTTTGAATGTAAAAGCAGCTATAGGACATTTTCATTTCAGTGTGGATCCAAGAGGACTTCCTCTGTTCTAGCTGCTGCTTTATTTATCATTAATGTAAAAAGATCAGTTTGTCTGCTCAGATACAGAAGGGCATTATTCTGTATAAAAGTGTATGAGTTAACACCCTCCAAAGAGAATTGAAAGTTGAAAATAGACTGAAGTTAAAATAATAAGTAAAGGTAGCAAAGTACCAGTAGTACTGGTACTACAGGGGAACAGACCTGTTAGTAGAATTAGCAGTAATAGTACAACTTGTAGAAGTTGCGTAGTAGGATGACAATGTGAAAGTGAAGTCAACTAATGTGTTTTTTTAATAAATTTTAATAAAAGCTCATTTACAGTTTTGATAGCAGAACGAGTGAAATGTGTTACACGTAGTCTATATCTTCTCAATGTATCAAAAGTGATATGTCAGATTTTTATTTGATATTCCATCCATTATTTGTAGTAAACTTCAATATATATCTTCAAAAGGAATGCTATATCACAGCTAAATACTACCCTACACTAAGACCCTACCAACCTGATGGCTGCCTACACAACAATCTCTGCATTTCATGTGAAGATGGCATGTGGCAGACACACAATCATCATAATTGCCTACCGTAGTTCTTATTAGTTGAATATTTCTCTTGAGGAAAAACTTGATAGAAGCATAGTATTACAAGTATCTTGTTAATTGTCATCTGAAATCAAAGAAATCTTACGAAATTTTTCTGAAGCCTTACCAAAACTGTACAAATAAGACCTTTAAATCTGAACTTTGGGTTGTTTAGAAATATTTTCTTTCTACTTTCACAGCCAACATAGATACAGAAAGATGGACTGTGGTGACTGGAGACCCTCAGTTAGCAACCATAGCTATCACAAACCTACAGACAACAGACAGCAATGTGTTCCAGTGTATAGCTACCAACAAGTACAAAGAGGAACTCACCAGTGTTGTACTCAATGTAGTCTGTGAGTATACATTTGTACCTTGGTCACTTTGAAATCTGCCCCAAATTCTTTACAAGAATATATTGCAAGTTTTCACAAGGCATGTCTAAGACTTCACCTGAGTGATTTCAGATGAATCAATCACTCAGTTATTTCAATGTGTCTCTGGCCTTTTAGGCAATTCTATTTGATGGTCCATGATGTAAGAAATTTGTTGATTTGGTATAAACTAGATTTGCACCAGCTGCTATTGAGCTGTATTCACTTATTTTTATTGAGAGAGAGAGATATACAAATCTTGAGAGTCTACTAAATGGCTCGATTGCTCAGTGGTGAAGCAGTGGTCTCATAACCGAGAGGTCCTAGTTCAATCCAAGTCGATGCGCTTGTGCCCTTTGGTAGGCTATTGATCAGGCGCGTAGCCAGGGGGGGGCGGTGGGGGCGGTCGCCCCCCCAAAACGCCGGCCAAAAAAAAAAAAAAAGAGAGAGAAAGAGAAGAAAAAAAGAAAGAGGACGTAGGAAGAAAAAGGGAAAAGGAGTCGAGAACGGTATAATGAATCGTCAAAGCTTCCGCGCTTCGCGCGGGAAGGGGGAAACTGAGTTCAAATTAAGAAATATGAGTCGGGAAAGGTACAACGAATCGTCTTCTTTCTCTAATAATTTAATGAAACGTCAAAGCTTCGCGCGAGAGGGGGGGGGGAACAGAATTCAGACAAGGATTAAGAGTCGAGAAAGGTACAAAGAATCGCCTTCTTTCTCTAATAATTTAAAGAAACGTCAAAGCTTCCCGTGAGAGAGGGGAGGGACTGAATACAGATAAGGATTAAGAGTCGAGAGAGGTACAACGAATCGTCTTCTTTCTCTAATAATTTAATGAAACGTCAAAGCTTCGCGCGAGAGAGGGGAGGGACTGAATTCAGACAAGGATTATGAGTCGAGAAAGGTACAACGAATCGTCTTCTTTTAAAGCTTCCGCGCTTCGCGCACCGCCCCCCCTAAAATGAAATCCTGGCTACGCGCTTGCTATTGATCCTCTTAAAGCTGTTGTTCCCCAGGCTACTTACAAGCATATATTTTCAGCCTTGCACTCTTATTTTTGGTTATTTGATAAGATTGTGATGGTGCTGTCATGAAGAGACACAACAGGAAAAGTGAGTAATTTTAATAAATAGGGAGTCAAGTGATAGTGTATTGTGTATTGTTATCTCTGACATGACCTTGCTGTCTCTCCCTTCATTATGTTTGTAGATTTCCCTGCTAGGATAACTAGTTACACGCCTCTGACGAGAAGACTAAGTGTTGTAGAGGATGACTCTGCCAAGTTCATCTGCCATTTTAAAGGAAGACCTACTCCAACCATAACATGGACCTTCAAGGGATCAGTGGTAAGCAGGCTGCTGAACATTCTTAACACTTCTGTTGCCTTTTTCGCATCCCTGCACACTGCATTCATATCAGTTATCAGCATAAAGAACGAGAGCATTCATGTTTGCATTGATGCTAGATTTGTGAAAAGGAAATGTGACCTTTCTCTGTTTTTGTTCATGTGGATTTTGTAGTGGCTCTTAAGTATATAATCTTCACTCAGATGAGTGTGAAAATATTCAATTCTAATGAAAATCAGTCCCTATGAAGATGAAGCACTCTCAGCTGTACTGTCGCAGTACCAATTATAATATAAATATAATATTGACCCAGATGAGTGTGACTATATTCAATCTAATTCAGTCTAATAAAATGTCAACAGAGGGTCAATATTATATATACTCTATGGTGACAGAGCACCGGCATGTGGAGGCCCTAAACTTTGGAACGGTATTTCAGTATCGCTACATTGCACTTCATCACATTTTTAAAAGCCCTTAAAATATATCTTTTTGGTAAGGGTTACTGTGAATTGTTAATTGCACTTTGTAAAGTGCGTTGTGAGGGCCTATGGTCCTGAAATGTGCTAGAGAACTTATAATGATTATTAGTTCTGTTTAGTTCTTTGACACTCCCTTTTTTGCCCCTGTTATGAACTATAGTTGACCAATGGGATCAAATACACCCTCAATGAAACTGAGGGAAGCGTAGTGATCAACAATGTCAAGAAAGTGGATAGCGGCGAATATGAATGCAGAGCAGAAAACGCTATTGATGGAGAAGATTATGAGGCAACAGGTAGTGCTACCCTGACAGTGCTAGGTGAGAGGTTTTTTTTATAATTTTCATTTTTGTTGGCTTTATTTTAGTTTCAAATTATAATCCCTTCTCTTGTTCCTCTTGCATAGGGTTGCAAATACCACTTTTTTATAGTTCTGCCAAAACATTAATTTAAATTTTCTGTTGAATACAAAAGTAGCAACATATGCAGACACTCGCTTGTGTCAAATTGCTATATACTCCTACAAAAGCAATGTTTGGTCAAGTGTTTGCAAGATTTTAAAATGTATCATATTTGCCCCAATCTACTAATGTTTACTTCAATAGGTCATGTAACCCATTCTAAACAAGACTTGAAAAATATTATGCTGATCTGTGCATTGCAAAATGAAGTTGATAAAGAGAGATGATATTCATTGTGAATGTGTGATCTCTCCCTCCCATTCCTCCTATGACCACTGAACAGGCAAGACGACAATTTACCTTTCTCCTGCTAATTTGATGATTCGAGAGGGCAATACAGCCACTTTCCAGTGTGAAATAATGTATGACGAGGAGCTGATTGAACCCTATGTCTACTGGATGAAAGATGGTCAGAGACTCGAGGCTAATCAGGTAAATATGCATACACTAGACATTTCAATAGGTCTTCATTGGTCTTTGAAAAGTAGGATATTAGTTTGTTTATCTGCCACTGTGGGCACCCTTAATCGTGCTTGCACGCCTGTTCAACCCTAGCTGCCCCTCCTGTTTGTGGTTGTTATATAGTCCTGCCCATCGTTTATTAGCTGTAGCTCTCATTACCACTTGTAACTTTAACTGCCTGCACATGTCCAAGTCATTTACCACAATAAATCAATGTATCTACCTATTATTTGCTAGACACATTTGTGCGCTCCGACATGCGAGACAGGTTCTGCATAAGGCTTGCAGAGCCCCTCTCGCACGATTCAATCCATATCCGTCCGCCAGCCTTATCCGCCCTTTTTCGGCAGCGTATCTCGGCCGAGATACAGTTGCTGCTGGAGAAGGGCGCCATAGAGAGGGTGAGAGGCCATCCACTTCTGTGTCTCTCCCCAGGCGCGGATCCACGGGCCTATTTCTTCCGGCCCGGCTATGGCAAGCCCTTTGTGTAAAAACTAGATAAACTCAGATTTTTCTCAGATAAACTATGTTTTTCTCAGATAAACTCTGTTTTTCTCAGATAAACTCTGTTTTTCTCAGATAAACTCAGTTTATCAACAGATAAACACAGTTTATCAGAAAAACTCAGTTTATCAGTTGATAAACCCAGTTTATCAAGAAAAACTCAGTTTATCAACAGATAAACAGAGTTTATCAGATAAACAGAGTTTATCAGTTGATAAACTCAGTTTATCAGAAAAACTCAGTTCATCAGTTGATAAACTGAGTTTATCATTGATAAACACAGTTTTTCTGATAAACTGAGTTTATCTAGTTTTTACACAAAGGGGTTGCCATAGCCGGGCCGGAAGAATTAGGCCCGTGGATCCGTGCCTGTCTCTCCCCGATTTTTGTGATCCCCAAGCGCTCTGGGAAGTTGCACATGATATTGAAAATAAAAATGATCAATACTTTCATCCCCCAGTACATTTTTGGATGGAGACCTTGGTCTCCAACTTGCCCATGATTGAGCGGACGGACTGGGCCGTCTCCCTTGATCTGAAGGATGCATACTTTTATGTCCCGATTCATCCCCGTATGCTGGATCTCCTGGGTTTCGCCTTCGAGGGCGAGACCTTCATGTTTTGTGCCCTTCCGTTCCATCTCAGACTGGCCCCTCGCGTTTTCACCCGTGTGGTGGCAGCTCTGGCCGGTTTTCTGAGGAATCGCGGCCTTCGCCTCTTTGTCTATTTAGACAACTGGCTCTTGCTTGCAATTTCAGAGGCGGTTCTCCGGGTTCAGTTCGCCTGTTACTCCAGACCACTCAGGAGCTTGGTTTCCTGGTCAACTGGGAGAAGTCAGAGCTAGCTCCCACTCGTTCCCCAGTGTACTTGGGTGCGGAGATAGACATCCCGAACCAGGTCCCTCGGCCCAGCCATTTTGGTTGAGGTAATTCTGGACTGCAGACTTCTTATCAGGCCCTTTCAGAGGCACCTGCTGAAGTTTTTTACACCTACCATCGATTCCCTCAATGTGTGGATTTCACTAGCAAGGAAAATCGTACGTCTGCTCGACCCCTGGGCGAACGTTTGTTTCAGGTGCAGGACAAGCCTCTGAGTACCCCTCTTCCATCGGTGTCTCTTGCATCGGCTGCATCACTTCTGGGTCGGAGGGAGGGGGGGGGGGCATTGCAAGGGCGAGATGGTTTCGGTCCCATTTGTGCACCATTCCCCACATCAATGTTCTGGAGCTTCAGACGGGCTTGTGTGGGGCGTTCTGTGCTGGTCCTCGTGGACAACACTACGATGGCGGGTTATATCAATTGGCAGGGCTGGACACGGTCAACGTCGCTGAATGCTCTTGCCAGCCCAGCTGTGGAGCAGGTGTCGGGCCAACAACATTGTCCTGATGGCCCGGGGGAGGACAACCTGATAGCAGACTCTCTCTCGGGGCAAGTGTCTTCCCTCGGAGTGGTCGCTGAATCTAGAGGTGTTCGACCAGCTCAGGGTGGCTTGGGATCCTCTAGAGATCGATCTGTTTGCCACCACTATCAACCACCGTCTTCCGCGGTATTGTTCGCGGGTTCAGGATCGGGAGGCCTGGGCACTGGATGCCTTCTCCCTCCATCGGGGGCACTTCTGGGGCTACGCTCCCCCCCCCCTTTCCTCTGATCCCTCGGGTCCTGAAGAAGATCAAGGAGGATCAGGCATGGGTCCTTCTGGTAGCTCCATGTTGGCCGACGAGGCCGTGGTTTCCTCTTCTTCTGGACGGGTCGCCCTTTCCTTTCCCACTGGGGCCGGACTTGGTGTGCCAGCCTCTGTTGGGATTTGTCCCACGGTGCTCTCTCTGACCGCCTGACCGTTGTTGGAGAGGATGCTAGGGCTTCGGGATTCTCTGAGAGAGCTTCCCAGTTTATAGTCCATAGTCGTAGGTGGTTACCGTTCGGCCATCGCCGCCATTAATGTCGGGTTTCCGGACGGTTCAGGGTTGTCTAACTTGCATTTCTTGTCCAAGCTACTGCGTTCCTTTTTTCTGCAACAGCCAGCTAAACAGATGCTGGCCCCGGCTTGGAGCCTACCATATGTTTTGGAGGTTTAGCAAAGCCTCCTTTTGAGCCTTTGTCTATTAAGGCGTCACTTATTCATTTGACGGTGAAAACTGTGTTCCTTATGGCAATAGTTTCTGGACAGCGAAGGAGTACGCTTCATGCTCTGTCTACCTCCCCTGTCCACATCAGGTGGGAGAGACGGTGGTTCGGTTGGTCCGACGGCCTTCCTTCAATGCCAAAAATCAGTCAGCGTCCTCTGGGCCAGTGGAGGTTTTCCTCAGTCCTCTTTCGGAATTCTCCTCGGTCGCGGAGGACAAGGTCTGGTGCCCAGTGAGGGTACTTAAGTGGTATTTAGATAAAACCAAGGGTCATCGAAAGGATGAACAATTATTGCTCATCTCTCGATTGCCCTTTTCTCCTGCTTCTCGAGAGTCCATCTCGAGATGGATAGTGGAAGCTATTCAGGCGGCTGGACCTGAGGCCCTCCTCCCAGAGGGCAAGACCAGGGCCTACGATACCAGAAGTATCAGCACTTCCTGGGCGTTGTTCCAGGGAGGGAGTTTGACCGGCATTTTGAAGGCCGCCTTTTGGCGGTCTCTGGATTCATTTACGTTGTTTTATCTTAGGGACGTCCCTTCTGGGGAGGTTTTGTTTGCAACCCTAAGGGTGGCTACGTCTGCCATTGTTCCCCAGTAATCTCCTTCTTGTTTGGGACATGCATTCCGGTCCTTTCTGTGCTGGTCTATATAGCAAATAATAGGTAGATACATTGATTTATTGTGGTAAATCAGAAAAATCAGAACTGATTTTATTATATACTATATAAATTTATGTATCTACCTATGTCCCTCCCTCTGTCCCCTCTCCCTCCTTCCCCTCTCCTTGCCTGGCAACATGTCTGAAGCGTTGTCTCTGGCGGCTCGTGAAAGAGGATGAATGGTGGACGTGTGTTGCGCACGTGAACCCTGGGAAGGTGATGTATTTGGGATGGGGCATGCGCGAATGTGACGTTTTAAATTCTCCATGGTGGCATAGTTTAGATAAACTAGCAAATAATAGGTAGATACATAGAATTATATATTAAATAATAAAATCAGTTCTGATTTTTCTGATTGACTACCTTGTCAAAAAGCTCAGAGTCCAGCATGTCCCTGTCTGACAGCAAATGAAACAGTCAACCAAATGATAGGAACATGCGTGCCCCCCATTCATCAAGACCACATTAATTTGCACTCAACACCTACATGTACTACAATCAGTTCCTCCCAATTCCGTGGCCAAAGTCACCACAAATATCATCCTCCTTGGAGTCAATGATGAACCACCCATTACTGCCCAGACCATGGGTTACCGTGCCGCATTCCTAAAATTTATCCTGGAAATGCACTTAAAACGATCTTCAGTGAACAAAGCAGCTTCTGCATAAGCTGTCATTAGCACATCTGGTAAAGATTTAACATTTATGTACCCCTATTATATTGTCTGCCTATTTTCCACTAAATCACTCTGGGAAGGAAACAACTCTAAACCAGGATGAAATCAAGAAGAAAAAGATGTCTTTCTCTCATTTTGGTTGATTTTTCATTATTGTTTGTGTTAATACTTGTCAGAGAAAGGAAATGATTATTATCCATCTGAGGGTTTAAATCTAAAACCAAGAGTTGCTTGTTTACTGTAGATGTATTAAGTCTTACTCTTCATCACTGTTTGTTGGTAGAGTGATAACTGTTTAGTACCTTTGGGCTGTTTTTATGTACTTTATTCTTCCAAAGTTGTTTAAGAAATTGTTGGGTTTAAAAAAATGCACTATTATTGCATACACAGATTTTTTTTAACAAAATGCTCTGCTCAATGTTTTTTCGGTTAATTTATTATAGAGATTATATATAGTTATAAAAATATTTAGTATTGCTCATTTTTAAAAGCCTGAATAGCCTTTCGGATTAAAGAAATGAAAAAGTTCAATGAAATTGCATTACGGTACTAAAATTTGTTCTTTTTCTTTCCTCGATATAGGGCAACTCCCTGAGAATAGCGAATGCCCATTTTACTCATTCAGGAACCTATACATGTGTTTTGGAAGCAACCATTGATGAGAGTGCAGCCACAGTTCATTCAGTGAATGCCTCTGCTCAACTCATTGTAAAAGGTACGACTTAGAAAATGACATCTACAGTGACATCTTAGGTCCCTTTTTTGCTTGTACCACCAACAGCTGTTGAACTGATTCACAAGATGACCATGTAGCAAATGGAAATAAATCTTCTGAATCATGCCTCAAAACTAATAACCATTTCAGTAAATGTGTAAATACTGACTTCATTGGCACAGCCAGCATTTTGAATGTTTTTAACAGAAATATGGCACTATACAATTCCAAGAATCATCAGCAATTCTGAAGTGTATTACTAACACCACTTGTGCTAAGAAGCCTTTATTTGATTCATTTTTTGATAAATTATATCATTCAACACAGTATATGACATGGCTGAGTTATTAAAAAAAATTCAGGCCTTATCTATATATCGTTTTCAATTTCATATTTATACAGTATTTTGTGAAGATAAAAAAGTTAATGAGAAGCTTTATTTAACATTTGATGCATTGGGCTTCTCCCAGGTCGGCCTGAATCTCCTCAGATTCTGATGCTTCGAGCCAAGCAACAGGAGTTTGCAATGGACCTTTTCTGGGAGCCTGGCAATGATAACAATGCTCCTATCCAATATTACATCGTCCAGTACGACACCAAGTGGGCAGATATGCACTGGCAATTCCAAGCAGTAAGTTTGCGTTGAAATCATTGGACAGACATGCCACTGTTGAGGGTCGTATTTCTAAAATCCACCACGCACTACATGATGGTCCTGTGATTCGATTTTTGAAGAAATTGCAATTTTGTACTTGATAGAAAATCTAAACAAACATCATCTTCTTTATTTATTATCTCAATAAAGATGAGAGTACTACCAACCAGAATGTTAGTGCATTGAACTCTTCTAGTCAAATAAAAGCTGAATGCATGGCTTCAAATCGTTGACAATGGGCACTACTGAACTGACGTCACCACAATTCTGAACCATGAAATCCCTTGAAATTTACATTTCATTAATCAAATGAATGTTCAGAACCTCTGTCCTTAAGATTTTACATGTTTCAATGTTCATATCAAATGCTCTCACAATTGAATATAAAATAAATTGCCGCCGCTGACATACAAGGCTGTCAGGGCATTGAGCGAGCCGATGAGTTATCGATCCCCATCCAAATTCAGCCTATAGTGCAAGTGCTACCATTCCTTAGTGCGACTACTCTCGCTGGAATGGAGTGAGTAGATCAGCATTAATAATGACCATTGTTGTGTGTCGCGCACGCACTCCTGGTCTTTATAGAGTTGAAGTTTGCAAGAGCACAAAAGTAAGAAAAGGATTGCAATGTACATAATAATAATTTTATAAGCATGTCAATATTTCAAATTACAAATGCATAATTTGCATTTGCATACAAATGCATAAGCAGGAATTTATGGGGACTTATTAATGTGATAGAAACCTGATAACACAAAACTGGGTTTCAGCTCGATGGTCGGGGACCAGTTTCAATTCAGGACTAATTTCTGTTGTGATTTTGAATTCAGTTATTAATTTGTATTTATCTCTCTCTCTCTCTCTTTCTCTCTAGAATGAGACATCAGGTGGCCTTGCAATCTATCGCAAAGTGCTTTACCTGCAGCCGTTCGTGGACTATCGGTTCCGTGTCATTGCTGTGAACGAGATTGGGGAGTCTGAACCAAGTGCGGAGGTAGCCCCAACATTCAATCCTCAAGTTGCCCCACCCTCTGTAAACCCAAGCGGAGTCAGCGGAAGTAGCACTAGACCCGAATCGATGGTCATAAGATGGCAGGTAGGACCTCAAGAGATGATGAGATTATTAGGTTGTTATTCTTAACATCTCTACTGACTATTTGGCAGTCTTTAATATAATGATCAAGGTATTTAATATATAGATATATATATATATATAGAAATCAAGAATGTACAGGTGTTTGATTTATTTTATTTTAATCTCCTATTTTTAATAAAAAATACAATTATTTTGTATAACTGTCGTAGTTAAATATACGGTAAACAATAATTGCATATTCATGTGTATTTGTTGGTTCTAGACAATAAATAGTAACATTGCTTTTATAGGCCTGGTATCCACCAGCTCAGGCGCTCATGGCACTTGCTCCAAAACATGATATGTATAGTACCTTAACTTTGTAGATGCACTGCTTGTGGTATAAACAGTTAAAACAACCATAAAATAGCCCAAGAAATACTCATTGGCAGTGTTCATTCAGTAGTCGCATTACATTAGAATTAGCTAGTTTTTCAACTAAAGAGATGCGTTTCGAGTGATATTTGAGTATAACTTGATGGTTACTTGACTTCATGTTTTCAGGCAATTCACCCCTTCTACTACGGTGGGGATGATTTCCACTACGAGGTTGCATACAGACCCAGGATTTCAAGTGAACCATTCACAAAGGATACAGTATACCCAGAAAACACTGATGATAATCCTACTGGAATCATCCAGAATTACATCGTAGATGCTAGCAAACTTTGCGAGGAGTTTGAGTTCTCTGTACGATCAGTGAATAGTGGGGGACCAGGACCTGAACCAGAGATTCATTATGGGTTCCCTGGAGAAGCTTGTAAGATGCACTCTTCATTCATGCATTAGTGCCACTTTATTTTTTAAATATTTTTTGTTGTTGTTAAATCCATAATTGCAGTCATACAACTGAATTGATATGGATAACAATCGTGTGATTAAAAAGAAATGTACACAAATTAAACACAAATGAGATACAAAAAAACAAATTTACGATCCTTGTAAGATTTGTTGAATCTACTTATAGATATAGGATTCATTAATGTATAAGGTATAACCTACCTCACAGGGTCCTAAGCTTTGCAGTAAATGCCTGCACAGTTTACCGTCAGGTGTATTGTGATACTGTTGAGGTGCAGTGCAGATGTGTGTACATTAATGTCTGATAAAAGGTACAGTAATTGATCAAGTGCGAGTAAAAACAACTACCGTTTTAGCGGAGCCTGGTCTTTTGTACCTCTTGCTTGAAGCTGTAAACAGAGGTACAATTAATGGTGTTCTGAGGGAGAGAGTTCTAGAGTCTTATTACATCCGGGAAGAAGCACCTCTGGTGGACCAGAGTTCTGGCAAACAGAACTATGATCTTCTTGGAATGCCCTCTATGCAGGGATTTAGATGGAGTGAGGAAAGTGTGTGGGATATGTCTATCAGCAAGTTAGTGATGTGATATAATCTTGGCCACTTGAGCTGATTCAGCATGGCTGCTACGCTGCTTGTCCTGCGGTAGACATTGTAATTAAAGCCGAAATAACGGGTTTAACCATTTCAAACTTCTTGATGTTTGCTTGCGTGAAAACGCTCATCATATTTTTGTCATAATGCTCAACCCTGCTTGAAAGATATACATGAAGCCATAAAGAAGTAGCCATAAAGAACAATAGATGTCATGTTTATACAGTATTTTGGTGTGAAAAAAAATAACATTGATGAGAAGCTTTATTTAACATTTGATGCATTGTGCTTTTCCCAGGTCGGCCTGAATCTCCTCAGATTCTGATGCTTCGAGCCAAGCAACAGGAGTTTGCAATGGACCTTTTCTGGGAGCCTGGCAATGACAACAATGCTCCTATCCAATATTACATCATCCAGTACGACACCAAGTGGGCAGATATGCACTGGCAATTCCAAGCTGTAAGTTTGCATTGAAATCATGGGACAGACTTGCCACTGTTGAGGGTCGGATATATTTCTAAAGTCTACCGCACACTACATGATTGTCCTGTGATCCGATTTTTGAGGAAATTGCAATTTTGTATTATATAGGAAATCTAAATAGACATCATCTTCTTTATTTAGTATGTAAATAATGATAAGAGTACTAACAACCAATGGGGGCAAATTGTTTGGTATATTATTCAAATATACAATGACACTCGAGGATCTAGCTGAAACTATTTGCATCGAAGGAACGTCAGTTAGTGCTATTTTCTCGAGGGCCATCAGCCAGAGGGAGAATAGTACTAATGATGTTCCTGAGTGCGAATAGTTTTAGCTTGTTCCGAGAATGACCCATTTTATATTTGTTTTATATCCCTTCAATCTGTTCATTCCTTGTACACTTCTGTAACATGTACCATATACTCACATTTACATCTCACATTCAGAAAAGAAATAAAATAAAAATTGCACGGCTCAAATAAAATATTGAAGGGTGGATTAAGCTGGCCCACGCCGCCTATACTGTAGTGCAGTTATTGCACAAGTGCAAGCATGGCTTGCACTTGAGCGCCGACGCGTGAGACTGCGCGAGTTGGCCGTGCGCAGGCATTTGAAATGGGGGGTTTGGGGGACGCTTGCAAATAGTCCCTTTTTTCCCTAGGGAAAAAAGGTACTATGCGTGACGTCAGCAATAAAAAATGAACTATTCCGATGTAGTCCGATGTAGTAAAACTATTCTTTTTCTTGTTGTGTAAACTTCTAATGCAACAATCAACAACGATAAGGGATATAAATATATATATATATATATATATATCAGTTTTAGAATCTAATCTTAATGTAAGTATACAACAAGATGGAAAATTAAAACATGCATTTTCCTTTTTTTGCCTAAACAACACTAGTAAATATGGCAGATAAATTTAATCCAATATTGAACAGCTCAATCATGAATTCCTAAAAAGATGGAAAGTATTAAATGCTGGCAATTTTTTTTTACATATATATATAGAAATATCAGTTGTGTATTAACGATATATTGTAATGTAAATCTAATTTGAATGTAAGATATTGAAATTTTAAAAATGCGTTTTTTCATTTTTGCTAATAAAATTTTATAAAATGGCTTCAAGAATGTAGCCAATGAGAAGCATCAATTGGATCAAGTTACCGCGCATTATTTGTTACTATTTTCATGGTACCATCTGAATGGGGTGCATTTTGGTGATCACAACCATGGATGATGGTTGCAGGGAGACATCTTATAGCCTTGCTAATTAAGATTGTCAACCCATTTTATAGAACAAATAATACACAGGTTTTCATTCGTGACATTATGGCAATGCAGCGTTATTCAGGTATTCACAATGGCACAGAATACACTCAGCTACACCTCATGAATTTTATTGCAGACCATTGAGGCTACCTCTGCACTTAGTTCAGACTCCCCAATGTCGTTCACAGCAATGACACGGAACCGATAGTTATCAAAACGCCAATTCCTAGGAAATAGGAACAAATTAGGCGGTCGAATGCTGTTTTAAAACTATTTTCAAATAACAAAAAAAGTGTTTAAATAGGGTACATTCACATGAAAATAGGAAATAAATAATAAAAAATAGCAAAAATATATTTTTCCAAAGCCCATTTTTACTAGGGTTCCCAATAAACAGAACACTAAAAAGTAACCTCTTTTGGGAGTGTATTTTAAGTGATTTTAAAGTATAGTACCTTTTGAACTAGATTTAAATGTTATCGACACGTGCCTTCATTTAAACAAAAAAGGTACTCCTGTTCACGTTTTCATCTGACCTAAAAACCACCAGTTTATCACGCGACTGGAGTAACGTGATTCCACTTACCTCTGTAAATCAAGTGTTTATGACCAAATAACCACTTGACCAAGCAACGAGTTTTTTGTCAGTTAACCGATGGTGGCGATAAATACGTAATTATTTGGTCTTGTAAGCACCTTTATTGATTGGTTTCACAGGTTATCCAAAGTTGATGGTAATAATCACGTTACTTACACCGGCTAATCGTCTTATTGGTCTGTCCGTGAATCTCTGGTTATATTCAACTAGTAATTCTGAGGTGTCTTACACACCTCTTTAAAAGGTTTCAAAGTTACCATAAATTTCTTGGTTATGATCACGTGGCTCAAGCTGATAACTAATCTAAGCTGTGAAAACGTGATATGTAGGTGTGAAAATTAGTAATTATTAAGTGTTTTAAAACACCTTTTTAAATGGTAGTCAAAGTTGCCATAAGTTCCGCGGTGATGATCTCGTGACTCAAACGGATTATTGGTCTAAGCTGGTCATACATGACTTTTAGGTGTGAAAAATTAGTCATTATTAGGTGTCTTAAAACACCTATTTAAATGGTTTCAAAGTTACCATAACTTTCTTGGTGATGATCACGTAGTTAAAACTGATTACTAATCTAAGCTGTGAATCCGTGATATTTAGGTGTGAAAAATTAGTAATTATTAGGTGACTTAAAACACCTATTTAAATGGAAGTCAAAGTTGCCATAAGTTCCGCGGTGATGATCGCGTGACTCAAACGGATTATTGATCTAAGCAGGGCATACGTGACTTTTAGGTGTGAAAAATTAGTCATGATTAGGTGTCTTAAAACACCTATTTAAATCGTAGTCAAAGTTGCCAGCAGGTCCGCGGTGATGATCGCGTGACTCAAATGGATTATTAGTATAAGCTGGGTATTCCGTGTTTTCCATGTGTGAAAATGAGTTATTCTTGGGTGTCTTGATGGTTTCACAGTTACCATTTAAGTTCCGTTGTGATAATCCTGTGACTGTTGGCATATTTCTATGTTCACCAGTTGATAACTGACTGTTGGCATATTTTCATTGCACCAGTTGATAACTGGAGTTTGCATATTTCCAGTTGCACCAGTTGATGACTGAGCGTTGGCATATTTCGAGTTGACCCAGCTGACACCAATTTATTTGCATATTGAATATGGGGTGCGTGCAGATCTATGTTTTTTAAAGAATTTATCTGAATTTACAGCATATTTCTTAATTACTGATAATTTAGTTATTTGCAATTCATTTCGAAAATACTACAAATATAAATTACCAGTTATTAGGACATTTCGCTACTTCGTATAAATTACATTTAGTTAAACATGAATAAGGGAAACATTAACTGTGAACTAAAATAATTTCAATAAAGTACAAGTATACGAAAATTTTTCGTAATTATGTAAGTCTACTTATTACCAATGCCCTTACATTGGAAATACAGACGTACCAGTATTGAAGTATTGTTGCTGTTCAACTGGTTGGAAGTTTTACCAAATGGTTCTAATGGCTCAGCTAGACCAGTTGAATTATAACTGGCCTGGATCAACTGGATCATTTAGCCCATTTCAATATCCAGGGTTACCAGTTGGCATTAAATGGTTCATCAACTGGACCAGTTGCAACTAGCTTTCTCTTCTGGGATGTTTGCACCCCCCCCCCCACCCAACCCCCTCTAATCCCAAACTGCTTCCGGCGCGCCTGGACGTAATTATGGAAGATCCAAGACACGATGTTCAGAAACGGGATGAGAACGTCACTATTTTGGTTCATTTATTGTGTAACATTTGCGTAATTATTGGGTTGAACGCGGGTTACAGTAACATCCTTCCTCTTTGACGTAAATTTCACGTGAATGAAGAACATGATTCATCTCAAGTCAGCCTCGTAATATTCACGTGAATTTCACGCAGATATTTTGACTAAAACTATCACTAACGCTTCACGTGTTTCTGTGACGCGATAATTTCGTGTATGAAGATGTAATTTCATAACCAAACAAACACGGGAGTATTAGGTTTACAAACCATGGTCTCCAAGGTAGGGATAATCACGTTATTATAATGGTGATATTGCAGTGACAATTGCGTGATTTAGTGTACGTGTGTTTTAAGTTACCTAATGCAATAAACGTATTAACTCATTTCCGTAAATGTCCGGTGTTTGAAGAACGTAACTCTCCTCAAGTCGATACCTTGATATTGACGTGATTTTCATGTGATTTTGTTTATTGGGTTATCATCATCAGCAGCAGCAGCTGCATCATCATCATCATTGTCAACATCATTATTATCATCATCACCATGTTCCTAATGCCGTTATCACACTTATTGATCATAAATTCTGTTGTGATTTTGAATTCTGTTATTAATTGGTATTTCTCTGTCTGTCTATCTCTCTCTCTTATTCACAGAACGAGACAGCCAGTGGCCTTGCAATCTATCGCAAAGTGCTTTACCTGCAGCCGTTCGTGGACTATCGGTTCCGTGTCATTGCTGTCAACGAGATAGGGGAGTCTGAACCAAGTGCGGAGGTAGCACCAACGGACGATCCTCAAGTTGCCCCACCCTCTAAAAACCCGAGCGGAGTCAGCGGAAGTAGCACTAGACCCGAATCGATGGTCATAAGATGGCAGGTAGGTCCTCAAAAGATGATGAGATTGTAATTTGTTATTCTTAACATTTCTTCTCATTATTTGGCAGTCTCTAGTGATCAAGGTATTTGATTTATGGAAAAAGAAATCAAGAATGTACAGGTGTTTGCTTTATTTTAATTTTATTTCCTATTTTAGATAAAAAAAATACAAATACTTTGTATAACTGTAGTAGTTAAATATACGCTAGACAATGATTGCATATTCATGTGTATTTGTAGGTTCTCGACAATAATAATAACAATGTCTTCTATAGGCCTGGTATCCGCCAGCTCAGGCGCTCAAAATATGATACATATATTACCTGAACTATGTAGATGCATTTCTTGTGGTATATACAGTTGAAACAACATTAAATAGCCCAAGAAATACTCAATTGCAGTGTTCATTCAGGAGTCAGTTTACAACAGAATTAGCTACGGTAGTTTTTCAACTGGAGAGATGTGTCTTGAGCTTTACTTGAGCATAACTTGATGGTTACTGCGTTTTCAGGCAATTCACCCCTTCTACTACGGTGGGGATGATTTCCACTACGAGGTTGCATACAGACCAAGGCTTTCAAGTGAACCATTCACAAAGGCTACAGTAGACCCAGAAAACACTGATGATAATCCTACTGGAATCATCCAGAATTACATCGTAGATGCCAGGAAACCTTGCGAGGAGTTTGAGTTCTCTGTACGATCAATGAATAGTGGGGGACCAGGACCCGAACCAGAGATTCATTATGGGTTCTCTGGAGAAGCTTGTAAGGATGCACTCTTCATTCATTCATTAGTGCCAATTTTATTATTTTAATTTTTTGTTTAAATCCATGATTGCAGTTAAACCACTATTATTGACATGGATTACAATCTTGTGATTACCAGGAAATGTTCACAAATTGAACTTGAATGGGATACAACAAATAAACAATTATTAACTCTGTTTTGTTGACAATCAGCCATGCATAAAGTCTTTCGTATACTGCTGATTGTCAACGAAACGGAGTTAAGTCTTTTGTCAACTCTGTTTGTTGCTACGGCAGCAGCCAGTGAAAAACGAATTCATTTGATAAAATTATGAAAATGGAAGCACTACTTTAAACAAAAAGAACTTTGTCATTCCTTTATCATTTTTCCTGATTGAGGTGTCATATTAAAGGGCAGAAACTCAACTTTTTAGAAATGTGATTTTCTCCTTGAAATTCAGATACCGTCCGCCAAACGACTTTTTGGTTTCCTCTCTTCGAATTCATTTTAATCACTCATGTGTGAAATATGCATTATATGAGTTGCATCAAATGAAAGAGGAGGATCTAAGCTTTCCAAATATGTGTCATTTATCAATTATTATTGTGGTTAAGTTATGATAAAACATCAGTAATTCTCGGTTTCATTTTTTTCTGGGACGCATTGTATATGTTGTTTTCAATGTCATGCAATACAGTATTTTTGTGTGAATAAAAAACAAGTTGGTGAGAAGCTTCATTTAAGATTTGATGCATCAATTGTGCTTCTCCCAGCTCACCCTGATCCTCCTCAGTATTTGCAGCTTCGTGCCAAGCAACAAGAGTTTGCAATAGACCTTTTCTGGGAGCCTGGCAATGACAACAATGCTCCTATCCAATATTACATCATCCAGTACGACACCAAGTGGGCAGATCTGCACTGGCAATTCCAAGCAGTAAGTTCGCATTGAAATCATGGGACAGACTTGCCACTGTTGAGGGTTGTATTTCTAAAGTCCACCGCACACTACATGATGGTCCTGTGATCCGATTTCTGAAGAAATTGCATTTTTTTTATTAGATAGGAAATCTAAATAAACATCATCTATTTTAGTTAGTATCTAAATGATATTTAGATACTATTCCTAAATATTCCTAAATAGATGGAAAGTCTTAAATGCTGGCAATTTTTTTGGCATATAGACTATATATATATATATATATATATATATATATACATATATATAACTAGATATATCAGTTGTGTATTAACGATCTACTGTAATGTAAATCTAATTTGAATGTAAGATATTGAAATTTAAGAAATGCATTTTACATTTTTGCTAATAAAATTGTTAAAATTGGGTTCAAGAATGCAGCCAATGAGAAGCGTCAATTGGATCAATTGACCGTGCATTACTTGTTACTATTTTGAAATATTTTGAAATATATATATATATATAAAACTAGATATATCAGTTGTGTATTAATGATCTACTGTAATGTAAATCTAATTTGAATGTAAGATATTGAAATTTGAGAAATGCATTTTACATTTTTGCTAATAAAATTGTTAAAATTGGGTTCAAGAATGCAGCCAATGAGAAGCGTCAATTGGATCAATTGACCGTGCATTACTTGTTACTATTTTCATGGTACCATCTGCATGGGGTGTATATTGGTGATAACAACCATAAATGGAGGTTGCAGGGAGACATCTTATGGCCTTGCTAATTAAGATTGTTGACCTATTTTACTGAACAAATAATACACAGGTTTTCATTCATGAAGTTATGGCAATGCAGCGCTATTTAGGTATTTACAATGGCACAAAAGACACTCGGCTACACCTCATGAATTTCATTGCAGACCGTTGAGGCTACCTCTGCACTTGGTTCAGACTCCCAATCTCATTCACAGCAATGACACAGAACCGATAGTTATCAAAACACTAATTCCTAGGAAATAGGAACAAAATTGGCGGTCATATGCTATTTTGAACTATTTTAGATTTTTAAAATAGTGTTTAAATAGGGTACATTCACATGAAAATAGGAAATAAATAATAAAAAATAGCAAAATTATATTTTTCCACAGCCCATTTGACGAGGGTCATCATCATCAGCAGCAGCAGCTGCATCATCATCATTGTCAACATCATTATCCTCATCATCACCATGTTCCTAAGGCCGTTATCACACATATTAATTATAAATTCTGTTGTGATTTTTAATTCTGTTATTAATTGTGATCTTTGTCTGTGTCTTTCTTTCTCATATTCACAGAACGAGACAGCCAGTGATGTTTCAACCTACCGCAAAGTGCTTCACCTGCAGCCGTTCGTGGACTATCGGTTCCGTGTCATTGCTGTGAACGAGTTTGGGGAGTCTGAACCAAGTGCGGAGGTAGCACCAACGGTCGATCCTGAAGTTGCCCCACCCTCTATAAACCCGAGCGGAGTCAATGGAAATAGCACCCCCGAATCAATGGTCATAAGATGGCAGGTAGGTCCTCAAAAGATGATGAGATTGTAATTTTTGTATTCTTAACATTTCTACTGACTACTTGGCAGTCTCTATTATTAGTGATCAAGGTATTTGAAATCAAGAATATACAGGTATTTGCTTTATTTTTATTTTTATTTCCTATTTTGAGCAAACAATACAAATACTTTGTATAACTGTAGTAGTTAAAGATAGACAATCATTGCATATTCATGTGTATTTGTTGGTTCTTGACAAACATAATATCAATGTCTTTTATAACCCTGGCATCCATCAGCTCGGGCGCTCATGGCGCTTGCTCCAAAATATGATACATATATCACCTGAACTCTGTAGATGCCATGCTTGTGGTATATACAGTTAAAACAACATTAAATAGCCCAAGAAATACTCATTTGCAGTGTTTATTCAGGAGTCAGTTTACATCAGAATTAGCTAGATTTTCAACTGACGAGATGTGCCTTTAGCGTTACTCAAGTTGAGCATAACTTAAGCATAACTTGATGGTTACTTGAATTCTATGTTTTCAGGCAATTCACCCCTTCTACTACGGTGGGGATGATTTCCACTACGAGGTTGCATACAGACCAAGGCTTTCAAGTGAACCATTCATAAAGGATACAGTATACCCAGAAAACACTGATGATAATCCTACTGGAATCATCCAGAATTACATCGTAGATGCCAGGAAACCTTACGAGGAGTTTGAGTTCTCTGTACGATCAATGAATAGTGGGGGACCAGGACCCGAACCAGAGATTCATTATGGGTTCTCTGGAGAAGGTCGTAAGGATGCACTCTTCATTCATTCATTAGTGCCAATTTTATTATTTTGAATATTTTTTAAAATCCATGATTGCAGTCAAACCACTAAATTGACATGGATTACAATCATGTGATTAAAAGGAAATGTACACAAATTGAGCGCGGATGGGATACGACAGATAAACAATTATTATAAGATTTAAGCATTTTTTAACTACAGTCAAACCTGTGTTATGAACCCCATAACGACCACTTAAAATGCCCCCTTGAATTTCATGTAGATAAGAACTTGTACACAACGACCATCTGTCTAACGCGACCAGCGGCCACTCATTTTGCTTCCGCTGGCCATCAAAAATGCCTACACAACGAACGCTAGCGCCAACTGTACAACGACCAACAACAGCCGTGTAGCGACCAGCCGCAGCGCTTGAGCAATTTCGCTTACAGCTAGGCGATTGTCTGCACAGCGGCAGCCTATAAAGCTAGATCTAACACACAATAAAAAGTATTCAACCCCAAAGCTTTCATTGAAACCTCAATCAAAACATTTAATTACCGTCAGGATATTGTTTCTAAACATTTCATTATGAGCTGTGCCCTATGGAAACATAACAATACAAAGTCATTGTCATGAACTTGTTTGTCATACTAGTAGGCTAGGCTAGGCACCGCCAGCCTAGCCTGCTAGTAATAATAATATTAAAAACGTTACTTATAAAGCGCTAACCACCGAAGTCTTTAAGCGCTATAACAAACAAAATAAACTGAGAAAAAAAATAACATATTAAACGAAACAAAAAAGTGCAAATAAATCTACAAATTACAATACACATCAAAGTGAACAGAGTTAATTAATCATCGAAAGCCATTTGGAATAAATGTGTCTTAAGACTAGTTTTGAATAGGTTAACAGTTTGACAGTTTTTGACATTTAAAGGTAGTCTGTTCCAAAGTTCATCAGAAGCTAGTGGCCTGATGAGTGGGCATGAGTCTGTCAATCCAATTTTCAGGCTCATTTTTTTGTTTTCTTTTAAATAATTTTTTATATGAGTTTTTTTAAATGCCGGACAATTTCAAATTTATGTTCAATCATTTCGTATTTTTATTTTGTTTGAAAACCGTACCACTCTTTGTATATTCAAGTTTTAAACACCAAAAAATAAAATTGGGTCGTTAGATTTATCAATTGGCTCTCTGCCTCGTTTCCGCCCGACTGAGCTCTTATAAAGCTAATTAATTATTTAAAATGGCCGCCAACACAAACCTGTCTAAGACGGCCATATTTGTTTTTCCCTTGGGTGGTTGCTATAGACAGGTTGGACTGTATATACAGCTATTAATTTGTGGAATCTACTTGTGCATAGGATTCTTTAATGTATAAGGTATCACCTACATCACTAGGATCCTGAGCTTAGCAGTAAGTTCCTGTATAGATTCCTTCCCTTCGTATTCTAATTTCAAACCGTTGGGGTAAACGTTTGACAGAGAAATGCCCTTTCTGATCTGTACAAAAAATCCTGGAACACTCCATCATATTTTCTTCATGATGCTCAACCCTGCTCAAAAGGTATACATGGTGTCAAAATGTAATACTGAAGTTTATACACCAAGCCATACAGATAACAGGTCAAGGGCATTTGCAGCCTATTGCGTATTTAAGGGCTATTCTAAAACCAGGGGAACTATATACCCCATAGCATCCTTTTTTCTTTTTTAAAAAGTTTTTTGTTCACCTAGTGAATGCCTCTGCTCAACTCATTGTAAAAGGTACGACTTAGAAAATAACATCTAGTGTGACATCTTAGGTACCGTTTATTGCTTGTCCCATCAAGAGTTGTTGAACTGATTCACAAGATGACCATGTAGCAAATGAATGTAACTCCTCCAAATCACGACTCAAAACTAATAACCATTTCAGGAAATGTTTAAATACTGACTTCATTGGCAGAGCCAGCATTTTAAATGTTTTAAACAGAAAAATGGTACTATACAATTCCAAGAATCATCATCAAATCTGAAGTGGTTATTCAATGTTAAAAGTGTACACCCATGAACCCAGTATCAACACTACCTGTACTTTTCTGTCCCCTCAGCGGATTTTCTAATTGGTATGACTTTTTCATGTAATTCTTTCCTTTCTATTTAAAGCGCATAGGGACATGTTATCCTGTAATGTGTTATGCACTATAAAAGAACTGAGTATTATTATTATTAACACCAAATAACGAGCCCTAGCTTATTTGATAATTTTTTTGATAAACTGTATCATTCAACACAGTAGAAAAAGCTTAATGAAATGACTGGGTTTTAACAATTTTGCAGAGCTATCAATGTATGTTGTTTTCAATGTCATGCTATACAGTATTTTTGTGTGAAGAAAAAAGAAGTTGGTGAGAAGCTTCATTTAAGATTTAAAGCATCAATTGTGCTTCTCCCAGCTCACCCTGATCCTCCTCAGAATCTGCAGCTTCGTGCCAAGGAACAGCAGTTTGCAATGGACCTCTTCTGGGAGCCTGGCAATGACAACAATGCTCCTATCCAATATTACATCATCCAGTACGACACCAAGTGGGCAGATATGCACTGGCAATTCCAAGCAGTAAGTTTGCGTTGAAATCATTGGACAGACATGCCAATGTTGAGGGTCGTATTTCTAAAGTCCACCGCACACAACATGATGGTCTTGTGATCTGATTTCTGAAGAAATTGCAATTTTTTATTAGATTGGAAATCTAAATAAACATCATCTTTTTTAGTTAGTTTCTAAAGAATGATAAGAGTACTAAAAACCAATGGGGGCAAATTGTTTGGTATATATATATATATATATATCAGTTGTGGAAACGATGTAAATGCATGTATAATGTAAATCTAATCTTAATGTAAGTATACAACAAGATGAAAAATTAAAACATGCATTTCCCTTTTTTTCGCTTAAATAACAGTGGTAAAACTGGCAGATAAATGTGAACCAATATTGAACACCTTAATCATGAATTCCCAAATAGATGGAAAGTCTTAAATGCTGGCAATTTTTTTGGCATATAGACTATATATATATATATATATATATATATATAACTAGATATATCGGTTGTGTATTAACGATCTACTTTAATGTAAATCTAATTTGAATGTAAGATATTGAAATTTAAGAAATGCATTTTACATTTTTGCTAATGAAATTGTTAAAATTGGGTTCAAGAATGCACCCAATGAGAAGCATCAATTGGATCAATTGACCGTGCATTACTTGTTACTATTTTCATGGTACCATCTGCATGGTACCATCTGCATGGGGTGCATATTGGTGATAACAACCATAAATGGAGGTTGCAGGGAGACATCTTATGGCCTTGCTAATTAAGATTGTCGACCCATTTTACTGAACAAATAATACACAGGTTTTCATTCATGAAGTTATGGCAATGCAGCGCTAGTTAGGTATTTACAATGGCACAAAAGACACTCGGCTACGCCTCATGAATTTTATTGCAGACCATTGAGGCTACCTCTGCACTTGGTTCAGACTCCCCAATCTCGTTCACAGCAAGGACACGGAACCAATACCGGTAGTTATCAAAACACCAATTCCTAGGAAATAGGAACAAAATAGCAGTCATATGCTTTTTTTAAACCATTTTAAACAGAAGATGGTGTTTAAATAGGGTGCATTCACATGAAAATAGGAAATAAATAATAAAAAATAGCAAAATTATATTTTTCCACAGCCCATTTGACTAGGGTCATCATCATCAGCAGCAGCAGCTGCATCATCATCATTGTCAACATCATTATCATCATCAATATCATCATCATCATCACCATGTTCTCAAAGCCGTTATCATACTTATTGATCATAAATTCTGTTGTGATTTTTAATTCTGTTATTAATTGTGATCTCTGTCTGTGTCTCTCTTTCTCATATTCACAGAACGAGACAGCCAGTGATGTTCCAACCTATCGCAAAGTGCTTTACCTGCAGCCGTTCGTGGACTATCGGTTCCGTGTCATTGCTGTGAACGAGTTTGGGGAGTCTGAACCAAGTGCGGAGGTAGCACCAACGGTCGATCCTGAAGTTGCCCCACCCTCTATAAACCCGAGCGGAGTCAACGGAAGTAGCACTAGACCCGAATCAATGGTCATAAGATGGCAGGTAGGTCCTCAAAAGATGATGAGATTGTAATTTTTTTATTCTTAACATTTCTACTGACTACTTGGCAGTCTCTATTATAGTGATCAAGGTATTTGATATATAGATAGGCAGGTATTTGCTTCATTTTTATTTTTGTATTTCCTATTTTGAACAAACAATACATATACTTTGTATATCTAAAGTAGTTACAGATAGACAATGATTGCATATTCATGTGTATTTGTTGGTTCTTGACAAACATAACATCAATGTCTTTTATTACCCTGGTATCCGCCAGCTCAGGCGCTCATGGCGCTTTCTCCAAAATATGATTATTACATTATTACCTGAACTCTGTAGATGCCATGCTTGTGGTATACTGGTATACAATTAAAACAACATTAAATAGCCCAAGAAATACTCATTGGCAGTGTTCATTCAGTAGTCGCTTTACATCAGAATTAGCTAGTTTTTCAACTAAAGAGATGCATTTTGTGCAATATTTGAGCATAACTTGATGGTTACTTGAATTCTATGTTTTCAGGCAATTCACCCCTTCTACTACAGTGGTGATGGTTTCCACTACGAGGTTGCATACAGACCCAGGCTTTCAAGTGAACCATTCACAAAGGCTACAGTATACCCAGAAAACACTGATGATAATCCTACTGGAATCATCCAGAATTACATCGTAGATGCTAGTAAACCTTGCGAGGAATTTGAGTTCTCTGTACGATCAATGAATAGTGGGGGACCAGGACCCGAACCAGAGATTCATTATGGGTTCTCTGGAGAAGCTTGTAAGGATGCACTCTTCATTCATTCATTTAGTGCCATTTTATTATTTGTATGCCTTTGCTTCAAAGTAGCTGGAGGCATTATGTTTTCGGGTTGTTCGTCTGCACGTCCCATTCTCATGATCGCATTATCTCAAGAACCGGTTGAAGGATTACCACAAACTTGGGTCATGTATGTATCTTGTAGAGCCAATGAACTGAATAGATTTGGGGATCATGAGGTCAAAGGTCACAGGGCTTATTTTGTATGCAAAAATAGCTTAATTGTGATCATGTTATCTCAAGAACCGATTGATGGATTACCGCCAAACTTCGGCTCTGTATGTCTCTTGCAGAGCCAATGAACGGATTAGATTTTGGGGTCATAGGTCAAAGGTCATGGGGCTCATTATGAATGCAAATTAGCTTGTGAACACATTGTCAATAGTATCAACGGATGGATTACTATAAAACTCGGGACATGTATATGTATCTTGCAGAGCCAATAAACTGATCAGATTTTAGTGTCATGAATATGAAAAATAGCTCGTAATCACGATATTTTGAGAATCTGTTAACGGATTACATTTAAAATTGCTTCTCTTATGATTTGTAAAATCACTCTATGGCGGAGGCATCATTTTCGCCTGCGCGCAGTCGAAGATCCATCTAGATAATTTGTTTTGTGTTAAATCCATAATTGCAGTCATACAACTGAATTTAAATGAATTACAAATGTGTGATTAATAAAGAAATGTACACAAGTTGAACACAAATGGGATACAACAAATTAACAATCATTATAAGAAATAAGCATTTTCAAGCTACAGCTATAAATTGTTGCTTACTACTTGTACATAAGATTCATTAATGTATTAGGTATAACCTACCTCACAGAATCCTGAGCTTTGCAGTAAGTGCCTGCATAGATTCCCTCCCTTCATATTCTAATTTTACACCGTTGGGGTAAACGTGTGACGAAGAAATGCTCTTTCTGATCTGCACAAAAAATCCTGGAACACTCCATCATATTTTCTTCATTATGCTCAACCCTGCTCAAAAGATATACATGGTGCCAAAATGGAATACTGAAGTTCATACACCAAGCCATACAGATAGGAGGTCTAGCCTTTTGTAGCCTATTGCGATTTTGAGGGCTATTCTATAACCGGGGGAACTATATACCCCATAGCATCCTTCATTGGCAGAGCCAGCACTTTGAATGTTTTAAACAGAAAAATGGTACTTTACAATTCCAAGAATCATCATCAATTTTAAAGTTGTTATTTAATGTTAAAAGTGTACACCCATGAACTCAGTATCAACACTACCTGTACTTTCTTGCCCCCTCGGCGGATTTTCTAATTGGTATAACTTTTTCTTGTAATTCTTTCCTTTCTATTTAAAGCGCATAGGGACATGCTATCCTGTAATGTGTTATGCACTATAAAAGAACTGAGTATTATTATTATTAACACCAAATGTGCTAACGAGCCCTTATTTGATAATTTTTTTGATAAACTGTATCATTCAACACAGTAGAAAAAGCTTAGTGAAATGACTGAGTTTTAATAATTTTGCAGAGCTATCAATATACGTTGTTTTCAATGTCATGCTATACAGTATTTCTGTGTGAAGAAAAACAAGTTGGTGAGAAGCTTCATTTAAGATTTAAAGCATCAATTGTGCTTCTCCCAGCTCACCCTGGTCCTCCTCAGAATGTGCAGCTTCGTGCCAAGGAACAGGAGTTTGCAATGGACCTTTTCTGGGAGGCTGGCAATGACAACGATGCTCCTATCCAATATTACATCATCCAGTACAACACCAAATGGACAGATATGCACTGGCAATTCCAAGCAGTAAGTTCTCATTGAAATCATGGGACAGACTTGCCACTGTTGAGGGTCATATTTATAAATTCCACTGCACACCACATGATGGTCCTGTGATCTGATATCTGACGAAATTGCAATTTTGTATTAGATAGGAAATCTAAATAAACATCATCTTCTTTATTTAGTATCTAAATAATGATAAGAGTACTAAAAACCAATGGGGGCAAATTGTTTGGTATATATATATATATATATATATATCAGTTGTGGAAACGATGCAAATGCATGTATAATGTAAATCTAATCTGAATGTAAGTATACAACAAGATGAAAAATTATAACATGCATTTTCCTTTTTTCGCTTAACCAACAGTGGTAAAACTGGCAGATAAATGTGAACCAATATTGGACAGCTTAATCATGAATTTCAAAATAGATGGAAAGTCTTAAATGCTGGCAATTTTTTTGGCATATAGACTATATATATATATATATATATCAGTTGTGTATTAACGATCTACTGTAATGTAAATCTAATTTGAATGTAAGATATTGAAATTTAAGAAATGCATTTTTACATTTTTGCTAATAAAATTTTATAAATTGGGTTCAAGAATGCAGCCAATGAGAAGCTTCAATTGGATCAAGTGACCATGCAATATTTGTTACTATTTTCATGGTACCATCTGCATGGGGTGCATTTTGGTGATAACAACCATGGATGAGGGTTGCAGGGAGACATCTTATGGCCTTGCTAATTAAGATTGTCGACCCATTTTACTGAACAAATAATACACAGGTTTTCATTCATGAAGTTATGGCAATGCAGTGCTAGTTAGGTATTTACAATGGCACAAAAGACACTCGGCTACGCCTCATGAATTTTATTGCAGACCATTGAGGCTACCTCTGCACTTGGTTCAGACTCCCCAATCTCGTTCACAGCAAGGACACGGAACCAATACCGGTAGTTATCAAAACACCAATTCCTAGGAAATAGGAACAAAATAGCAGTCATATGCTTTTTTTAAACCATTTTAAACAGAAGATGGTGTTTTAATAGGGTGCATTCACATGAAAATAGGAAATAAATGGTAAAAAATGGTAAAATTATATTTTTCCACAGCCGTTTTGACAAGGGTCATCATCATCAGCAGCAGCAGCAGCTGCATCATCATTGTCAACATCATTATCATCATCATCACCATGTTCCTAATGCCATTATCACACTTATTGATCATAAATTCTGTTGTGATTTCAAATTCTGTTATTAATTGGTGTATCTCTGTCTGTCTCTCTCTCTCTCTCTTATTCACAGAATGAGACATCCGGTGGCTTTGCAATCTATCGCAAAGTGCTTTACCTGCAGCCGTTCGTTGAATATCAGTTCCGTGTCATTGCTGTGAACGAGATTGGGGAGTCTAAACCGAGTGCGGAGGTAGCTCCAACGGTCGATCCTCAAGTTGCCCCACCCTCTATAAACCCGAGCGGAGTCAACGGAAGTAGCACCCCCGAATCGACAATCATAAGATGGCAGGTAGGTCCTCAAAAGATGATGAGATTGTATTTTTTTTCTTGACATTTCTACCGACTATTTGGCAGTCTCTATTTATAATGATCAAGGTATTTAATATATAGATATAGAAATCAAGAATATACAGATATTTACTTTATTTTTCTTTTTATTTCCTATTTTGAACAAACACAAATACTTTGTATAACTGTAGTATATAGTTAATGATAGACAATGATTGCATATTCATGTGTATTTGTTGGTTCTTGACAAACATAATATCAACGTCTTTTATAACCCTGGTATCTGTCAGCTCAGGCGCTCATGGCGCTTTCTCCAAAATATGATATACATATTACCTGAACTGTAGATGCACAGCTTGTGGTATATACAGTTGAAACAACATTAAATAGCCCAAGAAATATTCAGTTGCAGTATTTATCCAGGAGTCAGTTTATATCAAAATTAGCTAGTTTTTCAACTGAAGAGATGTGTCTTTAGCGTTACTTGAGCATAACTTGAGCATAACTTGAATTCTGTGTTTTCAGGCAATTCACCCCTTCTACTACGGTGGGGATGATTTCCACTACGAAGTTGCGTACAGACCCAGGCTTTCAAGTGAACCATTCACAAAGGCTACAGTAGACCCAGAAAACACTGATGATAATCCTACTGGAATCATCCAGAATTACATCGTAGATGCTAGTAAACCTTGCGAGGAGTTTGAGTTCTCTGTACGATCAATGAATAGTGGGGGACCAGGACCCGAACCAGAGGTTCATTATGGGTTCCCTGGAGTAGCCTGTAAGTTGCACTCTTCGTTCATTCATTAGTGTCATTTTATTATTTGTATGCCTCCGCTACAAAGTAGCTTGAGGCATTATAATTTTGGATTGTCCATCTGCATGCAAGTGCGAATCACTTAAAGAGCGCGCATAGCGCGCTCTCTAGGGGGTGGGTGCTGGGAGGGTGGAATTTCCCCCCTCCCGCGCGAAGCACGGAAGCTTTGAAAGAAGACGATTTGTTGTACCTTTCTCGACTCATAATCCTTGTCTGAATTCAGTCCGCCCCTCCTGCGCATAGTACGGAAGCTTTGACGTATTATTAGACAAAGAAGATGATTCGTTGTACCTTTCTTGACCCTTAATCCTTATCTGTATTCAGTCCCCCTCCGCGCAAAACGCGGAAGTTTTGACGTTTCATTAATTTATTAGAGAAAGAAAAAACTGAATTGAAATAATTACAATCGTTTGATTAAAAAGAAATGTACACAAGTTGAACAAAATGGGATACAACAAATTAACGATCATTATAAGATATAAGCATTTTTAAACTACAGCTATAAATTTGTTGAATCTACTTGTTCATAAGATTCATTAATGTATTACGTATATAACCTACCTCACAGAATCCTGAGCTTTGCAGTAAATGCCTGCATAGATTCCCTCCCTTCATATTCTAATTTTACACTGTTGAGGTAAATGTTTGATGGAGAAATGCCCCTTCTGCACGAATAATCCCTGAACACTCCATCATTTTTTTGTCATATTGCTTAACCCTGCTCAAAAGATTTATATGGTGCCAAAGTGGAATACTGAAGTTTATACACCAAGCCATAAAGAATAACAGGTCAGGGACTAAACCCCCGTCACATCCTTCTTTTTTTTCTTTCATTTTTCTTTTGGCTTCTTTTTAGTTTTTATTTAGATTTTCTTAATCATAATTCCTTCTCTTTTTCCTCTTGCATAGGGTTGCAAGTACCCTTTTTTCTACCAAAACAAAAATTTATTTTAATTTTCTGTTGAATACAAAAGAGCATTATCTATAGACAATCACTTGGTCATGTAACCCATCTAAAGAAAAATTGTGATCTCCCCCTCCCATTCCTTCACCAAGATAACAATTGACCTTTCTCCTGCTAATTTTTACAGTAATTTCAAAAGTATTTTTTTCTCAACTTTCCGACAATTTTGTTATTTAATGTCAACATTTATTTTGGCTGCTTTGGTATTTTGATAACTCTGAATTTAAAGATGAAAACAGCTACTATTATCAATGAATTCAATCTCATATGCCATCTTTTTGTCCAGGTTTGGCCTATCCATCACTTCCCAGACCAGGCCATCAACCAAGCCTCTAGGGAGCTTGTCCAACAACATTCTGGTGCCTTCCAACAAGAACGCGCATCCTATCCTACAATTGGTAACAATACTTGTAGACTTCGAGCTATATACTAATCTTTGTACAAGGCATATATTACCATTGTGATGAAAATGTTAAGGCTATACAACAGTTTGATATCAATATATTAAACTTTTGATTTCTTTGAAAATTTTGTTTAGATTGATTGATTGAGTGTGTACTATTAGTCCTTTAATCTTGCCTTCTCAATTACAAGCCATGATCAAGTGCCAATTATGTTATGCTGCTAATTTTCAGTAGTCTTTTCTTTCTGCTGTTATGGTGTAGATTGATTGAATAAAATATTGATCATATTATACATCAATACCATTATGTATGATGTTTATTCTTTTATATGTCATCCAGTTTGATATCAATATATTACCGGTATGTATCTGTCTTAATCCTTTCCTTTGCAGAAAGAAGATGTGTCAAACTTCTTTCGATTTAAATTTATGCTTAAATTTGTAATCAGGACGAGGTGAATTGGATTGTTCTTATTAGGAGTAATACCTCAAATTTTTAATTATCACTGGATTTAGCAAGATTTTGATATTTTGTGTCCAATTGTACCTTGTATGCGTTGCTTGTGTATCATATTGTAAGAAGAAGGTTTACAATGGATCTTTTTTCGGGTTGTCCGTCCGTACGTCCGTCCCGTTTGACCGTTATCACAATATCTCAAGAACCATTCAAGATTTAAACTTAAGACTCGGGAATAGTATTTATCACCATAGGAAGACGATCTGATTAGATTTTGGAGTACGTAGGTCAAAGGTCACAGGTCACAGAGGTCAACTTATGAATTCCTTGTATTGAGTTTGTTAGCGCGATATCTCAAGAACCATTTGAGATTTAAACTTCAAACTTAAGGATAGTATGTATCACCATAGGAAGACGATCTGATTAGATTTTGGAGCACGTATGTCAAAGGTCAAGGGTCACAGAGGTCAACTTATGAAATTCCATACATTGAGATTGTTATCATGATATCTCAAGAACCACTGGAGATTTAAACTTCAAACTTAGTGATAGTGTGTATCACTATAGGAAAACAATCTGATTACATTTTGGAGCACGTAGGTCAAAGGTCAAGGGTCATAGAGGTCAACTTATGAAATTCCATACATTGAGATTGTTATCATGATATCTCAAGAACCACTGGAGATGTAAAACTTCAAACTTAAGGATAGTATGTATCACCATAGGAAGACGATCTGATTAGATTTTGGAGCACGTAGGTCAAAGGTCAAGGGTCACAGAGGTCAACTTATGAAATTCCATACATTGAGATTGTTATCATAATATCTCAAGAACCACTGGAGATTTAAACTTCAAACTTAATGATAGTGTGTATCACCATAGGAAGACAATCTGATTAGATTTTGGAGCACGTAGGTCAAAGGTCAAGGGTCACAGAGGTCAACTTATGAAATTCCATACATTGAGATCGTTATCGCGATATCTCAAGAACCACTGGAGAATTTTCACTTCAAACTTAATGATAATATGTATCACCATATCATAATATCTCAAGAACCACTGGAGATTTAAACTTCAAACTTAATGATAGTGTGTATCACCATAGGAAGACAATCTGATTAGATTTTGGAGCACGTAGGTCAAAGGTCAAGGGTCACAGAGGTCAACTTATGAAATTCCATAGATTGAGATTGTTATCATGATATCTCAAGAACCACTGGAGATTTAAACTCCAAACTTGTTTAAATTGCTCTATGGCGGAGGCATCATTTTCGACTGCACGCAGTCAAAATTCCATCTAGTTTAATATCTAAATTCTAAGTTCCTTAGAAACACTGTTGTAAACAATTACCCTTTTAAGACATTCAAGATATTTTTCTTATAAATTTTCCGCCAATGTGACCCTGCAAACTCACTTTTTGTTTAAATGTTTCCATGGCAACTGTTTATATCTTTATTTCATGTAGCTTGTATCTCCCAAAGTTTCAACATGGATAATTAAATAGCTTTATAGAAGGGGAACCCCCCCCCCCCCCTTCAAATATAAAATTTAAAATCTGTCATATTTTTGTTACAATTAACCAGACATTTCATTGTGACACTTTTGGTTTCTTTGAAAATTTTGTGACATCAAATCTTTCAGCATAAGAAATATTGCACTAATTTTCAGTATTCACTTTTAGAAAAGTGTGAAGACTATGATTCAGATTTGAGGGAAGTAACCAACTCTACTTTGTTGAGGGTACTAAAATGCTTCAACTTCCCCCCCCCCCCCCCCCCCCCCCCCCCCCCCCCCCCCCCCCCCCCCCCGCTTACCGGTACACACGCCCCTTTTTTACTGCAGGAAAATAATTGATTTAGACATTTTGGCAACAAGTTATTTGTAGTACTACTATAAGTAATAGTTCTAATTCAGAAGATGTTTTACTACTTTCAACTTATTTCTGTAGAACGATTTTGTAACATTTGATTTTAAACGTTTGAAATCATGAATCAAAGAATGAGGATGACAAAATGTAAATTTTCTGATTTTGCAAATTATATCAACAATTCCAAAATGTATTTACCATGTTTATAATGTGTGCACTATTAGTCCTTTAATCTTGCCTTCTCAATTACAAGCCATGATCAAGGGCCAATTATGTTATGCTGCTAATTTTCAGTAGTCTTTTCTTTCTGCTGTTATGGCATAGATTGATTGAATAAAATGTTGATCATATTATACATCAATACCATTATGTATGATTTTGATTCTTTTATATGTCATCCTCTGAGTCACTGTGAATGTGCTTCAAGCCCTAACCCTCTGCTGTCCCCTCCCTTTCTCTCTCTCTCTCTCGCCCTCTCTCTGTCTCTCTGTCTCTCTCTCTCTCTCTCTCGCCCTCTCTCTCTCTCTCTCTCGCCCTCTCTCGCCCCCTCTCTCGCCCTCTCTCTCGCCCCCTCTCTCTCTCTCTCTCTCCGAAAAATATGAATCTGCAAGACAATCATATTTACAGAATTTCATTTGTGTGATTTCTTGAAAATGTAGGAATAAAAGAAGAACAAAATTCTTGATGGTTAAATTACAGATGTTAATAAATGTATTATGCGATTGATAAGAACTGTACTATTATTATTATTATCTAGATGTTTTTTTTATAATCGTTCTTTTTCTTTTGGCATTATGTTTTCTGGTTGTCCGTTCGTCCATCCCATTCTCGTCACTTCTCGTGATCGCGTTATCTCATGAACCGATTGATGGATTACCGCCAAACTTGGGTCATGTTTGTACCTTGCAGAGCCAATGAACTGATTAGATTTTGGGGTCATGGGGCTTATTATGGATGCAAAACAATCTTGTGTGAATGCATCAATACTGACGGATGGATTACTATCAAACTCAGGACATGTATGTATCTTGCAGAGCCATGAACTGATTACATTTTAGGGTCATGAGGTTAAATTTCAAAGGGTCATACATGTATATGACAAATAGCTCGTCATTAATCACAATATTTTGAGAACCTGTTAATGGATTAAAATCAAACTTGAGTCTTCAAAATTGCTTCTGTTTTGGTTTGTAAAATCTATGTCAGAGGTATAATTTTTGACTGCATGCAGACGAACATCCATCAAGTTTTTATTCGTTTTTAATCATTTTAAAAAAGTCCCCATGGTCTATTACTCCCGCTGATCTACATGAATTATCATCATGTTATAAAATTAATGAATACAACAAAATAACAAAAAATCGATAAAACAATTAATTTATAAGTAAATTGTATTACAGTTTAAGAAAAAAATTCTGCAAGTTTATGTTCTTCAATGGAGCACTTCATGACACGTAGAAACAGTTTTAATTTATAACTTCACTTATCTTGATTATACAAGCAAAACTTAATGTAATGTTTATAACCAGAGATTGCGCTACGTACACCACAAGATGCTACAAGATGCTACAAGAACAATTCATATAATTTAATGGAGTATCTCCAGCAAGTAGATCTATAGAACTTAATTTCAATCAATTTAACTTGATACCACATTCTTATTGTTTTTGTCGATTCTTCAGGACCTTGAACCCACTCGTCATTCAGCTAGACTTTATTATTCCCTTGTAAAATAAAGCATTTCTTTGATGCCATACGTTTATATTTGGATAATGAGCCGCCCTATCTACCTTTAATGTTGTAAAAAATAGATGGCTCTACACCGTTAATTCGCAACGGCAATATTTTATACACAAACAACCAGTCCCATTCGCAGGCCAAAAAATGAAAGGTTAAATTTCAACGGCATTTTACAAACGATACTACAATACTAGAAAACGGCTTTTAGTGGGAAAATAACGACCATTAGTTGTCAAAAACCTAAGTAATTCTGATTTTCAGACCCTTTTACTGAATGGTCATACTTTTTATGCTGCACAAAGATTCAATCATTTTAATTTGGGGGCCATTACAAGTAGTGAGTTATTGATGTAGACAAATGCTCATGTAACTGTTACATCTCATTTTATGTATGTTATTACCAAAAAAAAAGATGTCGGTCAGTCACTTAATAGTGTCTGGCAGTGAAGTCTAGAAGGTAAACGGGTTTTCTTGCATAATTTGAATACTAGGACACTGCTTATGGTTAAATTTCACAGATAGGACATATTATGACATATTCATAATTCCTGCAAAGTTCACCAGACTCTGATGTTGGTTGCAAAAAGAACATAGTATCTTTAAGTTTAAAACACAAGATGGCGCTATACCATTTGTTGGATACAAGCAACTACAAGTTGCAATCAACGAATGTTGATTTTCCATAAATCAAAACAATAAATGGCACAGCTCATGTGCCCTTTTCAATGTATTGCTCGATATCCAATTGAGCTATTTCGTTTTCTATTTTATGAAAAAATACATTACCTAGTTAACACTAAACCACTAGTCTTCCCACATTTTGTTCATGTAGTACTGATGATTTTGTGACTTAACACGCATCAAACATGGGTACCTCTTGATTCATGACATGCATTATGGGCAACTCAATTATGAAAATGAAATACATATATTATCAACCACAATATTATTCGACATAAACTGAATTAACCAATGTAATTAATGTATGAACATTTTTGCGTACTAACTCATCTAAAGTAAACAATGAGTATCTGAGTAATTAAAAGTTGCGTCTTTTTGAATATTTACAGGGGGAAAATGTAATGACTGATCTGATTATATTTGTATCAAACGAGACCAATGGCGATGAACGTTGAAGATAATTATACATGTATTCCTATAATGTTTTGAACAAAAGATGGCGCTAGACCACATTTGACAAGTTGCCCCTTCGTGAAGGCAGTCCCCTACCCGCTTATTACGCAAGGGGAATGCTTTTCGATATGTTGGTGTTTTTTTTTAATAAATAGGCCAATGTCAAGCAAGTTCTTTAGGAAGAAGTAAAATCCGGTAAACTATCCGTAAACAACAGTTCTTTTGGACTGTCTTTCGACATATTAGCTCACATTTATTTGTAAATCAATGTTTGATTAAATTAATATACAACATCCCTCTAAGAAAACCTTTATTTTTTTACAATTCGTGATTTTGTTGTCTTTTTTTCTTTTAAGAGGATGGGGATTTTTTAGGGGATGACCTTTAGCAAAATCTCTTA